ACCACTGTCTCTTCAATCATTAACGCACATTTGTTGTTTGCGATGCGATAGCCCCAGTGCTACTAGCGCAGCCTCGACATATCGGGGTCCAGTATTTGTCCGAGGGCGCCCTCCGTGCATAACTGAGCTACGATTGAAGCAATCTTGCACAGTAGCATGAGCCGTTACACGCTCCATCGATGACAGACGAGCCTCAGGTCCCTTGAAGTCCAACGCCCGGTAACACGTTAGCTTTGGACCCGGAATCATTAATCAGCGTCTGCAGCTCAGGTGCATTTGCAACTGGTATAGGGGGCGATGGCCGGGGTTTGGGAGGCGTGTCAGCCAGCTGAATGGGATGGTTGCACCGCACTCGTGTCAGCTGCTTCCGCCATTTCGTCATGTGCTTTCCCTTTCCCCAAATGGCCCGAGTTCTGACATGAAGTGAAATGCACGACGTCGGATGCCGCATGGCACGAGTCTGCAAAATCCACGCGAATCTGGATCCATTTTCCCAGGTTCGCCTGGCTATTGCCTAAAAACTCTGAAATGGAAATTCGCTCCTCTTGAATTTCTTAAGCACATTTATGTCACTGATGGCATACGCGAACCCAGGTCATGAGTGCGTGTCTGTGTGTTTGGGAGTGGAGGCAGGGGTAGATAACACATTTGCACCATCAGTCATCCACATTTGCACCATCTTTCTCATTGCAGTGTGTCGGGTGAATTCTCGGTGCTTTTGGCCGGTTACTTAAGGGCTGAAACGAACGTCGCGCGGATCAAATCCTCTCCAAAGATGGTGGTGATTTGTGTTTTAAGGGCGCGTCGGCATCGGGGCCATTTTGCGCCCACTCGATGACGGTTGTCTACCTCTGCGACGACGCGATAAGTATGTTGTCAACTGACAACAGGTAGCATCACTGGCGCACTTACACTGAGGGGTGAGTGAAAATAACGTCAAAGTCAATGTGTGCTAAAAATGCGAGTATATCTCCAAGTTCACCACATGGGTCACGACCGAGTAACCGATGGAGGGGCGCTGGAGGAAAAAATCGTCGCCTCTCCGTCTCAAGGCGCCGACATGAGACGAGCACATGTTCAACAGACAACCGGTCCCCGCATCTATCACACCGTGGCACATCCCTACGCGTCAAGTAAAACGAGTGTGTGGCGTATGTATGACCCAACCGAAGCCTACAAAGGGCGACTTCCTGGAAGCGGCTTCGGCGATGGGAGGATTCCCAATCACCCAGTTGGGGCTTGATTTCCCTGAAAGCGTGGAGATGTTGGTCGAACATGTGCTGCCACGTATTGCGAACGTATTTGGAAATGACTGACTTCAGATCTCGAGCGGGTACATAAATTGGTATTGGGTTTCTCTCACATGCCGCAGCTTTCGCTGCGGCGTCGGCTTTTTCATTCCCCATTATTCCCATGAGGCTGGGGATCCACATAAATGTGATACGACAGGAAGTGCTGTCCAGCCATTCCAATTCCTCCCAAATTGAGCGAGTCAAAAATGAGTGGTCACGCGACACCGCCGCCGGGTCTAATGACAAAAGTGCACTACGCGAGTCGGTCAAAATCACTATATCCCTTTCAGGACAAGCAACGTACTGAAGCGCTGCTAAAATGGCACACAGTTCTGAGGAAAAAACTGACAGGTGCTGCGGGAGGCATAGACCTACGGTATGGTCACCGCAAACAAATGCGCAACCCGTTCCCGTTGAGCCCTTGGAACCATCGGTAAATATTTGTAATGAGTTCGCGTATTGTGAGATCTGTTCCAACGAATACGTGAAGAACTCTCGTGGTGAAGTGCCATTTTTAAAATGCTGACAGAGTCCCAAATCATACTTAATACTCAGACGTCTCCACGGTGCTGGGTTCCGAAGAGTGTGCGGGGCAATGTCATCCAGCGTAATATCCGCCTCGTCCAGGCAGTCCCGGACGCGCAGGCACATCGGCCGCGCTGACGTGGGCCGCCCCCTCAAGAAAGACAGAGCCTTCGTGGCCTAAAGTAGGCTGAACTTACTCGACCTTAAGTATTGGGGGAAATCCTTGACCCCCTGCAATGCCTGCCCGCCTTGGTTAAACGTGCATACGCACCATATTACTTCGCCGTTCCATTCCTGCACTGTATAAAGGGGGACGATTTCCGGGCACCACGCCTCTCCAGCTTTAACACCACGTAACCACACCCATCCATCTTTCGTCCGGTACACTTCGCAGTATGATTAGAGATAAATCCAGGTGGGCGTTATGTGGGCCGTGACCCTCTTGCCCTTAGGCGACAGCCCGGGGGCACAAGATGCGGTCCATGAAATGCATCCGAACCCCATCGGTTACCAAGCAGGTGGAAGACTTGCTCCCACGGTGCTTACGTGGTATCAGCGGTGCATCATTTCTTTACGGCTGCCGCGGCGTGATATACGCGGCATTTTGGCAGCGGCTCCGAAACGCCGGAGCAGGGAGCTAAACTTGACGTCTTTCCTCTTTTATCTCACCATCTCACCACCACTTGGTCGCTCACTCCAGCCCAGGACAGTACGCAAAAAGCTTGTGCGTGCATCATGTAGACATTGTAAAAATACACAAAAGCAAAAACGGAAACAACGTCAGCGCTGAAGCCCAACTTCCACACCCGTCTGGAAACAGCCAGGTGTGACCGTCGCTTCACATGTCGCCACCGCCGCCCGCTCTTGACGGTGCCGTCGGCCGCGGTCCAACTCCCTTCGGTCCTGCCACCTAGCGCCACCATCCGCACTCCAAGCCTGCGCAGTGCTGCCACCTATATCCATAGCCGGACGGTGCCGTCGGCTCCGGCTGAGAGCGCCCACGGCTGCTCCGGGTGGAAGGCTACGTCCAGCACGCCCAGGTCGTCGTAAAGACTGTGGCCCTTCAGCACCTTGACCGGCAGCACCAGCGCGTTCTTCATCAGGTCGCTGCGAGAGGGGACCAGAGTCGGTCAGCAGGAACAGCGGGACAACAGATCGTGCGCCGATCACGAGTTGCAAACAACTAATTTGAGGTCCAACGCCGCAGGGCCCGGCTAGGATCCGTGGCGGATGATGCGGCGTAGGGCGTGGCACAGGCATGGCCAAACATTTCATTTTTTGTTCGTTACCTAAGCGTTACCGTTTTGTTCGTTCGTTAAAGACGCTTTCGCTAGGTTTGGGTGTCTCGCCAGCGTTATAGGCAGGCGAAAATAGCCACGTTTAATGCCCACCACAGGCCACTGAACCAAGCAACGTCCCGCGCAAACAGAAAAGTAGGGAACAGCGTGGCGATGCAGGCAGGTAAAAATCCACCAAACAAATCTAAAAGCACACAAATTCTGGGGAAAGCAGAGTGCAGAGTTTGGCCTTGCGGTTTCAAGATACAACCTTAACTTTCAAGACATGTTCAGAGTAACTTCATATCTCACGTTCAAAGTAATAAAGTAAGTGGCAAGAGACAACACAGACAAAAAGTTATGTGCCAAATAAACTAACAATGACGAAATGAGCAAATCCAATCTAGAACGAACGGAAAGCATGAAAACACAACGTACAAACACTGCAGACGTTTTCCAGTGCGTCATCAGACACCTAGGGGCTCCCTGGGTGTCTGTACAATGAACAATGGCACCCATATTTCCCTCCAGAGGATATACCACCCGCTTCAATGCTCCGCCACCCCCGGGAGGGACTCACTTGAAGACCTTGGCGTGGTAGACCATGATCTTGCCGTCGTCGCCGCAGGAGGCCATCAGGGGGTAGCGCTTGTGGAACGCCACCTGGCGCACGGCCTGGCCGTGGAAGCGCAGCCGGTGACAGGGTAGCTTCGACAGGTCCAGGTCGAACCAGTGCACGCGCCGATCGTACGAGCCGATCGCCAGGTTATCACCGCGCGGATGGATGGCCAAGCTCGAGATCCACTTGGCTCCGCCGGCCAGCTTCTTGCTCAGTTCTTGCTTCACCAGGTTGAAGACCTTGACGTGGTTCTGCGTGGCCACGAAAAAGTACGGCCGCAGCGGGTGGAAGGCGGCCGCCTGCGCGCGCTGCGTCTTGCGGAACGGCATTTGCGATCGCCACCGCGACATCTGGTGAATGAGCACGGAAGTATTGCCGGCGTCCGGCGCCACCGTGGCGAAGTAGTCGCCCTTGGCGTGCCACGTCACCTGCTTGCACTGGCGACTGATGTTGATGGTGAGGCGCAAGCCCTGCGCCCACTCGCCCTCGGACGCTTTGCGCCAGGCGCAGCCCACCTTCTGGCTCTTGATGGTGGTGTCGTCGCGCTCGGGCGGCGTGCGGAACACGCCGTCCGTGTTGGCGGCCGCCGCGCGGTCGCCCACGCCGTGGTTCACCATGTAGATGCGCTTGCCGGCGGCGGCGGCGACCACAGACAGCTTGGGGTTGGGGTTCCACGCGACGGCCGTGACCGCGTCCTTGAACTCGATCGTCTTTAGGCAGCGGCCGGTGGCCACCTCCCAGATCTTGAGGGTGCGGTCGTCCGAGCCGGACGCGAACAGCTGGCCGCTAGGGTCGATGCTGAGCGTGCGCACGATGTTCTTGTGGCCGGTGTACACCTGGTTGCAGTGCGTCGGGTACGGCTGCAGGTCGCGCTTGTCCGGCAGCTCCGGCAGCAGCTCTTCCGGCCCAGACAGCTGCGTCTTCGTCACCGTCTTGCGCGGGCAGAGGTACAGGTTGAGACAGCGCTCGAACCGCTCGCTGATAAAGTCCGGATAGGCTGGCACGCTGCGCAGCGAGTCGTGAAGACGCGGCAACGGGCGCGCGCTGCCGTTCTCCTCCAGCTGCTGTTCGTGGCGCGCGCGCTCCGCCTCGGTCGGCAGGTACTCCAGTGGCGGCTTGTAAGACTCGGCGTGGCCGGGCAGGCGCAGCTTGGGCGCCGGCTGCGGACGGTACAGTCGGCGCATCTCATCCGTCGTACCGTCCTCCTTCCACAGCATGTAGAAGCGCGGCTTCTCCAGCGGCTTCTCGTCCAGCTTGATGAAGCCGCGCTTAATGTGGTCAACCAGCTTGGCCACCTTGAGCGCCTCGATGCGCGACGGCACAAACGAGCGCTTGTGCTCCGGTCGGCTGGACAGCGGCATGTCCAACACGTCTCTGGTGAAGAAGTCTAGCCAAGGGGCGTCCAGATCGGCGTTGCGCGTGGGAAACTTGCCCTGCGACAGGCGCACAATCACGTCAATGTCCTCGTCGCTCAACTTCACCTCCTGGCCGGTCGTCTTGCGGATGACCGTACGCCAGAAGTCGGGGTTCTCCACCTTCTCCAGGAAGCTGTCGATCTCATCGCGGCTGGCACCCTTCAGGATCTTCTTGGCGTCGCGCGTGTAGCCCACGTGGTCATACTGATCGTACCAGCGCAGCGGTACGTCACCGATCGTGTTGTCCACATCTTCCTCGTCGGACGAATCCTGTTCGTACTCGTCCAGCGGAGTTTCGTCCTTGAGCATGACCAGCGTATCCTCCTCTTCAATGAGTGTGTCTTCATTGTCAGCCTCATCAGCTGTTGGCTTTCGTTTGAGGCTTGTGACTGTGTTATCTGTACTTTTGCGAAGCTTCTTCATGATATTTCTTGCACCCTTTGGCTTTCCTTTTGCTGCAGTATTTTTCCTCTGCAATAATACACAAAACAAGACCATATTATCATTCATTGACACTGTGCATCACAGAGGACCAAACACATGCTGTCCAACAAAATATTTACTCACATATATGGAAATGTGATGACCCATTTCGCCCTGCACTTCTTGTGTCAAAAGATGGAAGAGCAGCCCTAAGACAGGCCATTTGTCAGCATTCACACACGAACATGGAGAAGTAGAACTAACCACTTACAAATCTACATTTCTCAACCATCAGCTATATACTTTTCCCAAGCTTGAGCACCAATCCTCATATCAGGCATGACATTCAACCGAGCTCAACCGGATATAGAATGACAATCTAATCATGATAGGAAATCACTTATGGCTTAATGCCTTCAAAATTCAGGGGAATACTGCACTGCTATTGCTTGAATGTGTAAGGTGACCCCATTTTGGTACAGTCCCATCAGCTATCCATTTCAGTATAATACCAGTTTGGCTGTCCTCCTTTGTCGAAGCAGTGAAGCAGCTACTCATTCACAGGAAATTTTGTGCATATGACAGATGCCCAATTTCTTTACTCAGGAATAACTGTGCACTACACTCTTACAGAGTGATTCACACATTGTTACAGATGTTCTTTGATCACGACTACCTGTGCACTACATTCTTACAAGGCTGCACACCAAATAAGTCTAAAATAAGGCATAAGCAAAAATTCAATTAGGCGATCACCCAGCCCAGCCACCGCTATTTTTTAAGGGCTGTATTTGCAACCAACGATTGAAGGCTCTTGAAATTTTCACAAACAACAGGCCACAAAACTTGTTTTTTGGATGTTGTGGTCAGAAAGCTAGAAAACTCTATCCAGTGTTCATGATATATTAAACTGATCTTCACGCCACCTGAGCAAATGATCATTCCTTCACTTTAACACTGACGACCGGAAAAAAAAACATGAAGCACATCAAATACACCAGCGGGTTTATGACTAAATGGGTGCACAGCGGCAGTGAAAAGCAGCATGCAACGCTACTGGCTCCAGCTTTGCTATTAAACTTTTCTTAAGCATTGCTCACGCTCGCGCTGTGCTGGCAATTGTAACTAATTAAGTCCGTCGACCAACGCCGTGTAATACCGACGACCATTTCCTCGCAACCCCGCTCTTACCCACACGTGCACACGCCAATTAAGGCAGAGACCGTATGAGGGACAATCCTGGCGCGTTTGAGACTGAATGTATTGACTGCTAAAAACGCATAAGGCGCGTTGTTGACTGTTCGCCTATTTACAAGTTTGTGCCGCGTTGCCGTTTTGTCACGCCGGGCGTTTCCGTCGAGATACCCTGGGAGAAAACTGGGAGGCACCGCATTGTTTTGATCGTCTCTCTTTCAGGAATTTTGGCGAGGCTCCCGTGGCACCTAAATTCTGCTGCCTCTAACTCGGTTCACTCGAGAAGGTTACATTACAGTTCAGTCAATGGTTAGTTGGGGCGGTGTTTTTCCCCTTTGTTCCAGTCTCTAACGGTATAAGTGACTGAACCTGATTGCAATCGCTAGCGAGGCTGTGATCAGTTGTTGACTGTAGATTAAAAATTTTGAGGCTTACTGGTGACATACTCAAAATCCAGACTGGCTGCAGTGCTGTGGGGTTCAATCTGACAGGTTAGTATACACAATTATACTGCAATTACAAGGCTGAAATGAAACATTCGATCCCTCTCAGTCATCAGTTATACCTGGTATTGTCCAGAGATTTTCCTAGCTGAAACATTGTGTAAATGTGGACTTAAAAAACAAATTTCAGTATGAACAATCATTCTATCTAGGATGTGAAATCATTTTATACAAAGTGATGATCTTGTATCTTTTATGACATTTGAGAGGTGGAAGTTTAGCTGTATCATTTATATATTTTTGTTTAATGAGCAAAATATTTTAATATGCTTTGTCAACTTGGTCTATGGGCCCAGAAAGCATGGCACTGTTTTAGCATATTATTGGCTGTGATAAATTTCCAATGTCTTTTAATTTAAGGTTTTAAACACTTTATTCTCATTAAGTCCAATAACATTTGTTGAACCAGCATGATAATATTAGTAGCCCAATTTCTTAATGTTGATGTGTGGTATTTACAGTTAACTTGGCTCCCTTTTGTAAAGTCTGAACAAATTTGTGCTCAGATTGGAAGTGGCCAGCATAGAACCATGTCTTTGGTGGGAATGCTAACTGCCAACATTGCTTTCCAGAGATATGGGTCTCCACACAATTTTGAAGAAGCTCAAGCAGAAAGAAAAAGAAGTCAGAATATTGATGCTGTATCCTTTGGTTAAACACTGGAATGCTGCAAATGTCAGCATGCCACTCTATGACAATTGTGTTGGTCCCAGTCTCATCAAGCTCCCAGTGTGGTGACCAAATAGTCACAAATAATGGAAAGTTTCTGGGTGGAATAACAGAAATGATGTCTGCCCAGTGCATATTAAGCAACTCAAACTGTTCAACTGAGATTGACAATACAACTAGTGTGGTAGAGCATCCCAATCATTGACAACCCACATGCTGAATGAGTTATGATGGACAAGGGTCCCAGCTGAGATTTTATTACCTTCCCTTGGTGTCTTGGTGTCACCTCCAAGCTGCATCTGGTCAGGACCTCCTCCTCCAACAGCAACATACCACCATGAAGCAGTTGATACACTGTAACCATGTCTCCCCTGCAATGACTAGTAAAAAGAGAGCAACTGGAGGAGTCTGAGCTTTTCAGCATGTGGCTGGTGGCTCACTTCGCGAGCAAGAGGCGTTGCTCGCTGCTGAATCCACCCCAGCCGTTCGTGATCCAGGTAGCCAAACAGGCCCCAGATGACATTGCCATGCTTCAAGTATGGATGTGCAAGGATCTTGAAGAGCAGAAGTAGCATGTGAACATCGATGTGAGCAAACGACTGCCTCACGACCACCAGCATCTTGTTGGCCTTCGAGATCGCCTCCGCTGTCTGCGCGTGAAACTTAAACCTATGAATTTCGAAGATCCGGAGGTCCTTCTCGGTGGGCTCGACCGCTATTTCGGTGCTTTTCAAGAAAGACGTCCGTCTCGGGCTGCAGTTCCCGATGTGCACTGCTTTGCACTTTGTTGCATTAAAGGGGAGCAGTCACTCCCCTGACCTCTTGGCCAGGGCGTCGAGGTCGAGGCCTCGGGATGCGACAGTATATCTACGTGTCATCCGCGAACAGCTTTCGCCATCATGTCATCCGCGACCATGTTTCGCACTGATCTAGTGGGTCGCTCACAAAGATTACGAATAGTGTCGGTCCCAGCACGGATTTTTGCGGGATGTCGCTGATGACGTCGATCCAGCCCAGCTGCGAGCCCTGGAGCCGGACTCTCTGCATCCGGTGGGTTAAAAAGGCCTCCATCCAGGGCAGCAAGCTGCCTCTCACCGTAAGCATCGAGCTCGGAGAGCAGAGGGTTATGCGGTACAGAATGAAAGGCTTTACTGAAGTCCAGGTACGCTACGTCCACCGGCTCTCCATCCTGTACGCGGCACTCCAATGTTCCATGACTGCTAAAAGCTAGGTGATACAGAACTGCTGTGGGAGAAACCCATGCTGGGCTGCATGAAGAAGTCAAGACTCCGAAAAGTGCTCAATTAGGGCATATCTGACGAAAGATTCGGGTGCATTGTAGAGGATGGCAATAAGGCTCAATGGGCGGTAGCTTGTTGGTGACTGTCGGGGTTATCTTTCTTGAAGGTCGGGGCTATCTCACCATGCTTTCACTCCTGAGAAAGCTTTCTGAATACTATTGGTAAAGCGTGCCCAGGGTTAGCGCCAGCACGTCTGCAGACTCGCGAAGAAGCTCTGGGTGTACATCACCTGGCCCAGGGGCACTCGGAGTATTCACTCCTGCATGTCTGCAGACTCACAAAGAAGCTTTGGGTGTACATCACCTGGTCCAGGGGCACTCTGGGTATTCACTCCTGCCAATTTATTCGCCACTCCCTGGTCAGGGATGTCCACGTCTTCCGGAAACGGTCCATCTAAATTGCAGGGCATCACATGCTTGATGCTTTCCTTCTTTGCTGCTCAACACTCCGTCGTCGTCAAGAAGTTGTTCTACCCTGCTTCTTGTTCGTAGTCTTGAGTTGTCGTACCTTCAAAAAGCTTGGCGGTTGTTAAGGCTCTCCATCTGGGACTACCAGTCCGTTAACCTAAGGATGTCTGCCAGGTGCTCATAATTTGTATGCATCAGCTGTCAGCTGTCCTCGATGGGAAGTGTGCCACCCAGAGTAGCAGACCAATGTATTCCTGACGACCACATGGACGCTGTTTCCTAGCCCAGGCAGGCATCCAACTGGCTGACCATCCCCTCCTCGTTTGTGGATATGAGGTCAAGAACACCTGATAGCCACCTGGTCACTCAACTGGTAGCATGATGGCTGCTAGACATACTGGAACAAAAACTGCCTTGGATGGTGCCTTTCAGTGAGTGGGCTGAATGACTCTCTGGAGCTGATGACTGTTCTGTTCCCCAGTCAATCTCGGGCAAATTAGAATCACCTAAAACCATCAAGCGAGAAAATTGGGCGCTGCCAAGTTTTCTACCAAAAAATATTTGATGCAGATGAACATTTTTTGGTGTCAAGACACCCACAAAAGGATGGCATAAGACTATCCAAAGTATTGTACTTTGCATGTATTCCGTGACAGATGTGATTTATTTGTTACATTTCCTTGACCTTTTCATTAGTGGCCTGGACAACGCAGGCAAAACAACTATTATGAAGCGGTTCAATGGCGAAGACATCACAACAATTTCTCCAACTTTGGGTTTCAACATACAGACATTGGAGCACAAAGGGTAAGCTTCTGATAGACTGACCGTGCTAATTGCCCTGAGATATATGATATATGTGTGAGATACGAGCACTCTAAATTGATATGACACTCTAAATTGGCTCAAGGTTGGGTCCAATGTCAACCGCGTGCAAGGCTAGTGTAAATGGTTTGGAAAACAGCATCTTCCACCACTGCCATGCGAGGGTCACCTGGACCTCAAACGTGGTCACTCTCTGCTGCATGCCAGGTTCAAGCTGAACATATGGGACGTGGGCGGCCAGAAGTCGCTGCGCTCGTACTGGCGCAACTACTTCGAGTGCACCGACGGCCTGATCTGGGTGGTGGACAGCGCCGACAAGCGCAGGATGGCCGACTGCAAGAAGGAGCTGCACTCGCTGCTGCTCGAAGAGGTGAGCGGACCGGGGCGCCCGGTGGTGGCGAGGGTGGTGCCGCTCTGGTGGTGGTCGGCTGCCTTGCAAAGGTGACGGGCGGACGGTTTTCCCGATGTTAGGAAGTGACATTCTTAAGTATGCTTTTCATCGCCATACAGCTGCCCACCGAGAACAGTCGCCGACTGCCTGTTCTAGGACGTTTTATGTTGACAGTGGATTGTGATGGTGTTTACTGCGTCGGTGGTGTGCGAGCTGGAGTGCGCCGTCGCTGACGCAGTGTCGTGTGTCGACAGGGTGGGTCGGTTGCGGCGGGTCATCTAGGAGTTGGGGGTGGGGACAAACGCAGAGTATGCCCCGTGTCTTTCCAGACTACATCATTACATAACGCTCATAGCCAATTTTGTCCAAATGCAGAGCTCACCGCTCTTCTCCTCCTCCAGTTGCCTCCCTGATCTGCCACCCTCGGGAGTGAGCTTTTGCCGTCGTTTACGAGCTTGTCACTTGTCTGCCTGTCGGCGCGGGCTGGCCGTGGCCTATGTGACTATCGGCTGCGCACGTGCTGCGCGATGCTACCATTCCGTTTGTGACGGCAAAGGCTAGCTAGCCTGACCCCAGGGCCACGTTCAGAGCCGGGACTTTCGGCGGTAGGGACTGCTCCGTGTCGCTCACCCGCCAGTGTTCGTGTTCCGGCAGCGTCTGGCCGGCGCCACGCTGCTGGTGTTCGCCAACAAGCAGGACCTGGCCGGCGCGCTGAGCCGCGAGGAGATCCGCGACCTGCTCGAGCTGCCGGCCATCACCACCCACCACTGGCGCATCGTCTCCTGCTCGGCCGTCACCGGCGACAACCTCGTCACCGGCATCGACTGGCTGCTGGACGACGTGGCCGACAGGATTTTCGACATGGACTAGGCGCGGGCGGCACGGCTTCGACTCTGTCCATGCCGTGGGCGGCGCTATGAGCTCGGAGCTGTGCCCAGTGTACGACGGCGTTGCCTCCGCCGCTGCAGCAGGCGGCGCCAGCCAGGGCGGTTTCACAGGCAGCGTTCTCAGGTGTGCGCCGTGTCCAGGCGGCCGACCAAAGAACAGTGCGGCGTCTGTCCGTGTGTCCTGCCGGTCCCCAGCCCGTTCGCAGGGTGCGTGAACTCGAGGCGCCTCGCTGATGGCGTCGCTGCGTTCTCGATCTCGCATCGTGGTCTGCTGCGGGACCGGTCTCATCCCAGTCCCAGCCGCGGTCCTCTGTGGGTTCACCGCTACACCTGGTCCCCGCTGTGGTCCGCTGTGTAGCCTGTGCAGCCTCCGCCCGCTGAGGGTGCCTTGGGCTCGGGCGAACTCCAATCGCACATGGGCGCTGATGTGTGTGCGGTAGTCCATGGCATCCGCGCGGCTGTGGCGACCGGACGTACACATGCTTGCGTTGCATTTTGCGATGCGGTGTACACACGGGTGCTGCTGTGATCGCCGGCCCTTGTATAGCTTTGTGTCGGCGTGGGATGACCTTTTATTCCAACACGACATTCGATGCGTTGGCGAGGTGTGTTCGTGGAACTGATTGCTCGTTTAATAAATCGTCCACGCCATCTCGGTTATCGCACTGCTACCTAGTGTGTATCGGATCCCTAGCGTCTGCTGTGGCACCAACGTGTTTGGATTTGTTTTCGATGGTGCACGGTTTTGCTTAAGTCATGTGCCTTAATTCGACCTGAAATCTAGAGTACACATTTTTCCTAAGCAAGTGTGGTCGAGGTAACTGGTTTGCGGCGTTCAACACTCAAAAATGAATTTGATGGCGCCAGCTTATCACTGTCGAGCGTTGCTGATAATGAGTCTGGGCTTCTGTGCGAACAACAGTTTGATAGAGATGTTTGTCCCCTTTCTACCCCGAACGCCTAAAGATCCGCATACAATGCACGCTTGTTGCAATACAGATAAGCATGAGACGCAGACGGCGGAGAAGCACGGAACGCGAACTATTACAGCGCGTTCAAAATGTCACCTGCTTCCTTCCCAGACTTTCGATTGGTTCAACTCACAATACATCGAATCGATTCTGACCCAGGCTGGGAGCCAGTTCGTGATGTAAGCCTACTTTCAGATGGACATTTGAATCAGGTGCTAATCCTGTTAAGTAAGCCTGCCTGAAAGTGATTGCGTCTGAATCAGGCATAATTGTGTACGGATCATGATTCGAATCAGTATGGTTGGAATCGAGTTGAATGTCCTCAATGCCGGAACATGCAGAAAGAATGACGGATCTCAGGTATTGCTGTTACCAAAGTGGCTCAGTCCCATATGGTACAGAAAATACGTGAACTGTTCATCGCAGGACATTTCGACATTTTGCGTCTGTCCTGATGCATATGAAGGGAACGGGACCATTCCTTTGAGCGCCAAGTGTCCGTGATTGTCAACTTCGACGAAGAACGAAAGCACTGTTTTTCATACTCTAGGTCCAATGGTCTGGTGCCACCAGCCATGACAATCTAATCAGGCTCCGACTCCACCCATGATGTCGGCCATTCCGTTGCTCGCTGCCATCAACCATCAAAGAGTCATTCTGCTAACCCTCGGTGTCACTGGGGACTGAATGATAGTTGAGAGCGAGTCAACGTCGACGCGGCTGACTCACGCCGCCACGCGAGTTTAATCACATCTGACTGAATCACGTCAAAAGCTAGGTTTCGAATCAGCCGGGACACAGCTGGTTAGCTCTTGGTTTGATTTTGAATCTGACTAGAATCAAGCTGTGGACTGTCCAATCCGTTCTGTGAAGCCACAAAGCTGTTTGCTGGCCGCCTGTCATAAACGTTTTACATGCGCCAACTGCTGTAAAAATAATTTCCCCTGCACTTCGGGACATTTCGTTCGAAAGCATGCCCTCCAGGGCGCTACCACCGTAACAGTATTGAGCACGCGCTGCCGCCAGTCACGCGACGCTCAAGCGACCCCGCGGACGGGCAGCGCGGCGACCACCTCCCGTCCGGGCGGCGGCGGTCGCAAGTGGGAAGGTCACGTGGCAGCGTGACCTCCTGACACTGCAATCCGCGCTGGTGGCACGGCGTATCGTGCGGCTGTATGGCGTGACGGTCTCGTAAGATCGCGCTGCGGGAGCGCGCGCGCGCGTTCTGCTCGGGGTCGCCCCAGCGAAGCTCGCTACAAGGTTCGGGTGTGCCACAGTGGGCGCCCGCCGTTCTGCGAACCCGAGGCTGACCCACGCACTGACGACTGATGCAGAAGTCGCGCGCGCCATTGTTCCGCCTGTTCCGCTCGGGGCTGGGGCTATCACAGCCGGGATCTGCCGTTCCCGGCGGGGTGGACTCGGCTATCGTGCGGCGCCCCGTTCCCAGGACACCACGGGTCAGCGGACGCAAAGGTCCAGGCAGCAGAAACGCGCGCCATGTTTTGAGGACCGGCGCAATGGCTCACCAGCGCTTCGGCTTCGCATTCAACCATTTGGCGATGTCTTGATAATTGGGTCAGTTTTTATACGTATACGCAAGACGCTGTATAACATGTGCATATGCATACACACAAAACATGCGCACTGCGCTGGATGAGACGTCACAAGCCGCAGGCTGACGAGCAGGCCGCCGACCCGCCCACATTCACTGTCCCATGTTACCTACTCCAGCTTGGAAATGACTCGATTCCGGCGGCCTCCTAGGTACATCAATTCTGCGTACTGCTGCGAGCCGCCAACGCGCATGCGCCGAGGCCGTCCGAGGGGGCCGGCGTGCGGTGAGTCACCGCGGCGCAGGCAGCGCCCCTAGTGGGCGCCGGCATCAACTAGCCGTCGGCCGCCCTCTGCTCGGAGCACAACTCCTCAGACCCCGAGACAGCCAGCGCGTGTCAGGGCAACTCCCCTCTCGCTCACCATGGACCCCGCTTTCGAAGGAGTCGGTCAGGAGCCGAAGCTGTGGATCTGGCGTATTGAGGTGAGTGGAGCGATCTCGTCTGTGCGTCAGTAGCCGGCGGCGCATCGTTTCGGTATCGGTGATACGGGCTGGCGGTGCCCCACCCCCAGACGTGGGGCTCCCGCCGGCCGGCCGGCCGGCTAGCGGTGGCGGGCGTGGGCGCGGCGGGACTCGGGCGTTACACTGTCTGCCTCGTGGTTCCGTGACGCTCAGAGGAGTGTGACCATTAGCTGCATACGGGACCGCAGTTAGAATGATGCGAAGTACACGCCGTTTATGCCTGGTTCGGGCGTGGCGGGCTACGCCGCAGTCATCTGGCGTCGGCTCCCACCTCTTTCTGCTGTAACTTCCTCGCGTATATCACAAGGAGGACGACGATATGGTTTTTCAAATCGGGGTGGTTATGAGTAGCGGAAGTGGTGTGGTAAACCGCGTGTGCCGTTGGTGGTGGGTGGATCGAGCGAGATGGGAATCCAATGTGAATCTATCCAGCGGTGGGGTCACATCCGTGGTGCCATCCGACCGATGGGTGGACCGGCGGCGGTTTCAAACTGCGAGAGTCTCGGTGGATATTATAATGATATGATCACTCACATGGGCAGCTGGGTACGGCGTCCGTTGAAACGTCATTTTTATACGGTTTGTGGTCGGGCAGCTGTCCGGACGGATGCTGTCGTTAAACGCCATTGGTGAGGGAGCTGATGTTCGCTGTGCCTGCAGCGCGGGTGGCGTGCCTGACTGGGCTTTGGGTAGCGAACCTTATCGATCGTCACAGAAGTTGTGAACTTATCTCGTGGTCTCAGGAACGAGTCTCGCTGTTCGTTAGTACGGGACCAGCTTCCCGTTTCGTTTTACCTTTCATACCACAGATCATCAAGCATGAAGCATTGGTTAGCTGCTGCTGTGTCGTTAAGATTCCCGCTGAACTCTTAGAGTCCGCCCGGCCGATTGTGGGGGGGGGGGGGGGGGAGAGTTCTGTCGGACGGTGCCCCCGCTCGCCGTCCGGCGCCTCAAGGTCACGGCTGCGTCCGTCGCGCGTCGCTGAGCCGGGCGGCGGCGGCGGCGGCGGCGACATCCAGGGAGGGAGAAGGGAGCGGGGGGGGGGGGGGGAGCAGAGCTGATGTAGTGGGACTGAAGACCCGGGAGGGAGGCCTGGGTAGGACTGGCGACATCCAGGCAGGAACAGGTGGAGCTGGCGCAGCTTGACTGAAAGCCCCGGGGTGAGGTCTGAGGAGGAGCAGTGACGTCCTGGCAGGCAGGGGGGAGCGGAGCTAACGCGGCGGGTCTGAGGGCTCGGGATGAAGGTCTGAAGAAGACTGTTGTCTAGATGAACAGAGGACGGAAAGGGGTGCGCATTCTCTCTCTTGCTGTTAATCCAGGGAGTGTTGGGGAGCAAGAGGAAAGCGCTTTCTGAGCGCGGGGGGGGGGAAGATTAAGCTCGCTGGTTTCTGAGAAAAGACAGACCAGTATTGACATGGGAAGGAAGTTATCGGGAAAGACAGTCGGGCCAAAGCTAAGTTGGGGTTGTCTGGGACTTCATAGAGGAATCGGACAGACTGCCCGCTCGTTCGCCAGCACGCGGGTGGAGGCTCCACGCTGTAACATCGGCAATTGTACCGTTGTCGTCATGATCACTGCGCCTCGGTACGGGCAGGAACTAACTGCACCAAACTGGAACAATATGACTCACGGGACGCCGGTGACTCAGGAAGGTCCAGGCATATTTGGCTCAGATAGGAATCGGTGGTTCAGACTTTCTCGTCGTCGCGGTGCGGCCCGCATGAATGATGGGTTTGTCGTCTTAGTGTGTGTAGGCGAGCGGCACACAGGCTGGTGCCTCTACTTACCTGCTGAGCATGCGGCACCGGCATTGGCTCCCCTCATGGAGATGTGCGGCAGAACGCTACAGCATTCCGCTGTGGAAATACTGCATTAGCTGGGCGTGTGTTCACTTTTGGTACGGTGTCTGACTGAACCACACATGGTCTATAAGTGCCTTCCTTATCCGCGACACGTCTGTTTCAGAACTTCGAGGTCAAGACCTATGACGAGGCCCAGCATGGCAAATTCTACGAAGGCGACTGCTACATTATTCTCAAGGTGCGTATGCAAGGGCTTAGAATACAGTCATGTGTCGTTATGACTTGGATAAGCTGTTCCATATTCACCACACATCCTACCAGCCCGAGACAGAATGCACGCGGCAGAGCCGTGTAGGAGGTCTGGGGGAGAAGTTTCCCGTTAGCTGCCTGGTTTTCCTGGTGACCGGGCGTAGTAGCCTGCCAAACACGAGCCGAAACAACCTGGAGCTGTGCCAGCGCTGGCGATCTCTGAGAAGACCTCAGTCCCAGCGCCGGCTGGTTCGGCGGCCGGTCGGCGGCGGCGGCGCCGACGCGTACAGCCAGCGCCTCAGGCGGCCACAAACGCGCCCAGGCCTTCCGGTCACTGCAGGACGTCCGCCCGGGATCCGGGAGGACTGGCACATCCCGTGTGACTTGCTGCGTCTGTGGCCACGAGCCGCGACAGGCTCGGACGGTCCCGCGCGAGCGCCCCGAGGGTCTGTCAGACCCCCACCAGCCTATGTTCTCCCCTCTGTGTCCGGTCCGCGTGCAATGGGCGGTAATATGATTTGCAGTGAGTGGCGATGTTTATTGACAAGTGAAGCGCCGCTGTCACTGCCCTGTCACTGTCATACTGTTAGTCAGTGTTCACCTGTCCATGGTGCCCACGATGTGTTCTGCTTCCAGACCAAACTGCAGCGGGACCAGCTGGTGCACGATGTTCACTTCTGGCTGGGCAAGGAGTCGTCGCAGGTGAGCGCTGTCGGCAGATGAGTAAACACCAGACGGGAAGTCGTAAACTCGTGTCAAATGACGAACACAAACACGACTCGGCTGCTTACGCGCCGTTTTTGGATGCGGCGGTGCCGCTTCAGACACGCAAACCAGACGCTGTACACGCCCGGCTCGAGCTGGCCCGGGATGGATCCGGTGTCGGCGGGTCTCGTCCGAATGGAAAAACGCGGCTGCCCGCAGCTCCATTATTGGTCGCAGCGGGATGCATGAAAAAAACTAAAAAGCGAACATCCCAGCGCACGCAGAACTCCGGACGCAGGCGCCCCAGGCCGACACGCCTGGCTTCCCGCCGCGTCACCGATTCCGCCGGGCAGATTTCTGGGCGTTTTGTTTGGCACCGCGGAGCGACTGATAGACCTAATGCCTGTGAGCAGCTCGTGTCGCAGCGGATCGATCTTGATCCGCTCAGCGTCGTCGCTCCACATGCGGACGGGACCCGCCCAGCCGCGCGCGACTCGCCGCCGCGCTCGCGAACCGCGGCCCTCACCTGCCCCGGCACCGCGCCGTAAAGCAAGCGCCGTTTGGCGCCGCTGCAGCGCAGGTCGAGGAAGCTGCGGTTGAGGAAGTTTCAGACCCGTCTGCGGTTGAGGAAGTTTCAGAGCCGTCTGTGGTTGAGGAAGTTTCAGACCCATCTGCGGTTGAGGAAGTTTCAGACCCGTCTGCGGTTGAGGAAGTTTCTGACCCGTCTGCGGTTGAGGAAGTTTCAGACCCGTCTGCGGTTGAGGAAGCTTCAGAGCCGTCTGCGGTTGAGGAAGTTTCAGACCCATCTGCGGTTCAGGAAGTGTCAGACCCGTCTGCGGTTGAGGAAGTTTCAGACCCGTCTGCGGTTGAGGAAGTTTCAGACCCATCTGCGGTTGAGGAAGTTTCAGATCCGTCTGCGGTTGAGGAAGTTTCAGACCCATCTGCGGTTGAGGAAGTTTCAGACCCGTCCGCGGTAAAGCAGTTTCAGACCCGTCTGCGGTTGATAGTTGTCGGTGCTGTTCAAGACACGTTTCATTCTCGTCTTGCAGTGGCACGTGCGCTCTGCACATCACAATGGCAAAGTCATGTCATGTCGATGCCAAAGCGTGCCCCCAGACCAGACGGACCAGGACCAGACCAGACCAGGACCAGACGGCGGGCGCGTGACCCGGTCATACGCCGCGTCACGCGTCACACGTCATCCGTTGGTCACGCGGCCGTGGCGGCCGGCTCCGGCTTTGGTCCGCTGCCGTGCCGGCCTGCTCAGAAGCAGTTGGACTAAGCCGCCGGACCGTTTCCCAGCGGCCGGCTCCGGCTTTTGCTCGTTGCCATACCGGACTGCCCAGAAGCCGTCGGACTGAGTCGCCTGACCGTTTTCCAGCGGCCGGCTCCGGCTTGGGACCGTTGTCGTGCCGACATGCTGGGAAGCCGCCGGACTGAGTCGCCTGGCCGCTTCCCAGCGGCCGGCGGCGCCGGTCACGCTGGACCGCTGTTCCGGTGTCTGGCGGCGGCAGCGCGCGGCCAGCTGTCGGCGCGCTCTGTCTGGTCACGCCGCTCGGGTCTGGCCGGCGCCCGGTTGGGTTCGGGCGTCGACGCTTGCCACTTCCGTCGCTATTCCGAGCTGGAACGCTCGGGTGACGACAGAGGTGAACCGAAAATAGCCACTCAGTGGAGTGGACCGCTCTACCGAAAAAATGCGGCGGTGGCTACCGCGTGGGTGGATGCAGAATGGTATCCATCATCTGGCTGCGCTTGGCTTTGGACTGCGTCATGACGAAGCTTGCGCCGAAGTAGCCCATGTAAATGAGTGCCGTTGCTGGAGGCGGCGGAGGGCGCGCCCCCGGTCGGTAGGTCGCACCATTCTCGTGCGGCCGCTCCTTCGGCAGCGGGGCGTTTCCCACGCCGGGCCAGCGCGGGCCGCCTCGGGTGCCGGTCATGTGCGGGAAAGGTGGGCGGCCCGGTGCAGTTTCCGGCGGCCCGGGCGGTATGTGGGCTGCTGTGAGTCACCTCGCCACGGCCGCTGCAGGTTCAGATCACCAACTGCGCACGGAGCGGGGAAGCGGATATCGGCCGGTCGGCTTCACGCGAGCTCAAATCTGTATCCGTGCCACAAACAAAAATGATGGATGGCAGTAAAGTTGAGCGCGATGCGGATAGGGTTGAATGCCAAACAAAACTCGGCGGTTGGAATCAATCTGGCTATACCGACGCGGTAGAATGTCACGCAGACCTCAGCGATAGGAATCCATCGGGTAATAAGCCGATGTCGGTTGTGACCATGCTATGTCGTCCGCACGCACGCCGCGTGTGCTCTGACGGTGACGACCCGGCCATATCGGCAACATCTGTTTGGCCAGGTGTATAATGTATCGGGCCGAGTCGGATCAAAAGACGCGTCCCTCGCTGATCAAGCGTGATGTCTGACGGACTGTATGAGCCGAGCCTGCTGTAGGCATCACACGCGGGGGCCATAAGTGTAACTTACCCTTTGCAAGCGAGCGCTGGCTTTCTGGTGGTGCCCGTGTCACTTCTGCCCAGTCCTGCAGCCTTCAAGTAAACAACGCTTGGCTCCTGGGCGCCGACGGACTATCCATGTTGCTGTGCGGCGTCCTCGGATTGCAGCCTCGCCCTTGTCTGGAGCTGCAGCATTCTAGCCTTACGCCCCAGCCTTTCGCGATGTGGCTGCCAGGCCGTCTTCGTGACGGGCATCCGTCGGAGCGGCTTTGGTCCCGCCGATCCAGCGGAGCCCCCCCCCCCCCCCACCCCCCGTCTCCAAGGTCGCGGTGAGGTCGTGCCGGCGTGTGAGTCACCGCCGGCCGTGTCTGCCACCGCCGGACGGGGGCCGGCACCGCCGGCGCCGGTGTGGGGCTAGTGTCGTTTAAAAGCCCGGTGCCGGCGCCGCACCGACGCTGGATCCGTATACATGAGAAGCGGCCTACAGCCGGCGAGGCTCGGCGTTTGTATCAGCGTGACTGCATCCGACGCGAGTCAGCGTTTTGTGGTGTGGACGGTGTCTCAGCGTCGTCAGGACGTGTCTCAGTATTGCCCGTCCAGGCAACACCCCAGCGTTGTCAGGACTTGTCTCAGTATTGTCGGTCCAGGCAAAACCTCAGCGTTGTCAGGACTTGTCTCAGTATTGTCCGTCCAGGCAACACCCCAGCGTTGTCAGGACTTGTCTCAGTATTGTCCGTCCAGGCAACACCTCAGCGTTGTCAGGACGTGTCTCAGTATTGTCCGTCCAGGCAACACCTCAGCGTTGTCAGAACTTGTCTCAGTATTGTCCGTCCAGGCAACACCTCAGCGTTGTCAGGACTTGTCTCAGTATTGTCCGTCCAGGCAACACCTCAGCGTTGTCAGGACTTGTCTCAGTATTGTCCGTCCAGGCAACACCTCAGCGTTGTCAGGACTTGTCTCAGTATTGTCCGTCCAGGCAACACCTCAGCGTTGTCAGGACTTGTCTCAGTATTGTCCGTCCAGGCAACACCTCAGCGTTGTCAGGACTTGTCTCAGTATTGTCCGTCCAGGCAAAACCTCAGCGTTGTCAGGACTTGTCTCAGTATTGTCCGTCCAGGCAAAACCTCAGCGTTGTCAGGACTTGTCTCAGTATTGTCCGTCCAGGCAACACCCCAGCGTTGTCAGGACTTGTCTCAGTATTGTCCATCCAGGCAACACCTCAGCGTTGTCAGGACGTGTCTCAGTATTGTCCATCCAGGCAACACCTCAGCGTTGTCAGGACGTGTCTCAGTATCGTCAGTCCAGGCAAAACCTCAGCGTTGTCCAGGACTGATCTCAGTTTGTCCGTCCAGGCAAACCTCAGAGTTGTCATACTGTATCAGTTGATTGTCCGTCCAGGCAACACCCCAGCGTTGTCAGGAGAGAACTTGTTCAGTGTTTGTCCATCCAGGCAACACCTCAGCGTCGTCAGGACGTGTCTCAGTATCGTCAGTCCAGGCAAAACCTCAGCGTTGTCAGTCCACGCATGGCTGTCGCATCGCCGGCAATTATTCAGCCTCGGCCTCCGGCACCATAGCATCGGAATGGCGCGTGTCTGGGGTGGACGTGAGGTGGCTCCGGCCGGACCCGTGTGGGATGGAATGGGGCGGGGCCGGCCGTGGTACCTGCAGCTGGCTGGCGCCGTCAAACGTGGGGGCATGTGGGGAACGGATGCAGACCTGATGCAGCTGCGGAATTCCAACAAGCCAGACATCGCAACGAAACCTGTACTTTGGTTCAGGTGTTCGCCACGTCTGCTGTTGGCCACACCCCCCAATGTTAGCGACTGGTGCTCTAACGCCTCGTAATTGCATGCCTGCGTCGAGTCGGTGACGAAAGCTAGACAGAAGCACGTCCAGCTGCAGCCGGCTTCGGCTGAGCCCCAGCCTGGCGCTGCCAGGGACCACCTGGTATCGATCCGGGATGCAGAGCTACAGCGGAAACTTCATGACCGACCCCGACCTCGACGCGGCCCCGCCCCCGGCGTGACGTCACGGTCTGTCTCCCTCCGGCGCCGTCCAGCGCCGCATCAGTCGCGGGCCATGCGGCGCGTCGCCATTTGTCGGCGGCGGCCGTGCGCGCGCCATAAAGGCAGCCTGATCAGACGCGTCTGTCGCCGAGCTCCGTGGAATCCGGCGACGCTGTGACCATCACGAGCAGCTGCAAGCGGTGCTGCAGTCTTCCATGGCGGCGGCGGCCGCGTGCCCTCACGTCCCGCCGGCCTCCGCTGGCCTGATGTGGCCCGGGCGAGCATATGACGTGTCCTGGACGGCACGGAGAGGAATCCAGCTTGATCCAGCTTTATCCCGCCGCCTGTTACGGCGGGATGAAGCTGGGACTCGTTCTTGCACGGCGCCAGAGATGCCGGGAACGGGGAGGGCGTTCCGGTTAGTGCGTCATCGGTTTGACGTCACATCATGTGTGCATGACATCACACCGTGCGGTTCTGCAGGTCCGGTTCGCCGCGCGTGGTGGCGTGACGTCATTGATGGCTTCACTCACTGATTCATGTGTCCCATTTCACGCCTCCTAACATGACGTCACATCCTGGCCGAGAATCGCAGCTGCCCCCCTACCGCACATGAGGCCATGCCCTCCCCTCTGTAAGAAAGTGGTTGACACCCGAAATGTGTGAGGAAAAGGAGTTCACGCGCAATCTCCTCCAAACGGTGGCTTGGGGAAAGTGTTTCTGTCTAACAGAGCGCAGCGCGTAACTTGTCGGTTAGGTTAAAACTCCATGTAAAGGCGGAATATTCCCTGCACTAAGCTATCATGGCTGCGGCACCGCCGCAATAGTGAGTGGCCTGTTCTTGACGGGAAAGTGCAAGCGCCTTTTTGTCAGACCTAGAACGCTTAGCGTTGCTGTCGTGTTTCGAACCCTCTGAGTTTGGTATTGCTGAGGAAATTGGAGGACAGATAGGCCATTACATAACCGGAATGGGGCAGCCCAATTAATGCCCAAGTGTTTTCTTCCACTCATAGTCACTAGTACTACGTGTTTCGTAAGGGCTGCTGTTGTGATTGTCACAATCGCGCCTCACGTCGCCGGCCTTCCGCAGGATGAGTGGGGCACGGCGGCGATCAAGGCCGTCGAGCTGGACGATTCTCTGGGCGGCAAGCCCGTGCAGCACCGCGAGGTGCAGGACCACGAATCGGCCCTCTTCCTCTCTTACTTCAAAAAAGGTACACCAACAGCTGAACGGCGTCCGTCGTTTGCACAAATGTGAACTGTCTTGCTACGTGCGTGAGCTGTTTCCATTGAAGAAAAGAGAGTTATCGTCACACATGCTCGTGGTCGTAAATGCAGCGTTATGTAATCTGTAAACAGTGATGTTATTCGGCTTAATAATACCGCCGGTGCTTTTGTGGCGTAGCTTGCGGGATATTTTGCATTTAGGGCGGGCGCCGTTGCTGCGTTTGAGATGCCCGCCCATGCGTGCGTCTGCTCGATCCGGATACCCTTGCATTTGTAACGCTGTCAGCGTCGCTCGCGTGCGCCGAGAGTGCGCTGTCGTGCAGACTTCCCCACACGCCATACGCCCGGCTCCCAGATACAATAGGCGTCTGGCACCGACCGTAATTCCGCCGCTGTCGGCACAAATGTTGACCTTCGTTCAACGCGGCGGAAGTTGTCTCATTCCGCGCACATTTCCGTCCGCGCGGCGTATCTCAAGCCTGTCGTGTCATCCAGCAGGAGTCCAGTACCTGAAGGGAGGCGTGGCCAGCGGATTCCGCCACGTGGACCCGGACGACTACGAGCCGGCGCTGTTCCAGGTCAAGGGCCGCCGGAACGTGCGCGTCTCTCAGGTAGGGGTCACGAGGGCACCTGGCGGGCGCGGCGCGGCGCAGACGGGCCAGACGGCCGAGGCCGATCGACCGCTCGGGGCGCTGCTTTTGGGCCAGACGAAGATAATAGGGTCGGGGTCGATAGCCAGAGGCGAGCACAGGATCTGGGCTGGCTGGCTCGGTCCCCTCAGGCTGTGTGGGGGCAATACTCATACGAGATGTGTGGGTGAAGAATGCGTTGCACCAGATTCACGACCTTTTCACCAGACTTGATTGTACGAACCCTTAGATGTTGCAGCAGAGCCGTTGTCCACCGCATTTCCCTGTCTGTCTGACATTTGTCTAACGTAACAGGACAGTACGAAGTCTTAAAAGTGTCATGAAGCCCGCAGCCTCATAATACATAAGACATCTTCAAATCGCGGCGTGTATATCACGTATCCGCCGACACGTATGAACCCCGGCACCAAACTCCTGAGCCCACACCCCACATGGCCCACTTCTGCCCGGGCAGGTGGAGATGGGCATCGCGTCAATGAACAAGGGCGACTGCTTCATCCTGGACACGGTGGACACGATCTACCTGTGGACGGGCCCGGAGAGCCGACGCACCGAGCGGCTGAAGGCCATCCAGTCGGCCTCGCAGATGCGCGACAACGACCACGCCGGCGGCGCCAAAATCCTCATCCTCGGTAGGGCTCGCCGCCGCGCCGCACTGCGGTCGGGGAGGTATCTGCTCACTTCCAAGCGCAGCGGGGAGCCGCATGGGCGTGGGAAGGGGGGGGGGGGGGGCGGCGACGGTGAAGAGCGGTGGGCATATAACGTCCACTCACGGGGTGCACTGCACGGGGGTGCATGACAAATATACTTCAAAAAGCTGTTTGGCCCTCGCACGTTGTGGGACTTAACCACGCTTCGGGTACTGGATTCCGATCGAAAGCGGTGAGACCGCCGCCACCGCAGTGGGACTGCCGTCGAAGTGGTGGAGATCCTCTCCCGCCCGGGCACAGCTGACTGCAGCTCGCCCCCGGACGGGCCGTGGTCGCCCCCCCCCCCCCCCCCGGATCTCGACTTCCTCCGATTTATCCCGGCTGAGGTGTTCCTCCTCCCCTCTCTCTCCCGCCTCTCCTTCCTCCCCGGAAGAGGAGCAGATGGTCGGCGCGAGCCGTGCGTTCCGTCGTGTTTGGGTGCAGCCGTCGCCGCCGCCGCCGAGACGGCGTTGGCAGACTGGCGACGGGCAGCTGTTCTGGATGGAGAGCGATGGTGGCCCGCTGCCAGCTCTGCGCCTGGGCGTGGCAGCACGTGGGTGGGGGCTTCGACGGATTCACGGAAGACGCATGTGTCGTAATGTATGATTCTGGGATCGTGCCCAGGACGGTTACGGGAAACTAGGGGCGAGGTGCTTTAGCGGTCAAACTATGATGGCAAATAGGCCGGTGGTAGACCATTTGAAGAGCGGCTTAACGTTGCTGTACGCTATATGGCATAATCGCCTTCTTCTCGCCATAGCAATGTTAGGCGTGCTGTGTCATTACTTGGTCCCACTGTGTACGTGCACCCAATCCTACCATGTACGCGTACCTTATGCCACCGTGTACGTGTACCTTAGGCCGTTGTGTACGTGTACCCTATCCCGTCATACGCGTGTACTCCATCCTGCCGTGTACCTGTATCTTATCCCGCCGTGTATGTGTACATTATCTCGCCGCGCACGTGTACCTTATGCCTTCTTGGACGTGTACCTTATCCCTCCGGTCGCGTCTCAGGTGCCCCTCGCTGCTGTCAGTCCTGGTTTGGAGGAGAGGACAGTTCCATGCTAGATACTCGCTATCCAGTGCGACTTCCTGTCATAGCTCCTGGCAAATTGCCACAGTTTCCGTCAATTGTTTGGATGAAGTGCTGTGAATGCTTTGTTCGCTTCAGTCTGGCCAGCTGCTGTCATTCATAGCTGCCTTTGTCGGCTTCCTTCCATTTGTTTGCCCCCGGCCGACTCTAACGGGGCGGCTGCAGCTGTTTTCAGAAACTCGCTGCAGGCAGTGCCGAGCTGGACCGTTGTTACGATCGATCCCCAAAATAACTCCCCAGAGGTGATGATGTCCCGGGCTGGGTGTCATTTCCCGTTGAAGGACCTGGTGTTTCCGTGCCCGTACCACCGTCCACTCCTCGCTCGCGTGACGCCGTCAGGTGCTCCTGGCCCGTGACGGCTTTGAAGCGTTGACGAAGCAATCGCAGCGGGGTGCGCCGCTCACCACCCCTCCCCCCTCCCCTCCTCCCCCCCCCCCTCCGCAGACGAGTCGGCCGACAGCGGCGAGTTCGAGGCGTTCTTCGAGGCACTGGGCGGCGGCTCCAATGACGACGTGGCCGACGCGCCGGCGACCGATGATGACGTCAGCCACGAGAGGAACGAACAGGTGACCATTGTGATGTTTCCTGGGTACAGGTGACCATTGTGATGTCTCCTGGGCACAGGTGACCATTGTGATGTCTCCTGGGCACAGGTGACCATTGTGATGTCTCCTGGGTACAGGTGACCATTGTGATGTCTCCTGGGCACAGGTGACCATTGTGATGTCTCCTGGGTACAGGTGACCATTGTGATGTCTCCTGGGTACAGGTGACCATTGTGATGTCTCCTGGGCACAGGTGACCATTGTGATGTCTCCTGGCACAGGCGACCATTGTGATGTCTCCTGGGTTACAGGTGACCATTGTGATGTCTCCTGGGCACAGGTGACCATTGTGATGTCTCCTGGGTACAGGTGACCATTGTGATGTCTCCTGGGTACAGGTGACCATTGTGATGTCTCCTGGGTACAGGTGACCATTGTGATGTCTCCTGGGCACAGGCGACCATTGTGATGTCTCCTGGGTACAGGTGACCATTGTGATGTCTCCTGGGCACAGGCGACCATTGTGATGTCTCCTGGGCACAGGTGACCATTGTGATGTCTCCTGGGCACAGGTGACCATTGTGATGTCTCCTGGGCACAGGCGACCATTGTGATGTCTCCTGGGTACAGGTGACCATTGTGATGTCTCCTGGGCACAGGCGACCATTGTGATGTCTCCTGGGCACAGGCGACCATTGTGATGTCTCCTGGGCACAGGTGACCATTGTGATGTCTCCTGGGCACAGGTGACCATTGTGATGTCTCCTGGGCACAGGCGACCATTGTGATGTCTCCTGGGTACAGGCGACCATTGTGATGTCTCCTGGGTACAGGTGACCATTGTGATGTCTCCTGGGTACAGGGACCATTGTGATGTCTCCTGGGTACAGGTGACCATTGTGATGTCTCCTGGGCACAGGTGACCATTGTGATGTCTCCTGGGCACAGGTGACCATTGTGATGTCTCCTGGGTACAGGTGACCATTGTGATGTCTCCTGGGTACAGGTGACCATTGTGATGTCTCCTGGGTACAGGTGACCATTGTGATGTCTCCTGGGCACAGGTGACCATTGTGATGTCTCCTGGTACAGGTGACCATTGTGATGTCTCCTGGGTACAGGTGACCATTGTGATGTCTCCTGGGTACAGGTGACCATTGTAGCGTCAAAAAGGTGCGGGCGTCGTCAGCTGATTCATGCAATGTTCCTCAATTATAAACAGATAAGGTGACGCTTGCTGAGAGGGTGGTTCATGTAACTTCCTCGCCTAAAAATCGAAAAGTATTGATCGCGAACTGATTCCCTTCATCTCACATGCATGCGTGACGTGTTTTCGAAAATGGCCATCCTCGGGGCAGGTCGCCGGCGCACTTTGGTCACTGGCGCACTGAGCTCTTCTGACCGATCCTCTCCTCTGGTGGCAGAAAGCGGCCACGCTGTACAAAGTGAGCGACGGTGGCGACGACTCGGTGGAGATTGAGGAGGTCGGCGCCCGCCCGCTGACGCAGGACATGCTGCACTCGGAGGTGAGCCGGGCCCAAACCACTTTAACGGTGTTCTCTCACCCTTCCGTTCAGTCTCAACTGCACCGCCCGGGTAAAATGATCTTCACTTATGACCTAAAAATAAATTTGACGTGGCTCTGTTGATTGTTGGTGTCTTGATAATCCATGTACGAATGCGGGTGATTTGTTCAAATTTAAATGATTGATGTTTATGCACCTCTACTTTCTGCTTGTTTGTTATGCGCAGATAGCTCCACTATATATTCATGCTTGTTGTTTTACATTCAGAAGGCAAATATAACCTTAAATGGTTCGTAACATTGAATGCGTTTGCATAGATCTTGTCTCTTTCTCGCATGGTCTCTTGATCTTTGGCTTGTCAACTGGCATGAAGTATTCACTACCGTTCGGTAACATTCAGTGTGGCATGTGTTTGTTGGCTCGTTTAGTTTGAAATTCCGTACGGACTGTGGTTGTTGCGCGCCGTTTGAGATCGCACGTGCCATTGGTCTTCAGCAGATCTATCCCGCATGTACGTTTAATTGACATAAACGGTACTAATGGTCTCCACGTAACGGCTAACGTCTCATGTCGCTGCGGTGAACGAGCTGGCTTTGCGAAGGCAAAGGTTCAAACATAGACACACACGGCCTATACGTGTTACTCCATGGGCGTTCCGCGGTCCTAGCGCCTGCTTATGTCCGGGTCCTTGTTGGTGCCCCTCTTTATTTTGTCCACTCTGTCGTGGAAAGGCAAAACCGCGTTTTGCAAAACAACGCTACGCACGCGGATTTGTCCTTGCACGACGGCGCTGTTCGGTTGCTAACGCTGAGGCTGAGGGTGCTGCGCGTGCCGTCTGCTTTGTCTGGAGCTGCTGCCGGTGGCCAGCACCACCCACCGACGCTGTCTAACGCTCCTCCTGCCGTTACATCCAAGTCCGGCTCTCAGGACTGCTTCATCCTGGACACTGGCGCCGCCGGCTTCTTCGTCTGGATCGGCCGCGACAGCGCCAAGGCCGAGAAGGAGTCGGCCATGACCAAGGCCACCAAGTACATGCAGCAGAAGGGTCTGCCCGTCTGGACCAAGGTGAGGACGCATCGCCAAACGGCCGACAACGGCTCCACGCTCAGAGTAAGCCAGCCTGGGAATGTCGACCTCTTTGCGTCTCTTGCGTAGAGTTGCGGGTCAGGATCGCTGTCCCCTGTCATTGGTATGCGCCGGGAAAAAGAACACCGGCCGCGTGACAGGCGCTGTCAGCAAATCGCTGACTTCCGGGACCACCCGTCTGCGGGGCAGCGTCATGGATCGCACGTTTCGTGATATGGTTTCGCACGCCTTCGACCGCCACCTGACAAAACACCTGCGGCCCTAGATGAGGCGTGTTGCGCTGCTGACCTGACCTGACCTGGCATAGCCTGACCTAACCCGACCCACCGGCTGCTCCAGGTGGAGCGTATCGTGGAGGACGCCGAGCCGGCCGTGTTCAAGCAGTACTTCTCCCGCTGGGTGGACGACGACGCCCAGGTCGGCCTGGGCAAGGTGTACACCGAGGAGCAGATCGCAGGTGCGTCCAGCTGGTCGAATCGAAAGCCAGCAAGTCTGTGTTCGCGGCTGACTTTTCTTAGAATGGAGCTTCGGTAAAAATGGGGCGTTTCAAGTCCACTTCCAGTGGGAATATTATAGCATGAACATCGAAACATGCTTAATGTTCACTGACCGATAGTGAAACATTTGTATGACAATCATACAGACATGCTCTACCCATACTGGAAAAGAAAGCTACTTTTAGCAATATCCGTTGGCAGTCGGATAGAGCTCGTCTCGTGCGTACGATGTGCTGTTGGCGCGCCCCTGACGTACTGCACCGTCTACGCGCCCCTGACGTACTGTACCGTCGGCGTGCCCCTGACGTACTGTACCGTCGGCGCGCCCCTGACGTACTGTACCGTCGGCGCGCCCCTGACGTACTGTACCGTCGGCGCGCCCCTGACGTATTGTACCGTCGGCGCGCCCCTGACGTGGCGCCGTGCTCTCCAGAGAGCCTGCCGAACCTGGACCTGTCGGCCCACTCGCCGGCCGAGCAGCGCCACATCATCCAGAAGTCTGCCGGTGCTGCCATCGGCTTCATGCCCGACGACGCGTCCGGCCAGCTCGAAATCTTCCGGTGAGGCTGCCACTCGGCGCCGCTGGGCTGGCCCGCGTGAGTTCTGGCCGATGTGGTGCGGCGCTTTCGGGTAGAAATGGTGAGACTGCTTTCAAAGGCACCTCTTGTCGCCAATGGTATGCTTACTGACATTGTTTCACATGCCCTGAACGTCAATGGGAATGTGATTAAGCGTGAACTATCGGAGGTGTCGTTCTTTGCCTTATAATGTGCATGCTCCGTCCCCTTGATCGCGATACTCGATCCTTCTGCCGGTGAAAAGGACAGGAGACGCCAGCAGTGGTTGTGCGGTTGTACCATCTGTCGATGCTATCTCGCTGTCACGGCCAAGTGTGTAAAGTTGGGTGGAACTTCCTCTGCTTCCCTCGGCCAGCTTATAAAGCTTCCCTGTAAGACCCGCAATAACAAAACAAGGCTAAGCATGGACACCGGGTATGTCATGTGTCGTTTTGGCGTTGGTGACCGGCCGCGCTGGTTGGGGACGGGATGGCACAAGGACCGGCCAACTCTGACGGCCTCGTGTCCTTCGTCAGGGTCGAGGAGATGGATCTGGCGCCAGTGGCCGAGGAGGCGCACGGCATGTTCTTCGGCGGCGACTCCTACGTCCTCAAGTACACCTACGAGAAGGAGGGCAGGGAGCAGTACATCATCTACTTCTGGCAGGTATGCGGTGCCAAGTTTTAAAGCGCCCGAATAGCTGGACGAACGATGATCAAGACACGTGTTTTCGAGCATCGGTGCGTGGTTTGTGTGATGAACATTGACAGCTTGTTTCATCTAGTCGCCTAAATTCGTGGCGCTCTGTTGCCAGCGGGTTAAAATCGCACCTCCACAGTGGCCTTCCGAATGGCAGCCGAGTGTTCTTGTTTGCAGGGCAAGGAGAGCTCCAACGACGAGAAGGCGGCGTCGGCACTACAGGCGGTCAAGATGGACGACGACCTGGGCGGCAAGGCGGTCCAAGTGCGCGTCAGCCAGGGCGAGGAGCCGCGCCACTTCCTCATGCTCTTCAAGGGTAGGTGCTGGGATCGTGCTGTGACGGTCGGCTGGTCACTGATCAGGCAGGGGGTGGTGTGTTCATTAGGCCCGCGGTCATGACGTGCGTTTGAATGTGAAATGTCGGCTGTCATCATAGGGCGGAAGCGGCGATCGTGCTCTTCGTACGATTGCTTGGGACGCGGACGTGTCGTGGTCATAGGTGTCGCAAAGCAACCACTCGTAGGGGAAAACACTTCTTTGTGGCTTAATTGCGTCTCAGTGTAGTGTCGCGTCCCCCTCCATGTACCGAACCAGTGCACCCCGGAGCCCGTGCTTGGCTGAGCCGCAACTCACTCGGCCGGTCCCGCCGCAGGCAAGATGGTGGTCTTCATGGGCGGCCACGCGAGTGGCTTCAAGAACGTTCACGACCACGACACGTACGACGCGGACGGCACGCGCATGTTCCACGTGCGCGGCCTGAGCGAGGCTGACACGCGCGCCGTGCAGGTGCCCGAGCAGGCGGCCTACCTCAGCCCCGACGACGTGTTCGTGCTGGAGACGCCCGGCACCACCTACATCTGGAACGGCCAGGTCGGTGCTGGCGCCGCCCGATGGCAGGGCCGGGAAGCTGTGGTGTGCTTGGTGGCCGGGAGGCAACTGTCGTGTAGACTGGGAGAGTGGTGTCCAATTTATTGCAATAACACTTTCGGCGACGGGGCGAGGAAAACGCCGGGGGGGGGGGGGGGTTGAGCAAGGATGCTGAGCCCCCTGCCTTTCTGGAAAGTGAACATGGGTTCAGTGGGCGTTGACTAGAGAGAAATTACCAAAAGGATATGTACCTGCCCCGACATGAGGGCTTTTATTCCTTCCTGCGCGTCGGCTGTCTTCGGGTATAATGCATTAGTTAGAGTCGTGTATTTGTGGTCCATATTTGAAGCAAACGGATGCTGATAGTCGCACAATCTTGGATATGCAGCAGACAGAAGTAAGCAGATATGACTAGCTACTTTGTTATCTCCCAGTCCTTTTCTACTCATCCTAAGTGGGTCTCTCATTTTAGATAGGTTCGTTGGCCGCCTGTTTCAGCACTTCACCGTCATCTGTTCTGTCTTCTGCAGTCTGACCCGACCTGACCTGACCTGACCTGACCTGACCTGACTCCCAGTCCTCCTGGCAGTAGCGGCTGATGACTGACGCTGCCTGCTCCGCTTCAGGAGTCCTGCGAGGAGGAGCGGGCCGTGGCGCCGGGCATCGCGGCTCTGGTCTCCCCGGACAGCGAGCCCACCGTTATCAACCAGGTGAGGGCGCTCCTCCGGCCGGCAGGGCCTCGCGTCCCGCTCACGAGGTCTGATTACGCCGAACATCATGTGGAATTGGATGGGATGCTGAGCCGGGCTCGCTGACCGGGCGCGTCCCTGCACTAGCGGTATGCCAATGCAGTGACAAATAGCACGACCGGACAGTGACGCGCCGTTGTCTGGCCTCTGACCGTGCGGTCTCCGAGTCTGAGCGTCCGGCGCTGCCGTCCCTGAGTCTGACCCTGTCACTCTGAGCCGCGCCTGAACACCCCCTCGCGCCGGCAGGGCGAGGAGCCGGAGGAGTTCTGGGCGGCGCTGGACGCCTCTGCCGACCAGATCGGCCACCATGAGCCCAGCTCGCCCCAGCGCGCCAAAAAGATGGTCCACTGCACCATCAACAGCTCCGGCAACTTCATCGTCAACGACGTCGACGGCTTTGAGCAGGACGTGAGTGTGCCGTGGGAGGTCAGGACTGCTCTTGTGTACATAGTAAAAGCTGGGTGGTCTGAGGGTTTGGGGCGCGATATCCACCAGGTTTCAGGGACCATGGACATTTATCTTGTGTGCAGGTGCATTGCTGTAACTGATGGCCAGTTCCTGGTATATTTAGGTCAAACTGAGATATTGCCTCTGGATAAGATATGGTAGAATGGTTGCGGGTATCATCATTGGGCTTAGCGTTTGTTTGTGCGCTTTGACAGCTTCAAGTCTCCTCGTACTCCCCAAAAAGTCAGTCTGGCCATGCTATGTTGCGGGTGAACAGTCGCAGCTGTTGCCATTCGATAGCAGTCAACTATTGTCATTCAATAGCCATTAGCTCTGCTGAACAGCCATTTTTTTTCGAGCGTCGCTAGAGGGACAAGCCCGTCGGGCTCCTCATGAAAACACAGCAGAATAATCAGACATGACTCATCACGATAATCGCAGGTGCTGAAATATGCAGAGTGGAAAGAGTCGCCATGCTAGTGCGACGCGACGCGCCGGGTCCTCTATCGATTGCATACTGACCTTCGCAGGACCTGAACGACGATGACGTCATGCTGGTGGATACGGGTGACGAGGTGTACTGCTGGATCGGCAACGACGCCAGCGCTATGGAGAAGGAGAAGTCATTTGAATTCGCCAAGGTACACTCAAGTTCGCCGTTGTTATGAAGCGGCTGAAGCTACCGCTCGACGTTAAATTCATGAACAGTGCTGAGTTTTGTTGCGGTGCTCGATAAGGTGACTGTTATGGTGGCACCGACCGCCGTCAGACGTGAATTTATTGCTCGCTATTGATGACGAACCGCACTTATTTGCCATCCGATGCGAAGATACGATACTGCCACACAGCGGTAGTGCCTTCTACGGTGGCACCAGTTCCAGTGTCTCACGCCATATAGTAGAATGTGACGCTAGACCGGCATGGGGTGGCAGCTGCGTGTGCCGCCCTCCCGTTGCCTCCCACCGGCGCCCCCCCCGCCCGCCCCCCCCCCCCCCCCGTCGCTAACAGTGTTAGTCGATGCGGCCGTTACAGAAGTTCGTGCAGACCGACCCCCCCTCGCTAATAGTGTTAGTCGATGCGGCCGTTACAGAGGTTCGTGCATACCGACCCCTCCCCTCGCTAACAGTGCTAGTCGATGCGGCCGTTGCAGAAGTTCGTGCAGACCGACCCTTCCCCGCGCTAACAGTGTTAGTCGATGCGGCCGTAACAGAAGTTCGTGCAGACCGACCCTTCCCCGCGCTAACAGTGTTAGTCGATGCGGCCGTTACAGAAGTTCGTGCAGACCAACCCCTCCTCGCGCTAACAGTGTTAGTCGATGCGGCCGTTACAGAAGTTCGTGCAGACCGACCCCTCCCCGCGCTCGGACGCCACCGTCATCCAAGTGAAGGAGGGCAATGAGCCGGCGGCGTTCAAGGCACTCTTCCCCAGCTGGGACGACGCGTTCTTCGAGGTGCCGTCTGACGTACGTGCCCCTCAGCATGCGACGGGGGGCCGTATGTACGCTCGCGCTCTACCTTTATCCAGCTTCTAGCCAGCGCTGTGCTGGCCTGTTCACGCCTCGGCATTGGGCGCTAACACGTGGTGGTGGTAGGGGTGGTGGACCGTGAGCGATGGAATAGTTTGAGTGCCTGAGACTAGGTAACCATGAAAAAGCACGCGACCCTACTTACCTGAATAATGGGAAATGATGTGAGGCAACTTTAATGTTGCACGGAGTTGAAGCTCGCCTTTCATGGCAAGGTACTTCCACTATTAGTAATTGTACAGCTGTACGTGCATGCCATAGACACGAGTTGCATTATGTGTGCTATAAGAAGTTTGCTATGCAGCTGACGGAATGAATCATCTAAATTGTAAAACCATGCTCACGTTCGCATTTGTATTTGTTTCTAACGAACTCGCCATGAGCACGAGTCATTGAAAATCATCGTGGTTCTCGATGGTAGAAGTGAATTAATATCCCACTGCATCTAGCATATGTGACTCAAAGCGCCTCTGGCGTTAGGATGCGGGCAAAATGAGTGAAATGATTATACTGACAGCCAAAATGGTGGGCCATCATCATGTATACATACTGGAGCTGTATGAGTTTGTTTATGCAGGCCAAGCGCATCTTTGCGTGAGCCAGCAGGACATTCCTGTAGCTTCATCGGCGCCGCCAGCCCGGCCAGTCCCGCTCTAGACGAGTCTACTTTCTTAAAGCTGCTGATCGTGTCATCATGCGGTTTTCAGGTACAAGTGGCACAGTTTCCAAAGTTTGGTTTTTACGTTTTCATGGCATAGCATCTACACGTGTGCTATTTGGCACGGTGATCATATATACAACGTCGCAACATCAGTCGCTAGCTCCCCTCTTTACTCGATTAACACACGAAAAGTAACATTTTAAAGTCGCGAGGAAAAAAAACTGAAGAAAGCGGGCTGGTGACGCGCCTCTTTTTCGGCTCCCTGACGCCGATGCGACACAAGACTGATCGACACCAACGGAGGAGAGAACTGGCGAATAAACGCCTTCACTGATCTCCGAGTGCCTGACTCTCGGAATGATCTATGCATGCCTGAACTGATCTCAAAGACAAAACGCTCAAGCGTAAACCGAGAGGGGCTAAAGCATGAATATTGCACAGCCGTGTAGACCGTGCTGCGGGAACACCATCGACCCAAATCATTTCTGTTTTTCGCGATGTTTCGGTCAGCATTCATAAAATCGTGCACTTTACAAATTTATGGATGTTGTCGATCACATCGATTTTGCCTGCGCTCGGCTGGCCGAAATCAGTCTGCAATCCAGCAAAGTAATTTGCACTCCAATTTATGGTGTCGTCTACGTGAATGCAGCAATCAAGTCTGCCGCCACCTCCCTGTCCCACGCCGCCGCGGAAGGCGTCTTACTTACGTTGATAGTCGTCTAATCTAGATATAATGCATAATATGTCTGAAATATGTGTAAGCCTTACTTATGCTGACTTACATGAATACTTACATTGAATACTTGAAGAAATACACCACCTCGGTAATTAGTTGCTTGCCCCGATGCGTGACATTTATCCACTATTCCCCACATACGCCCCGCCCAACGCAACTGCAATGTTCTTGCCCTAGCGCGCTGGGTACGTATGTACATATACTACGTGCGCACATGTATGTACATATACTCCAGGCGTCACTGGGGCTGCTTTTTAAGGGCTATGCTTCAATCGCTTAGTAGTAAGCTTTGGTCATAGTAGTAAGCCGCTTATCGTTGCACACAGCGGCGCTCCCCTGTCACTGGCTGGCGCGCCGCCGCGCGCCACTGGAGCACCGGTCCACGTCCGATGAGAGTACACCGTGTATATTGCAATGTGCATTGGTCGGGCTGTCCAAGTGGCGTGCTAGCGGAACACCACATGGCGCGCCATATTCAGACCTGCAGAAGAAAACCCTGTTAACGCGCGCCCGGGTGGCCGGCTAGATACCCTTTGCTCGGGTGGGGGTCAATTTGCCCGCCCCCCCCCCCTAAGATTCCTAAGCTGGAGACACCAAATTTGCAGGGTGTGTGAACCTGTACGTGAACTCACTTAGGTCGAAGTTTGAGGTCACTAGATGATGTCCTGGTCAGATAAGGTCAAACAAGGCCAAATTCCAGGTTGGTCTCCAAAGTACCCCCAGAACCTAGATAACTCTTTCTAAGCAAAAGGCCACAATCTCATTTAAGGTCAGTGACCTTGCTTCACCCTTTGAAGGTCATGGTGACCAAAATCATACAAGACTGCTCCGAGTTTTGCAGTTGAATAAGGGACAAAGATTACGTTTGGCAGTGTGTTCTTTGAAAATGTCGACCTGGGTCATCTTATGTCATTGATCTATTATGACCTCTAAGAAGTCATCTGAAGATGAATGATGCGGTTCCTGCTATCAGTGAATTCAAAATGAGCACCGGAAAATACCCCATACGCAACCCCTAGAGCAGTAAAACAGGTTGGTTTTGACCTTGGTCTGACCTTCACACCTGACCTTAGGTCAACTTAGGTCAAGTGTGAAGGGTACAGGTACAACTTAGGTCAACATGCTTGTGTTGCCTAATAAAGCATCTCAAATATGTATATCTTCGTCAAACACTCCGCTATTGCGTCAGATTGAACGATTCGCTAGAAATTGACTTTGCTGAAACCATGGCCGGACTTTGACCTGCCATAGGTCAGTGACCTTGCAAGGTGCATCTAAATGTCTTACACCAAGCGATCTGCTCTTCAATTGTGAACAGCTATGCAAAATGTGGCGCGGCTACCCCGCGCCGTTCCGAAACTATTGTGGAAAAACATCCGGGGGTCAATTCGACCCCCCAACCCGAGCTCGTGTTAGTGAACGAGCAGTCTCACTTTGTTAGTTAAGTTTGCGCAACTGCCGCTGTGCTCATTCTCTTATACGGGCTGCCCACAATACCCTGACACTTCTGATACCCACTCTTGACCCCAAGTGGCGTTTGCACCTGAGCGGGTCGAAAGTTTCCCTCATCTCAACTGGATATTATAGCTTGCATCCGATCATGCGCTGTAGCCACACATCAGCGCATAGCGATCTCCTGTGTTTTAGCGTGGTACCGCTCCAGCATGTGTCGAAGTTTCACGCGGCCCGGCTCGCCTCACGTTCTGTTCTCGCGTTCGCAGAACCGGCCCAAGTACGACGACGTCAAGTCCATGATCGCCCGCTTCAATGAGTCTATGTAGGCGGGCTGCGCCGCACCACGCCTCTGGCGCGCCAGTCCTTGCCGCCGCGCGCCGAGGTTCGGCGCAGCGTGCAGCGTTCTGCCGGCCCAACCACGTGAATTACCGGCGCCATGATCAGAGCTCTGCTGGCGTTTGGAGCCGCTCTTCGCCGCCTTAGGGATAGATCGGGGCCTTTTAGGGTCGGTCCCGGTACGTAGTGCGAGGAGCTCTCTCTTACACCGATTTGTTGGTTTCCGAGAAGGTCTCAAACCTATTTTGTAATAATTTTGTTTGTTTGCTTCACTCTGCGGGCGGTGTGACGTAGTGTTTGGATATATGCGTAGTTCGATCGCATGTGCTTAACGAGAGCATGACAACAACGAGGTTCGACGTTCATGATGCTGGCTGCCGGTGTTTCGAGCAGTTGTTTTGATATTTTCACGTAGGCTGCCACTGCAATCCGATCGATGGCGACAGGAGATTCTGAAGAGGTTTTGTTTTCTCACTTAGCCGCACATTTCTGCTAGCGCGTCGAAGTTTTCATGATCCGCGTATTGGCATCCGGTGTTTCTGATGTCTTCATTGCTGGTAAGGTGACGAGCGGTGCTCCGCCCGTCCTTTTGGAAACGTCCCTTGATAAGGGCAGTGGCTCCGTCTCGAATTTCAGCCGGTATTTGCCCACTAGCTGAACGAATTGTTAGTCTTCCGTATTGTCTGACAACCCCAAGCTGATAGCGCATTGTGAGTAGAAGAACGTCCAGACGGTTGAGTGCGGAGCCGAGGGAATACTCGAGCCATGCTATACTTGTAACGCTTTCCGCTGCCTCAAGGCCGCGCTTTCTGTTCTTCTGCGGAACCGCGCTGGTTGCGCAGCCTACATGCTTCTAAAGCTTTATACGACGCCGGTAGACAGGCACCAGTCGAGGATATTTTTCGAATAAACCTGTGGAAATTTTGCCGTGTCTTTTTCATATGCTACGGATGGATACTGCAATGGTACGGCGCGGGCGTGAAAGTGAATAAATCGGGCTATTCTTTGTCTGCTGCTACGTAAAACTGACACCTCAAACGGTATCATCTGCAATGTCGGGGAAACCCTAAGTATGGTCTGCCTTAACGATTAAGTGAGGACGATATGTTGCCAGCTTCATCAAATAACTTCTCTCTTTTCCTAGAAGGACAGATTACGAAAAAAAACGCAAAAACTCAACAACAAAAAGATGTGAACATTGTGCACGGCAGTTAAACAGGTAAATTGAATGGACGCAGGCAGAACGCGTTCATTCAATTCACCTGAGTGGTGATGTCAATAAAAAGCATGTTCATATGCGGACCACCCCTCGGCCTCGCAACCTTCACCCGGCTTCCTCATCCGCCTCCTGTCCCGGTATTTCAGAGAGCCAACTTGGACTGTGTTTCAGCTGCCAGCATGCGCTCACGTCCACACGTGTCCAGAGTTCCGGGCCGAGTCCCGGGCTGGCGGCGGGTCAGCACCGGGAAAACGTGTGGCACGTGGCGACCGCCGCCGGTCACACGTGCCTACAACGCACCAGTCCTGCCTGTGCCAATGTGTCAGTCAGCAACGATGCGGCTTGCCGCGGCGTTGTGACTGGCGACCAGCTTCATATGCATCAATTATTTCACGGTTTCCTTTATTTTTCCATGATGTTTGAGGTCAGTCGTACTTGATAATGCCGCGGACACCTGTGGCATGGTATGGGGCAGCTGGTTCATCGCTGCTTTTTAAAAGACATCTGGATTCGTCAGACTTTTTCATCCACTTGAAGTTGCCAAAACGCAAACCTCTTCACCCGCATAGTACGATGCTAGACTTTTGACGGAATGCTGCATTGGGCATCGGCGCGGAAAGAGGAACTGCTCGAATGTGCCGCATGCGCCAAGAAAAGATCCCATCGTTTCTAGGGGGAAAAGTGACGGAGAACTCGATGGGCTATTGATGCTGCATCAGTCAATAAATTTTCGCAAGTCTAAGTGCAGTTTGTCAGAATGGCACCGATGGGTCTTAGCAATCTTGCGGTGTTGCCACTGTTTGCCACATTATGCGTGTTGATTGGCCGAAAATTTTGCGCAACATGGAACTTGTGCCACATAGGATTTGTACAGATTTATTAGGACATAGTGTCCTAAAGGTACCCTGCATGTTTTTGTCATTCCAACTCCGTCATGTGTTTTTATACAGCCTGCTTATATTCTTTTGCCAAACGTATATGACGAAACTAAGTTGCTCGGAAAGCATGTCAAGCTGCTCAAAAGATATATGAAAGCGTCAAAGTCGCAAGGTGACGTCTGTATGTGCAGCGCCGGTAGAAGTTTGTGGCTGTTTAATGATTTTGATGTCCTGAGACCAGCGCGATCTGTTGTCGTAGCTAGGACATCTACTTGGAAGTTCGCGTTTGCTGCACCGTGCGCGATTACTGCGTATCTGGCTTCCATGCGTTCGCCTAGTGACAGACATGTGCCAAGGTCCTAAGGGTAGATCCACGATCCCGTAAGGTTCCATGCTAGTGGGATCCTGGGATTTTTTTTTGGGGGGGGGGGGAGCTCCAGGCACATGTCTGCCTGGTCGTATGTACTGTGTGCACCCTCAGTGAACGTTCGTTTCCAAAGTGTTCATAAAGCCTGTCACGAACGATGTGTTTTGTTTTGCCTTTATACAATATTCCTGGGCGGAGGCTAGAGGAAGCCTCATATTCTAAGTTCTTCCGTGTGCAGTTTTCCTCTCAGCCAATAGACACATGTTTGGCGAACCCTTAGCCCAGCCGGACACGGTAGGGTCTCGAGGGCTAATCGAAATGGCATGGTCTTAAGACTGGCACCACCAACACACGCTACGGCAAGGCCGTGAACACCACTCGATGGCATGACGACATTCACCTCTTGGTACAGCTCGCGATCAATAAACGGGAGTCTCACACATAGTCAATTTGTTCGTTTCGCATTTCTGCGATTACGTAAGTTGTTAAGTGCATTTGCGAGGATCATTATGCACATGGAAAAGACGATAGTTTTAACCAAATTAATTTCTGCTATTCATTTCTGCTATTCGTTTCGATAAAAAATATGTTGCCGAAATACCAACGCATCTACATCTTTATTCTTCTGGTTGTTCTACCAAGAACGAGGCTTTTACTGCTGTCTTTTCTACAACTACATCCTAAACCTGATGTTTTGTCAACAGGGGCGTGCGCATGATTATACAATTGGGGGACGCAGTAGAACTTAAGAATGAAACCGTGGCTAAACGCACCACAGGCGAGCGCAATTTCTTGCGCAGTTAAATAATGAAATGACTTAATTTAAGTAAAAATGTATCGCGTACCAACAAAACGACATCGTAGGTTCTCGACGTGTCCATTGTAACGCGTCTTCCTGGAATTTATAACTGCATCACGTCGCGTCAACGTCAACGTCAACGTCGCGTACGTATCACTATACGCCATAGATTTGGCGAGGGGTAGCGTACCCCCGGGCGCTACCATGAGCGCACCCTCATTTTTTTTTAAGCGAGGATGTGCTGCGCAAGCTGCGTACCTGCCTCGGTGTTCCGGATATCCGCTCTCACGGAAAAAGGAGGGGCATTTTCGCACGACCACGCTCACACGACCGGGGATCGGAAGATGCACGTGCCGCTCTCCCTATGTGTGGTGTAAGGACTGCTTTTTTGGTAGTGATGGGGTATGCAGAATTATAATGTCATGCGATGGTGGTCGTGGGCTTAAAACGCACTTTGGTGGTGTATTCTTCGCCTGGCTGCATCATAAAAAGGGTGTCAAGGAATGAAATTGACGCATTTTATGTGGTGTCTTCCAAAGCGAAGAAATTATTGCCGTCTGGGTGATTGATTTGGACTTTCCTCTATATAACCATTGCCCACTTGATAACATTGTTTAACCAGTACCTCCTCGCACACTGGAAGTCGACTATTTTCAGCGAGATTCCAGCTGATGACGCCGAAAGATCACGAACGCAAGGCCTGTATTGCTCATATCAACTTTAAACTTATGTCAAAGCGTTAGTCGCGTTATGCACCAATGGAGCCATCTCAGTAGCCGCATGGTCCCCAGCCTTTACCTGCTTTGTTACTCCAATTATCGACATGCATTGTAGTCGTGCAAGGTCAGCTTCAACTTAAGTTGCCCTGATAAATGTTTGTGTGACGCGCTGTTGCAGCATCTCTTGCGAGGATAGCGCTGACAGGGACACGTTCGTCACAATGATCAACAGCTGAGTGTCTTGCGAGGATAGCGCTGGCAGGGACACGCTCGTCACAATGATCAACAGCTGAGTTTCTTGCGAGGATGGCACTGGCAGGGACACGTTCGTCACAAAGTTCGACAGCTGAGTTTCCCAATCACTGGCAAAACCAGTTCGTGAGGCAAAAAAGACGTTTTCGGCATACACTGTATTGATAAAAATAAAGTCAAGTGGTGCGGGGCCAGTGAACAGCAAGGGCTATGCGCAAGAAAAAACTACTGAACCACATCAATTATTACGAGCGAAGGGGGAGGGAGTAATAGACCAGACAGCGATGAAGCGGTTAAAAACAGCAGACAATATGTAGACACAAAACGCGTGATCTGTAGGGGTAAAATGTATTGACCGCCGAAAGTGGCCTCATGATAGCCTGAATCATTTGAAAAAAATCACAACATGGTCTGATAAATACGGTGACTGAAAAGTGTCTTGACTGATAAGTGTCTTGACATATCGATAAACGCATGAGTCACAAGCTGCACAAGCTACCGCAACCCCCGGATCACCACTGCATTCTCACGTACTAACACATACCTGAAACTGGTCTATCTGCACTAGGTTAACGTCAACATGTAAATAATTATTACCCCTATCCTCATTGTTTAGACACATTCTGTAATAGCTCACTTCAGCACTGATATTACTATTTAGCTTGATTGTCTACACATAGACAATACCGATTATCTTACCACAACCACCCAATTAACTAAACGGACTCTGTCGAAGCGATTCTCAGCAAATAAGCGCAACTTGAACTGCACACTTTGTCCTGTTACAAACCCCCAAACTGAATACTAATGACAAGCTCGCCACTGCCAGCGCGCGTGACTCGAAAAATATCGACGCGTAAGCAAGAGCAACGGTCTTATTAAAGACGACGTGGAGCTAATTAATATGAACACGCAAAGATCGCCTGTTGAATTGAACGCACTGAGACAACCTAAAACAAAGACGCAACGACAACCACACAGAAACTGTCTACTAAAACATCAGACAAGGAGACCGGCTAGTAAACCAATGCACAGGAAACTACAACAGGTCGCTTAGCTAACTACGTTAGCACAAAATACAGGCTTGATGCACGTGACACGGTCTATAACACCCACATACCTGCACTTCTCCAGGTTACCTTGCACGTTCACATGGAAAAATACAACGGCAACGACCACCACAACCAACGCTCTAAATCCAAAGGGTGAAAGCAGCTAGTTCAAAGGGCGAAATCGGCTTAGTTCAACGGGTGAAAACGGCTAGTTAGTGATTAAGTACTCCGGCCTAGCCGTCCCATGTCTGGCAGGGCGTGTACTTGCATGTTTCGAAGGCCGCGGAACTTCCCGGCACGGTCGGCGGTCAGCTTCTCCGAATCAAGGCTCATTATCGATTTTCGAGAGGGCCTTTTATGTGGGGAGTCATGATTGGCGCATCACGTCCTAATTCAATGGGCAGTTATAATTTGATGAGGGGAATCTCGGCAGGAGTCATTCACCATGACTTATGCGCGACAGTCTCGCCTACCCGGCAGCGATCCCACATCAGCATCATTCTACCGATGCCGACACTTGAGCCAATGGTGGCAGTGATGACGTCTTCGGAGTGCGGCACATGCCGATGATGGTCCGGTGGTGGCATATTTATACAATATATAACACATTACTTGCATCATAACATAATACTCCTCCTCGACATCGGGAACGCAATTTATATGGACGGAATCCGGGGAGAAATTACGCTTTGAGGATAGGCTAGTTCAATTAGTCGAGTTCAATTTAAAACGCAGATCGCATTTCAAGACCCACTTCAATTCTTTTAGACGAACTGCGGAAGTCGGTTAGAATCATTACACGCCAACAGAGAGCCACATCCCAACTTTGTCGCTTAAAATGACATGGAGGTAAAACACTTTATGGAAACAGAACAGCATCACCATAGGTGACTTTGGGCGAGTGCAATGCGATGACATCCAATTTAAATTAGTACTCCTAATATGGGAAACGCTGACAGGACGTATCCCAGGCGGCACCGCGCAGAGAATTTCTTCATTTACATGCGGGGCATAAACATCGATACCATTCCTCTGTGTCAACTGGCGACACGAGTTCACGCCACCGTCCTTTGTGAGTCATTAACTCAACTTCGCCGTCCGTCAGCTGAGTCGCCGCCGTCTGCCAGCTGAGTCGCCGCCGTCTGTCAGCTGAGTCGCCACCGTCTGCCAAGCCGTCTGTCTGGCCCCTCGGCGCTTCACCCCTCGTCCGAGTCGTCACCCCGTCCGAGTCGTCTCCTCGACCCGAGTCGTCACCCCGTCCGAGTCGTCTCCTCGACCCGAGTCGTCACCCCGTGCGAGTCGTCTCCTTGACCCGAGTCGTCACCCCGTCCGAGTCGTCTCCTCGACCCGAGTCGTCACCCCGTCCGAGTCGTCTCCTCGACCCGAGTCGTCACCCCGTCCGAGTCGTCTCCCCGACCCGAGTCGTCACCCCGTCCGAGTCGTCTCCTCGACCCGAGTCGTCACCCCGTGCGAGTCGTCTCGTTGACCCGAGTCGTCCCAGCCGCAGAGTCGGCGCCCGTCGTCAAGTTCCATCGAGGCCGGCGCCCGCCGCAGCGTCTACAGGTGTTCAGTCGGTGGCAGTCGCCCCGCGGCGCACGCTTGCACGGGGGCGCGGTGACAACACGCGGCCAGAGTGAACCGTGCCGAGCGCCCTGCCCGCCGTCAGCTGGTGGTACGTGATAGTCACACAGCGTTATTGTACTGTGTCAGGCGCTATACTGTGCCTGGTGTCGCACTGTGTCAGATGTGACATTGAATCAGGTGTCATACTGTGCTAGGCGTGGTTCTGCGTCAGGTGTGACATTGTGTTAGGGACAATTCTGTTTTAGGTGTGATATTGTGTCAGGTATGGTGCTGTGCGAGGTGTGGTTCTGTGTCAGGTTTAAATTCCGTTAGGAGCAACTATGTGCCAGGTGTGATATTGTATAAGGTGTGGTAATATGTCATGCATGATACTATGTCATGCGTGATACTGTACCGGGTGTGATATTGTGCTGGGTGTGATACTGTATTAGGTGTGGTTCTGGGTCATGTGTGATACTGTGCCAGGTGTGTCACTGTGTCAGTTGTGATAACGTATTAGGGCCTAAAACACGCGCTCGGGTTGCCAATTGAATACCCTCCGCTAAGGCCGCCAGCCAATTTGACCCCCTGAGATCTCAAAACTGAGAGAACTAGAGATATCAAATTCACAGGGGTGTTGACCTGTGCGTAAGCTCACCATGTCAAAATTCGAGGTGAATAGGTCATGACCCTCGGGTCAAATGAAGTTTTAAAAATCAGACTACATATTGATATTCGAAGTGCCCCGAGACATTTTCATGCAACCATTGCGATTAAGATGCTGTTCTAAGATGCCCGTCAAGATACCGTTAAGGTCAATGACATTGTTTCACCTTTCGAAGGTCGTGGTGACCAACATCTCACCGAATTGCCTTGCTTTTTGCATTTGAATAAGCGTCAAGGATGACGCTAGACAGTAAATTCCCAAAGACAAAGTGCTACCCTGAGCCATTTTAGGTCAGTGACCTATTCTGGCCTTTAAGAAGTTTATGGAAGGTTTATAATGCGGCTCCTATTCTCAACAAGTTGTAATGACCCCCAGACACCATTCCATTCAGCGAGCTCCAGAGAAATTGAACAGGTTGGTTTTGACCTTGATTTACCTTCATACTTGACCCTGGAGCAATGGAATTTGTTGATTCAATTGTTATGTTGCCGAGAGGCTATCCCAGAAATGTGAAAACTATGTGAAAACTCTGTGTGTATGTAACTACCTCAGGCTTCCTCTAACATTCCGTTGTCGCGTCAGATTGAACGATTCCCTAGAAACTATCTTCGCTGAGCCCATTGTCTAACTTTGACCTACCGTAGGTCAGCGACCTTAGAAGATACACGTACATTTTGATCCCAACGGTTTGCTATTCAATTGCCTACAGCTGTGCAAAATTTGACGCGACCACGCCGCGCCGTCCGGAAAAATTCCGGAAAACCTCGGGAGGTGGGTCAAACTGACCTCGCTCGAGCGCATGTTGATACTCTGGCAGGTTTGATACTGTATTAGAGGGCATGATGTATCAGCCGTGATGCTGTGCGTGGTGAGGTACCGTAATAAGCGTGACGCTGTGCCAGACTGATGCTGTGTCAACTGTCACACTGCATCAGTCTGATACTTTGTTCGGTGTGATACCAATCAGGTTTGAGGCCGAGTCAAGTGTGATACTGTCTTAGGTATGATACTATGTTAGGTGTGGTGCCGTGTCAGGTGTGATAACGTATTAAGGCTTGATACGGTGTCAGGTTTGATACTGTGCTAGGCGTGATGTTGATTCTGCCGTGGTGCTGTGCAAGTCGTGATACCGTGTCAGGTGTGATGCTGTGTCAGATGTGATGCTGTGCCAGTTGATATACCGTTTTAAGCGTGACTTGTGTCAGGCTGATCCTATGCCAACTGTGACACTGCGTCCGGTGTGGCACTGTGCTATGCATGAGGCTGTGGCGCTCGTGATGCTGTGCGTGGTGTGATATTGTGTCAGGTGTGATATTATGCTAGTTGTGATAACTGTGTCAGATGTCTTGTTGTGCTTGGTGTGGTTCTGTACCAGGTGTGACGCTGTGTTAAGTGTGTCACTGTGTCAGGTGTGATACTGGGCTATGCGTGAGGCTGTGCCGGTTGTGATACTCTGTGTGGTGTCCTTCCTGTGTCAGGTGTTATGCCATGTTAGACATGACATTGTGTCAGGTGTGACGTTATGTTAGGCGTGGCACTGTGTCGGGCGCGATACTGTATTGGGCATGTCACTGCTCCAAGTGTGATACTATACTAGGCGTGATGGTCAATGCCAGGTATTATCCTATCCTTGGTGTGATCCTGTGTCAGGTGTGACTGTGTTAGATGTGATACTATGTCACATTTGATGATGTGTCAAATATGATAATACCTTGTACGAAGCCCTATGGTCCTCTGGCAGAGGGTTAGGCGAATTATTTCTTCATGCTGTGGGGACAGTGTGTCTTTTGGACGCGTATCTCTCGAAACTATTTTTGTGAAGAGCATAGACTCAAGCCATCGGTCCGCGGTGAGCAGCGGAGCGGTGCCACCTCTGTCTGCTGTTGGATCGGCCGTTTGCCCGAATCGCAGCTGAAGCCAGTGGTTGAATAACATATATGCCCATGATTAATAGACTCAGCCCGTGCCCGTGCACAATACCGCGTTGTCCCTGGAGCTTGAATTCATTGCGGATTCATCACTGCCTGACTAAATGAAACGATGCGTCCATCTTGTCGGGTGCATTGATATAATGGCACTGTTCTGTCTGATGCAATGCTATGATGTGACTGTCTTGTTTGACACATTGATAGGATGTGACTGTCTTGTTTAACGCATTAATATGATGTGACTGTCTTGCCTGACGAATTGATATGATGTGACTGTACTGTCGGGCGCATTTATGTGATGTGGCTGTCTTGTCGGACGCATCGATATTGTGTGACTGTGTTGTCTGACGTATTACTATGATGTTGCTGTCTTGTGGGACGCATTGATACCATGTGGCTGTCCTAACGGACGCATCGATGTGTAAATGACCGTCTGCCTGACTGAGCCAGCGCCTTTATCTGTCTGGCTCTGGGAGACGTCACGGCCGTCAGAATTATCTCCTCCGTTCCAGACTTCTCCTCCGTCAGAATCGTTTTCTCCGCTCCAGTCGTCATCCTCGTCAAGTCGGCATCTTCCCAGCGATTGCCCTCAATTTGGTCACACTCTTCTCCCCCCTGAAAGGGTCAGGGGCATGGGGATGGCCACCAACACCGATATGCCCCCAGCATGTTTCACCTTTTTCGTCCCGCCCAACGACGGCAGCGATGAGGACAATCAGCAGCTACTAAGCCGCGTGAAGAGGACAGGCAAATTTGACAGGAGCGGCACGCTGTTCGTCACGAACGAAACCAACGACATGTTCCGCAGAGGAGGTGAGGACCAGGACACTTGCAGCCAGGTTTTTTAGAAGGGGAGGGGAGAGGGAGCTCATTTAGAACGCATCACGCTGATTTCACGCCGATCCCGCTGATCACGCGGGTCTCAGGGAGGGCCGCCATTCCTGTTGGCTCCGCCAGTGGTGGGAACTGCTGTGTCATACACATGGCACAAAAGCGAGGGGAATGCTACCCTGTGGTGGTCTGATTCATCCGGGCCATCACCTGTGCGCCCAGGTGCACCGATGCGGTTAGCTTTGTTCGCGCCTGCCGTCACGCTGTGTGTAGTCTCTCCTGGTTCGTTTGAACGGCGGCCTTCCGCGTCCACGGTGTACCATGTCTAACGCTGCCGGGAAGGGGGCTCACGCCAGCGCTTCAGCTCATGAGTAGAAACATGGGTAGACGACAGCATGTGTGCACGTGTTCCAGGACAGTTTCCCGTGTTCCATCTGGAAGAAAGTCAGTCGGCGCTGCGCCAAATCCTTGGCACGCGGCCAGACCAGACGCCATTTTTGGCGAAGAATTTCATTACTCCGTCGACTCTAACACGGCAGGGTAAGCGGCAGCGCGGCTTATTAGTCAAGTCGTGACCGAAATAAGAGCAAAAACTGACACGTGAACTGTACTTTCGTACAGTTCGGCTGCTAAGAAGTTGCCCTTAGTCCTCGCCATGCCGAAAATAATTAACGCGCAACGATTGCAATGCTCCTCTCGACGATGTCATTACGAATCTCCCGCTTCAGGGACTGTTTTCCGCTTCTCCTGTTCAGGGAATATTTTGTCGTAAATTTGGCCAGGTGCCACCAGTCGCCAGCAAATTATTTGGCGGGATCAAAAGCTACGATCAACGGGCCCGGTAAAAAGGAGAAATGAAGCCGTACTGACAGAAAAAAACAAAGTCGCATGCTGAAAAAGCCAGAAAAACCTCTTGTCCAAAAAAACGACAACAAATAATGAGAACGGAGAGCTGGGCGTGCCCTGCTTTGCACAATATCCTAAAGAAGGAACTAAACTGAGGCCGTATTCCGGTGACTTAAATGTTCATATCAGGTGACGGATTGCTGAGAAAAGTGTTTGCCAATTCATTCCGTTAAAACTGAAAACCGACCACGGATTCCTGAGCCAGGTGACGCACCCAAACAAATTCACTTTCCCGTGGGCGGCAAGGTGAGCAGGCATAGCCGTAAAACTTGGAGCCAGGAGCGTCCCATAATAGCACCGCAGCCCCAAGCTCAATGTGTTGTGCGCTATACTCTGCGATCGAGTGGTCGGCCGTACATCTTTAAAAGCAGCACTGCTTTGAGAGACGTGCGTGGACATTCGCCGAACTTTCGGGCTTCGAGGTTTCGTTGGAGAAATTTGTAGTAACAAGGCGGAGCGATGTCGGATTTTTCAAAAGGAGCGTATAATTCCAAGGATTCAAGGTTTTCTGTAAAGTGGGCCGGAAGAGAAGACCGACAGTGTGGCTGCCGAAGCCGCCTGATCAGACGGTACTTGTTTTTCCTGTGATGTTAAGTGAAAGGCCTGGTCCACAGGCAAAAGTACAGGATATGGAGGACCTCCTACAGCACATTATCATGGTCTGTGCACCTGCAAAGGAGTAGATGCCGGCGATAGCTTGGCCGACGACTTCGCGTGTGCCGGTCACCCGGGTGGCGCACGTTGAAATACACAGCACGTAGTGTACCTTCCGTATGCTTCTTACGTTTTAATAAAAACTGGATAGATCTACCTGCGTTAGCTCTGACGTCGTAGCTGCTCTTCGCGGCACGATTTCTACCGGACGCCCTATATTGTGCCCCTTGCGGCTGCCTTGTTTTGTTTCGCCCTCCCCCCCCCCCCCCCCCTTCTGACCCGTACCATAGTGGTGGCGCTGCACCGCGGAGTTCATGTGGAGACCGGATTCCACCGGCTCATTCTCCGTACCCGGGGCGGGGCAGAGGCTGGGTGGCGTGCCAGCGACACGCCTCCGTGCCATCGATCGGCGCGAAACGTCCCGCCGCGCCCCGTGCAGCTCTCACGGATGCATTAATAAAGGAACAAATGCATTAGTCTGGGGTCAGGTCCCTTTATCCACGTTGTCGACTCTTTCATCATATTGACGGTGCAATATTTTGCCCCGACGTAGATTGTTGTAGCCATTGCTTAAATGACATTGATCGTGCCATAATTTTTTAAAATAATTTCATTCGAACAGTATGGACGGCTTATGCAGCCGCCTTGCATTTCGTAAATATGCACATGCACACACACACGCACACACACACACACACCACACACACCACACACACCACACACACACACACACACTACACACACACACACACACACACACACACACACACACACACACACACACACACACAGATATATAATATATATATATATATATATATATATATATATATATATATATATACTGTTTATGTCCATGTCAGTCATTTAACTGGACTCCATTGGCCTACGCTGCTCCTCAGGTAGCATTTGACGCGAACGAATGAGCCTTACAAGAGTTTGTTCGGGAACGGTTTACCAACTAATCCCTCGGTACGCTATCGCATGTTCGCGGGCTACATGAGTCGTTTGACATCACGCCGTGCCAACGTCGTGTTCGCTCTGCGATCATTTGTAATAACACCGTATGTCGGTGCCGTCCTCCAGTGATAATGATGTCACGCCTTTAGATATAACACCTGATACATTTGGTGTACTTTACAGATGGGCAGGTCAAAGTAAAACAATGGAGTCATTTATGTTTTACTGACGTTTGTTCGTGTTGTTATTGGCGATAATGATGTGTTCATTTTTCAAGATCTATACAAGTCGCAGCATTTTGGTAGGTCATGCCATCTCGCGGACAGATATAGGTGTTTAAAGTGCTGCACCATCCATACTTGCTTTTATTATTATTGCTACCATTAATTTACCGTTCATGTTTCATGCTTGCTTTCGGGCTGTGTCTTTAAAATGCAATGCAATAGATTGTAGTGTAATGCAGTGTAACGGATTGCATTGCAATCCAATGTAACGTAATTGATATAAGGAAGAAAGGCACTTAGATCCTAGTTTATCGGCATTATAAGTCAAAAATTCTTATGTTGGTTTAACGACCTGCAATATACCAGAAGACACTGGTCAAGCGACGTTTTGTAATGCTGAATAATAATCATGTTGACAGTAATCTCAATATCTGGAGCTGTGCTCATCCTCAAGAAGCCATTGAACTAAACAGCCGATATAGAGTTACCCTTTGCTCGTATGCTCGCTTATCTGTATATTAGTTATTTCCCGATTGTTAATTAATTGAAATCGCTTTAAGAATGAGCACAGCTCAAAATATTGAGTACCGTCAATACAATCGCTATTTCACATTAAAGCGTCATTTAACCAGTACCTCCTTGCAAACTAAAGGTCTTTAACTCACCGAAAGAGCTTCAACTCATAGTGACAATACAATGTAATGGCTTCAATGTAATGTAATGGGTTGCGTTGAAATGCAACACAACATTCTTTTTGCATAGGTGATAATGCACAACAGTGAGGAAAGCCTTGCCTACCCATTTATGGACGGCCGACCTCAACATGGGGTCAGCCCATGACCAGCTGCTGGCAGGACGGCGCGCCCACTGCTTCAGGTGGCGCTCATGGACGGGCGCCGCTTCAGGTCTGTACCGGCAGGTGCACCGGTTCGAGTTCGAGGAGGCGGACCCGAACGTCGCCGACACGGCCTGCATCCTGATGGCGTTCAAGTCGATGCAGACGGAGCCGGACCGGGAGCTGGTGCAGCACTGGAAGTCGTGGACCGGTGAGAGGGCGGCTGGCGCGCGGCAGCGGGGCTGCGTGCTCTGAGCCAGCTGGGCTGCCATGTCGGCTGGCGCGGGGCAGCGGGGCTGCGTGCTCTGAGCCAGCTGGGCTGCCATGTCGGCTGGCGCGGGGCAGCGGGGCTGCGTGCTCTGAGCCAGCTGGGCTGCCATGTCGGCTGCTCGGGGCAGCGGGGCTGCGTGCTCTGAGCCAGCTGGGCTGCCATGTCGGCTGGCGCGGGGCAGCGGGGCTGCGTGCTCTGAGCCAGCTGGGCTGCCATGTCGGCTGCTCGGGGCAGCACGGAATGGGGCAGGCAGGGCTGCCCTAGAATCGTTTTTGACCTAGGGTGGGAGTGAAAAATTTCACCGCAAAAAGATTGTACAGGAGTGAAAATTCAATTCACAGAAGTTTGAACTTATGAGTCAGTGAGAGACACTCCAGCAAACAAAGACATACATTTCAAATTCGCATGGATATAATAACATAGACATGACAAAAGTGTTATTGTATTTTAAGATAATAGGTCATGACAATGAAACAATACCATAAAGAATAGTAATTTCAGAAAAGTGTGATGAAGATAAAAAACTATGTAACACCAATGATTTGACGCTGCACTTTTCACTCCCCTTCCACAGGATTTTGTATCATAGAACAAAGCAAAGGAATTCAACAACAAAGACAACAAATCAGCAACTATAAAGCATTCAAACAAAAACAGCCTTAGGCTCCTGGACACCAATACATCAACAAATCAAACGCAACATACATACTGCTGGCTTCTGTTAAGATGGGGTCGGGAAATACAAATATTATGTCGCTGCTCCTTGCAAAATGCCAATGCTTACTTCCATTAAAGTTAAGTTATTAAGCCTAACCACAAGAAGCCTTACATCATTTCATCCTGTTTAACTTACTTGTATCGCAGTAGCATTTGTGAATCACTGATACTTGCAAAATTCCTAGTGCCACTTAGTATGCAATTACCAACCTAACCTACTTTAGAGTAGCCCGTGTGTTAAACATCATCTCAGGTCAGCTCACCTTTTTCTTGACAGCAGCAGTTGTGACAAAACATGACAAAGCTTATTTTTGACCGGTTTACTCAACTTGTGTTTTGGCTCAATTCATTTGTGTCAGCTTGCTGACACCAGACAAGGTTGACTACACACCAATCAAAACCTCTCAAATCACCTTGAACAACTTATTCCGATTGTCATGGTTGGCCTCTGTCAAGGGCAATAGTGGGTATGCTCAATAAAACAACCTCTCTTCTCCAAACATAACGGAACTTACAGATGGCCACACAACTAGTTTTGCTGCTTGCCTTTTCAGCTGCAACGAAGGCATCCATTTAGGTTTAGTTATTCATGTGTAGCGACTAAGTATCGAGATGTTGGCTTCACATTTTAAGTGGTAGGTCTGACTTTTGCTAAGAACAGATATCTACTTCATAATGCAATTGCTATGCAGCTTAGAGTATTCCTGTGTTAAACAGCTAGTGCATGTCTACAGTACAGTCATTTGTCAGTCAGCAAACCATGGCAACCACGGGCAACATCTTGTTAAAGCAGACATGAGGGACAACTTCTACAATTTACGGCAAATAATCATGAGTATAGAACAGCATAGTCTAATCATATGTCTTGTGGCATCACAATGTGTCTTATGAAAAAGGCTCAATGGGTTAAAACAGAAAATGTCTAAAACCAGTTACAAATCATGTGTTGAAAGTAGGTAAGGTTAGCAATTAGTTGCTCGGCAGGAGAAACTTAATGGCTCTTTAGGGGTAAGTTTCTTTCTGCTCCTCCCCCCCCCCCCTCTCCCCTACAAAGTCAGCATCTTTCGCATGGTTTGCCGACAGATAGGGTAATTCAGCCCAACCACAACATATGAATAGCAGCCATGCCAGCAATATACAAGATTAAAATGCGAAATAAGTAGGAGGGGTCTGCATAAGAAAACAGCCCGAAGGGTAGAATTTCGCTTCCAAACACTTCTGTATTAGCTGCGCCAGGTCTCTCCCAAAGCCATGTACGGCAGGATAAGGTAACGTTGCGAGGTAGTGAAACTGGTATGGCTTAGATTTATCGCTATTAACCTCCGCCATGAACCAAAAAAGGCTGTCTAGGGGTTTGACAGGGCAAAATGACGATCGAAATACGTTTCGCGCTTCTGTTTGTCCCCTTCATTCCCTATGAACTGTCCACTCTTGGCCGCATATCAAACATGTTTGGGTGGCTGATAAACGAATCTAATTTATATAAAAATACGTGCTAGTTCGCAGTTGACATAGTTTGCAGAGAAATTGATCAAAGTAGTAAGCCATATAAAGTGTCTTTAAACATAATCCGAAAATGAAGAAAAGATGAAGTTGCGTCACATTCGTAGGAAGCTAAGAAAAAACGTAATTGGATAAACGTAAATGATCATAATTTTTGGACAAATTTTGTAATAAAGTCATTCGGCTTTCAGTCTGTGAGCATGTGAGCCTAAATGACTATATTTAGCTTTTAGACTTCATTTAGAAGGCATTTCGTGAATTTTCCACTCTTAAATTTGGGAGTGGTTCAGTTAAGTGGTCAAGTTTCTTTGGGCTAAAAAATACGTGGAGTAAGATTGTCTACCAGGCTTTACTGGTGTTTGTCCCAGGCTTTGCTCTGCTGGCGGGGTATTTGCTAAGTGCAGCTAAAAAAATATTGGGGATACGTGAAAACCCTGCATTTGGCACACACATGTAAATTGTGATGTATGTTGTAAACAAAGCAAACTTGATGCATGCAAGCGGCTGGAGTCGCTGAGGCTTTCGGGCTTGGAGGTATCTGGTGCCCTCGCCCCGTGAGTACATAGGCATGATTCAGGTGTAGGAAAGGCAGGATATAGCCATAGGTGTCCAGGTCCTCTCGGGCCTTGTTTATACTGAATGGTTTTAAGTGAGCTTGGTTTTGAATGACATCTTATAACCTCTGAAAGGGAAATATGGGTTAGGTATGTGTGGTTAGATATCAGGTAAGAGGGATAAGTGCACATATAATATGAGGTAGAGGAGTAAAAATTCAACTAAAACACCGGGAAAAAGTGAAAAACTCCTCCTCATGGGGTGCTGCTTTACACCCAAAGTTGACAATTTTAGGACACTGGCCCTTTGTCCCATTGGATCACGTACCAGTGGATGAGTGCTGCTCTTCTTCCCCTCAGTGTTTCACAAAACAGCCGTCTTGTGGTTTGGGATCTCGGCATTGCCGTTTTACGTTTGAGTTCTCGGTATGTCCTTATTATCAACGAGCCGGAAGTGGCTTGCAGAATTTTCGCGCAACGTGAGGAGACCGTCTTTGAGTAAGCGACGCAACCCGACCCGATCCCAGGAAATGCCTTTCACGGGCTCTCATCGTTCGTCACATCGGTATGGAATGTCACAGATCCATGTCACGTCCTGACTACCGCATGGGAACATTTATTTTAGGGAGTATGCCACCTTTTTGTACTTTTCACTGATTGTTAGATCAGACGCTTACGACTTGATCGGTGATGCCAATTTTCTCCACTTCCCTCAGAGTAGCTAAGAGTCTCAATTTGAAGTAGAAGCTCCGGCGGAGGGGGAGGGGGAGGAGGGAGCTCGTCGAACTCCCTGCTCCCCGCCATGAAAACAATAATTTTCACTTGCCTTGCTCTTTCCAACGTGTGTACTCTGTTGTGCTTGCATTCCCTGATTCGTCAAAATGTTTTTTGTTGTTGTAATAAATGGTACGGAAGCTTGAAATATTATCTAAGGAAACAGGTGTACACACGCGACCCTATTAACACACCAATTCAACGAAACCTCACACTATGGCTTTGACTTCTCCCTAGTGGCGTTAATCACAGAGGCTCTTTTAGAAACTCATTTTGGCTTTGGGAACAGTGTATCACAAGGTCTGAGGTGAAGTTCTGGTTTAAACCCCATCCAAGGCGCTTCTTATAAACAGACTTTTGTCGCCAGCTGTACCAATCACAAACTTTCACTTGTACTGACGCCATTTATACGAGTTTAGGTGCCGATTTTAGTTTAGATACCACTTTGAAGCCCGCATGCCCACAGAGTGCGGGTTAAAACAGCTCATACGCGTTAACTCTAGTCCGCTGGTAACTGCTGATAACGGCCTTTGTTGATTCTGCCGTCGTCATGACGATGGCAGTCGTGACAATTGCAGTATTGTTGCGGACTAGCGCTACTAGGTGGGGCTACCAAGAAAGGAAAGAGTGTAATGCGGGGCAAAAACGTTGGCAGCGTAACTCGGACTTCGCAATAATTAAAGTAAATCTCATTACATATTGACGATTCTGCGTTAGCACTAGTTGGTGCTATTATCAACCGCAGCTGGTCTTGGGGACTCAGCAAAGTATGGTTTTGAAATATGCCCCAAAGATGGGACACTTATTTTAGAATTCATGTCATAAAAATAACGTTGCCTCATTTGAAACTGACGATACCTTCTTCTTGCAGCACGGAGTGACGTAGGTCCCTGATGGCCGTTAAGTTTAACAGTTCCTGGCAGATGCGTATCGGTGCAACAACACGCACCGCCAGGACAATTCATAGGCCGCCTTCCGCGGGCAGGCACTCGTTCGACACTACTTGAGAAGTCATCGAAAATAATCGCTCGTGCCTGGAAAATCACGGAGAAATTTGAGAGCGTGGTCAACAAGTCAAACATTTTTTTTTTCGTCAGATATAACTGTGACTATTGGGTACGGCGCAGCTATGCATGGGGCATGCAAAACGAAGCGAATGGTTTTTCCTCCAAATCTATGTGTAGAATTATCGGGTGAAAACTAATGGCTAATGGTTTGCCTCTTCAGTGAAATTGTTGTCGCATAAAGTTGCATTTTTACGCCGATATTGTGAGCGGTATGATGGATTCCATGTCTTTTGTTATGCAGCTCAGCTCACCAGACACCTCGCGATGCCTAATGGTTGATGTGTGGACAATTGAAAAGCCCGTTTAGCTTTATAACGACATCGCTCTATCATTCATGCCGGCGGGACGGCACAGGCGCCGAGGTTGGTTGGGGGAATCAGTGACAGACCAGGGTCTCCACGTGGTCATACACCTCCTTGCATGGCCACAGCAGCCTGTGCAGCGCTCCACGTGATTCCATCCCGCCTGCACATACACGCACAGCAGCATCAGACGGGTTTTCACAGCGCTGCGTGGGAGGGAGCTCGAGTGGCGCATGTGCAGGCCGTGAAGTTCCGCTGGCTTCACGCGTGGGTGAACTGACACAAACGGCAAGGACCACACTGAACCAGGAGGGCAGCCCAAAAGGGCAACAGCACTAACGCGCCAGGCTTAGCGCGGGGACTCTGAGCGATCCTGACCAAGCCTTTGACCGCGTCTATTTACGTGATAGACGAGCCGTGAGGGTGGCCGTGTCACCGTGTCTGCGCGGATCGCTGGATCATATTACTCACAAACTAACGGCAGACTGGACGCCCAGCAGACAGACTAACGGCAGAGTGGACGCTCAGCAGACAGACCAACGGCAGACTGCACGCTCAGCAGACAGAGTCGGACGCCTGGTCAGCGCCGTTCCCTCCGCACCAGCAGGCCGCGAGGCTGTACGCCCTTGCCTCCAGGAGCGCGCGGTCTGATGGTGGACTTCGGGTCGGACGTGGCAGCACAGAGCGCCAGCTTCTACGTCCGCGAGGGCCCGGCCGACCTCGATGTGTTCATGTACATCGTGATCATCAATGTGTTCACCACAGGCGACTCCTGGTGCATGATCCGACATCTGGTGAGAGAACCATCCCGAGCTAGAGCTGCATGACACTCGGCAACAGTGTTGACCTCAGCGGGTGCTGTTTCTCGAGTTCGAATCACGTGACGCCGATTATCAGAAGATCAGATAATGTGGGAGATGCCACGAAACTCTCAGCTGTATTTCATCAATGGACGTTGTGAGGTGGTGGCCATATTTTTTTGGAATTCATTCCAATTCATGACTAAAGACATCTTCGCTGTCTTCATCTACTAACGCATGACTTAACACGACGGCTTGATGAGGTAGTATTCATTGAAAAACACCGGACAGGCCCCGGTGATAGCAAGTTATTTTGATCTACGGGACCGTCATAGCGATAGTAATGAGTGCCAACAGCTGACACCGGACGGGAAGGATGCTAGCAAACGAGTGTCAAATTTAGAACATATTTTAAAGTCAGCCGGTGCAACGAAATCAGTAGACTAACAGTCCTCACAACTGCAAAGATAAACGTGACATAGTCCAGTAGCCTGGAATTAGTATATTACATGTACGGGTCATAAATGGCACGCATTTTGGGTATCTTTGCAACAACCCGTCAAAGTAAAATCAATGGGCGCACGTCAGCGCGCACTCGCCCACTGCCACAACTTTCACCCTCGCTCACCGTCACACTCACACCCGCGCCCACTGCCACACTCACATCCGCACTCACTGCCACACCCACACCCGCGCTCACTGCCACACTCACACCCGCGCTCACTGCCACACTTACAGCCGCGCCCATTGCCACACTCACACCCACATTCACTGCCACACTCACATCCACGCACACAATATACGGATAAGAGTGTGAGCACAGGAGCGAGGACGAGCACTTGAGCTCAGCCTCAGAACGCTGTGACGTGTGATGGCTCAGTCACCTCGGTCGTCTGTCGCGAGCACCAGACTGTCTTCGGCGGGCCGGTGCACCTCGCCGCCATGCTCAAGCGACGCGACGCAGCCCGCGTCGTGGGGAGTGAGGGCCGAATAGCGCCTCATCACGCCTCACTTCCAGTGACGTGCTTCAGGTGCAACGGTTCCGCGTGGAGCGACAGTTTGGCTACATCAGCGTCTACAAGGGCACGAGCCAACCCTCTGCGACGGGCAGACGATGAGGAGGGCCAGCTGCCGGACACCAGATGGAACGCACCTCCATCCGTGTTGCGAGCCGTCCAGCACTGATTCTCTTTGAGACTCGTCTGCGATTCCACAGCACATCCACGTTCACATTCATAGAATAATCAAGGCAACAAGCTTGAGGTGTTGGTATCCTCATGCACAAGAACACAGAGGAGCAGATTTGGAAAAAAACAACTTTTCTTTAGCCAGCGGGCCTTCATTTGGCATTGTCCACTCTAGACATTGCTAGAGGGCGACGCATGTCTGCATAATTTAGATGTCTCCATAAAGCAGTAACTCCATTTGCTGTGCCTAAATAGTGATGAGAGCGGTAACAGTCTCTGGTCCGCACGGTGCTACACCGCGCACCGGAGGTCTCGCTTGCCTGGCTTAGACTTAGCACAAAATGATGCCTTAAAGCACCTGTCTGTCTGAGGGCAACGTGTCTTATAAATAAGCTGTTGGCCTCTTTGTCCCAATTGCCTGTAACCCACAATAAATGCATATGACGGAGTCCCTAACAATGTGACAAGTTTCTTGCGAATTTCATGTAGACTGCGTTATTAAAAAGACTGCTGTTCTGCAACTGCAGTAGATTGCACTCTTGCGCGGAGTAGAACGTAAGCCATGGGTGAATTATTTGCAACGGACAGGACATCAGTGGAGCCCGCCTGCTTTTGTTTTAATCACGTGCGCCTTGTCTTGGAGGGGTGGTTTATAAAGTGAGCATGAACAGTATCACTCAACGGGATCTGCCTTGTATTGCAATCATTGAGACAGCAAATGTAATGGTCTTCTATTACATAGTATAACTATCTAAATATTTGACAATATCAGGTGACAATCATGCTGAATTTGGGTGAGTTTGGGGAAAACCCTGCCAACTCAGACCAATGCACCAGGAGCTGTTCTGGCTTCATGTAGATCCTGAGTGACAGCGTAGGTAAATTTCTGGAGCACACTCGTAGTGCAGGTCTAGTTCTCGAAGGAGGCGGCTTGTCATCACAGGCGATTTCTCCCAGTGGCGCTGTCACGTAACCAGCGCAAGCTCAAAACGACCCCTGCCATTCTGAGCAAGCCACACCACACCACCTGATATCCGAGCGTCTACATTCATCGGCTCATAAAGACCATATAGCTCACCAGTCCTATTTGCCGACGGTGCAGACGATCCATAGTGCCGGCAACAAGTGCGATTGTTATTACACAGGTCAATACGGCGTAAACTGCACCCAATGAACGTCCGACGCCGCACCATCGCTATTCGCGAGCGGCCGCAGGCAGACCGTGTCAACAGTGCGCAGCGCTGAAGATCGACCACCACCGAACAGGGTCATTCTGTTGCCGGGTCAGCGTATGGCGCAGGACGGTTGGCCCTGGACGGTGGCGTCCTGACTGGGGGCACACGACGCTACCCCGCACACGGAGTGTGTCTGTGTGTGTGGGGGGGGGGGGGGGGTAGCAGGGCACTCAGCGACCAGTGACGCGAATCTGAGCCATGCTTCCTCTAGAAGCCTCGGCCCAACCGCCTCCTCGCCTCCTCGAGATGCCTGAGACGCTTCATTCACCTAGGACTGAACTGGTGCAAGCTGCACTTGCGTGCCGAGATGCCTACTGTATGGCTACGAAACTTCCCAAGGGCGCCGTTGGCTGCCCGTTTGAATTAGACGGACCAGCCTTCCGTCAGTGAGGGGCGTGCCTCGACAGTCGATACCGATAGGATTAGCCCTCGCTGAAACTTTTAGTCGCCATTAACTATCTTGCCGTCGTAGCGTCCACTTCATTGTCCGCTCTGGAGACCTTCGTGGATTATTGCAACAGTTTAGCACTGTTCAGTCCAGCTTCGATCGGTTTGCGCCTTCACGTTCCGATCCAGGGTGTCTGAAGTGCGGTGGCATCGATCATCCATTCCCATCAGACCTGTCTGCCACCATTCCCAGCGCTGCACGTGCACTTCCCTTTTAAACGAACGATTCGCGACAGTTGTGCGTGATGCTTTATTTCCCATACCATTGCAGGGCAGCACAAAGCACGCCGACCGGGTACTGAGCGGCCCGTACCTATGCATACTACCGCTCTGTGGAATGCGAACCTGCTGAAATACCATCGGAAGACCACATGACATCTGTAACACACAACCATGGTTCAAGGCACGAATGTTGCGAGTAGCTTGAGCAATTGGTATTTGAAAATCACACGAGATAACTTTTCGATGACTAAAATCATGGGTGTGCGGTGGGACGTAACTTTCCACCATGTGAAGACAAAGAGCACGGACGAATTTACAGGGGACGCCGATAATCAGACAAATAGGCAGGGATAACACGAAATCCGTTCATGGCACAGTTCTCGAAAGCGAACGATTGTCTAAATCTACAGGCATCCACGCCATCCGAGTACCATTCGCACATGCGCTGCATAACTACTTGCATGACCAAAGGCAAGTGTCAATGCACCGATGCCTCTTACATACCCGCTACGCACGAAGTGATAACGTACGCAGCATATTTATACAATGTTCCCGGCCCGCCAATCTTTGCACTTTGGATGCAAGTCAGTGGATTCGGGATGTTGGTGATTCGAAATAGTTTGATTCACGCAGTTCGGTACCTGATTTTCGCAATCAAACGCATGCATGCTTGCATACCCTAATTAAAAATATGATGCGCTGTATGCCGTAGAAACAGTACGATAGACTCGAGTGTAATATCTGGTACCTCGCGAAATCATCTCAGCGCGCATGCAATCACTACCGTTAACAATTTCACGCGCATTCACCTCGCATTCTTCATTCAACAAACTTTTCACAAATTTCGTCCCATCCCCAAAACATACAGTCGCACGCCGTGAAGTCGTGTCACACCGAGGACGCGACACGGCATGATTCTGCCCGCTACGATTGAGCACCTTAGTGGTGAGCATGTGATCGGCGGGGGAGGCTGGTCACCCCGGCTCCAGTGGACCGCAGACCTAGGACGCTCTCGACCGGCGAGGCACGACCGCCCGGTCCGCACGTGCTGGAGGGACCGGGCAAGGCGCTGGCCCGCCCGGGGGCCCGTCTCGAAGGGCCGGAAGTTCTGCCTGAAGTGGGCGCAGCGGTCCTCCACCGCACCGCCGGAGGTCTCCCGTGGCCAGCAGACCGGCACCTCGTGTTCCAGCGCCCCTGAGCTCGCGGTTGGGGGACCGGCCGGGCACCTCCCCGCGCCTCATCCCCGGGGCGCGGTCGATGGCCACCGACCGATCACCGCGGGCGGCCTACTCAGACAGCGGCTGGAGAGCCGGCGGCGGTGATACGGGCCCACCTCCGATCACGGTGGCCGTGACCGAGCCAGAGAGCCGCGGCTCGCCGATGATCAGCGTCGTGGAGACGGCACCGTCGGCCAGCTCGGCGGCGCGCGGCCGCCCCTTCCACCCCACGCCGTCGCCGTTCTCCGGCCGCGGCGCGTCGGTCGCGTCGGCGTCCGCCGGCCAGCCGTCGTCGGCCGGCGCGCGCGGCGACTGCGAGAGTCGCTCGGCCTGGCGCAGCAGGTAGTCGCGGTGCGACGGCATCACAGCGTCCAGCTCGTCCTCGCTGATCTCGATCACCTCCCGGCCGGACGGGCTGGCGGCCGCCGGCGCCGGCCGCGGCCTCGTCGGCGGCGCAATCAGACTCGATACCTCGACGCTCAGCGGCGACGTGGCCGAGCCGCTGTTGCGCCGGTCCTTGTGCACCGGGGTCACCTTGATTTCGTGCGCGTCCAGCACCGTCTGCAGCAGGCGCGTCTTGCTGTCGCCGCGGAGAAGCGCCCGGTGGGCCTCCGAGTCCGGGGACGTTTCCGATGCGTCTGCGGCGACCGCCGCAGACGGAGGCGACGGACCCCGAATCCTGCGGCGCGGATGCATACGCCGACTCGCCCAGCGACTCGTTGGTGAAGGTGCGTCTTCGCCGCGACGACTCGCCCTCATCGCTGGAGCTTGACGAAGAGGAAGAGGAGGAGGAGGATGTGGAACGATTCCTGGATCGCTTTCCGTCGTCGTGGTTGTTCTCGTCTCTATCCATGTCGGCGCTTGTCAGCACCTCACCCGACACAACCTCCACGAGACTCGAGGGTGCCCCGACCTCGGTCTGCGTCAGGTATGTCACACTTTCGCCGCCGCCGATTATGGCCGAGCTGGTGAAGCGGGTCTCGACAGATGGTAGCACCAGCTCGCCACCAGGCGGCGGAACCATCGTATCGTCTCCCACTGTCACCGAGGACACGGACACGTAGTTGGCGTCGGACGAGTCCAGGTCGAGCCCGGCAGCCGATGTCTGCGTGCCCTCATCGATCTCCATCCGCTCGGACGAGTCGGAGGTCGAGGACGAGGCGGACGAGCGGCGCGAGCCGCCGGCGGCCGCAGCCAAGATCGTGTCCCCCTCCTCGGCCGTCACCCACTGGCCGCTCACGCTCGCCTCGGTCGAGATGACCGTCACATCCTCGGTTGACTGATTCAGCATCACGACTGTGGATGACAGGCCGGCGCTGGCGGCGGGGGGCGCGCGCCGCTCCTCCGCCTCGGGCACCACCTCAATCTGTGTGCGGCCGTCGGAGCCGGATGAGCTCTGCAGGGGGCGCTCCTCCTCGGGCCGGCCCACGCGACTCAGGTCGAGCTGCGGCTCCTGCAGGCAGCTGAGCGCCTCTGCATCGGCCACCGAGGCGCGCTTGAGCCCGCGCTCCGGCTCAGCATTGCGCAACTCGAGCGAAACGGCGCGCTCGAGAGGCGGCGAGTCGGGCGCCGCTGGGCCGAGCCGGTACAGGTCGCCCATCGAGGCGCACTTGCGGTCACGCTCGTCGCCGGCCGGCCGCTTGACGGGCGTGCTCGTGTTGAGAGGCTCCGTCGACGAGGTGTCGACGCTGACCTCTGTGCTGCTGCGCGGCGCGCGGCCCAGCCGGCCCGCCTTCTCCTCGTCCGAGCTGAGCCCGCTGGCGCCGCGCTCCGGCGAGCTGCCGCTCTCGCTGCGCCGCTTCCGCAGCCGCTTGGCGCGCTTCTGCTGAGCGGCGCCGTCCTCTCTCTCGTCCGATGACGAGGACGACGACGAGGACGACCCGGCCGGCGGCGCGCGCGCCGGCTCCGGCTTGCGCTTGCGCTCGCCGACCTCCACAAGCCCCGTAACCTCGCCGGTGATGCGCGGCAGGCTGTCGGCCGAGCCGGACGCGGCTGTGGACCGCTGGACCGTGCTCCGCTCTACGGTCTCCGAGACGGCGTCTTCCATGTCCACCTCCGGCCGTTTCCGCTTGACTTCTTTGTTGGGGGTCATGGATAGGACCTCCTTCAGCACCTCGATTTTGTTAACTTCCGCGCGCGGTATTTCGACGTTCTCTACGTCGGTTTCCACTTTGCGCACTTCTTTTTGCACGTCCTCCTCTACCTCGGCTCTATCGGCCAGCATCGAGGACAAAGGCTTATCCGCGACTTTCACCTCAACCTCGATTGGCTGCGGAGAAATAGGCTTGTTCACGACCCGTTTCTCTTCATCCGAGCTGGAGGAACTTCCCGAGTCTTTCCTCGTCCTCCTGTTCCTCCTCTCCTGGGCAACGCCTGCCGCCAAACGCATCTCTGGTGGAATTTCAGTCTGCAATGATTCCTTGTTTTCCTCGCCGGAGCTAGAGCTGGAACTGGTCTTGCGATCCTTCTCATCGCTGTCCGATTTCCTGCCAAGTCCAAGGCCCTTCTTGAGTCCCTTGAGGCCCCACGACTTGGACCTAGAGTCTTTCTTATCCGTGTTGTCGGTGTGAGAGCTGTTATCCACCTCAATCGCATCCACATCGGAGCCTGACGCACTAGATGTCCCGCTCTGCTTTCTAGCCGTGTTGTTCATTGTCGACCTCAGCTTTTCGACTTCAGTGGCCACTGGCTGAGGTATCTCGACGTCCTCCTCCTCACTTCGCTTGACATACTTCTCATTCTCGAAAACAGGCTTACTTCCTCCAAACTTGGGCAGCTTCATGTTGATACCTGAAATTCCCGCCTTCTTCGAGCGCTCGTCCCCATCGGGAATCTTCGCCGAACCCTCAACATCAACGGCCGGAACCTGCGCCTCCACCTTGGCCTGTGCGCCCGTGTCACCCTTTCCCTTCTGCTTCTTGAAGCCGAAGCCGGCGATGCCCATCTTGAACTTGGAGCGCTCGCCTTTCTGGTCGCCGTCCGCCGGCGGCGAGTCGTCCCCGGACCGAGACGAGCCGGCGCCGGACAGCTCGACGTCGCCGGCGGCCGTCTCGCTCTCCACCGATACGGCGGAAACGGCCGGTATGGACGCCGCGTGTCGCTCGGTGGCCGGGCTGGCTCGCTCCGGGTCAGCCTGACTGCCGGAGGGCGCCGCGACGCTCGCGTCAGGCAGCACCTTCACACCCAGCCGGTTCAGTTTGGCGGCGTCGGCGGCCTGGCGGCAACGAAAGCGTGTTAAATGGTCGCGGACGGGGTTCTGACGGCGCTGATCAGGGAGGACACGTGGACTGCTTGCCACGTGGGACACCAAACTCATGACGTCGGATTAGCTGAGGATTTTCACGCGAGTGTTCCATTAATAACTTTGCTTTTGTCTTGATAAGAAATGGAATTCGACAACTTAAACCCATTTTACAGCAACGGGATTGATTTGTACATTCTTGCCGAACTGGTCTTACCGGAGCATAACTGACAGCGCGTACTGGGACGTTATGGATTCTTCACACGTGTTTTGATATTTACATTTTCACTCACCAAAAGCACAATAAATATACACGGCCTACAAAACTCACCTTCTTCTTAGCATCCATTGCTAGCACATGATCAGGCACGTCCACCGCCATCTCTCGGTAGCCGCCGGCACCCGGCTCTTGCAGTGTCGCCGCCAAATGCTCCCTTTGCACCAGCTGCGTGGTCTCTGCGCGCGCCGCTGGCGGGGTCGCCTTCGAGAGCAGCTTCTCGTTGAATGAGGACGCCTTGTTGGTGATGCTGCTCTCTGACTTGGCGGTCTCGGACGACGGGCCGTGACTGATGGTGGTGCGCGCAGAGCGCTTGGCCGAGTGCAGCTTGGTGCGCCCGATCTGGAAGCAGGTCAGCAGTCAGAGACCTGGCGCCAGCTGCACAAGCGCCCCGCATGGTTGGCGGGCGTCCGTACAAGCGCCCGTATGCTTGGCCAGCGCCTGTATAAGCATCCGTAAAGCCCGACGTCATTTGCTTTCATACGGGAGGAATTAATGGATCACACATAATGCAGGTCTCCCGCGACCAATTTGTCAGTGACATCCAACGGCATCGGCGGAACCTATTCGCCCCGGCCCAGCTCTGGTTTGAGGACCACAGGGCCGACCTGCTGCCGGCATGTCACCTTGGTCAGATCGTCGATGCTCTGGCTGCGGTAGAACGGGTGGCACAGCCGCTCGCTGGCCGAGCTAGGTTGAGACGTCACCGCCTTCTTCGGGTTCTGTATCACGTCCTTCTCCAGGTGCAACTGCACGTCGTAAGGCGAGGCGTAGCTGAGGATGGTCAGCGCGTCTTCAAACACCACGTGCGCGAACGACACGGTGATGCCGGTGATGCGGTCGCCTGGGGAGGGGGAGGAGTACAAGTCAGCGTCGGTGACCGTGCACGGTTTCGCCGCGGAGATCACGGACCAGCCATCGGCCGGCACTGGGAAACACAGCGCTTTAACCGTGGAAACTAGCCGGAAAGGCTCTGACGATAAAAGCCCAGTAGTTAAGCGCGTTCGTAAGCGATCTAACGGCTACCATCCCTCCTACGCTAAGAGAGAAGAGCGGACGTCAAATTAATTGGAACATTTAGTCGTAATGTGCCTTGTATTGATTTATGGACGCGTGTTCTTTCGAAACTCTAATCTCTAGCATCGAGATCAATATTGTCGCTCTGAGAGAACTTTCGAAAGGTATCATACCGAGAAATACCTCCGAACAGTCGACTGCCGCTGTAGGCTCCATATGCAGCTCTCACAAAACGCCAACCGCCTTTCACGACAGAATAGTAAGACTCTGTTCCGTGCGAATGCGGGTGAACGGACACTGGCATGGGTCGATCATTAAACACCAGGTTTCGCCGGTGAAGCATTCTCACGCTACAACGTCCGAAATTGCCGGCAATTCGGCGCCGATCCACTCCCGGCGCAGTTTCTCTGGCTGTATTTACATAGCTTCGCGTCTGTCAGCCCTGCGGCCGACGGCAGCGCGCTGCAGCCGTGCGGGACTGATCGCACCTGCCGTCGCCTCTGCTGCCTCCGCTCGACCTCACAACGGCAGGCGATCTGTCTGACGGCTAGCAAACAACATGCTGCGTTTACCCGGCACAAAAGACCACAAATATCTCGTGTTATCTTACCTGCATCTCGTATTGCAGTTTATAACAGGCTGTGACGTACATTTGAGACCGCACTTTGTCCGAGACCTTCTGCGAATTTCAGCCTGCAGTGCGCTACAAACGGCGCTATTTAACGTGGCCTGCCGCCGCCTGCCGCCGGGCACCTTGATTCCTTCCAGCGTTCTGTTCCGTCACACTCGTCCACCGTTTTTCAGTGTTGCAGGATATCTCATTTTTTCAGGTGCTGTCGGTTCCAAATATCGCACTGCTAAAAAGGCTGATTGATGCGAGGCTGTTGAGGGCAAGAGCACATGCTCGTTGCAGTTCGTCGGTGCCGCTTCCTTGCAACGAACAGCTCATGCGATCGGTGTGAGCCGGTAGTCCGAAAACCATATGCCGCTCAGCCCAAGCTGCTCGACTATTTAGCGACTTTCGGGCCGTAGTGTTCACGCGCGCTATCCGTGAAAATGCCCATGTTTACCACAGTCAGACGATGTCGGTCCCGCGTGCGCCGACAGCCGGAGGGCTGAAGCCGTGGCCGGACCGTGTCGGCCACGGCGCAAAGCCATAGCCGTCGCCGCCGCCGATCCGGCACATCTAGTGGCGCGGCCGCCTGCGAGGGACCGCAAGTGGGCCAGCGGGCGCGCCGCGGGCCGGGCCGCGGTCATCTGCTCCGCATCGGCGGGGAGCCGCAGCGGCCCACCGGCTTCTCATTCTCAGCCGCTGCAGGATGCGGTTTTCCCAGAATCGGCGAGACGGCGCGTCAACCGCGTTCGCCGGTTGCGGCTCCGGGCGCGGCGACGAGACGGCTGGGAGCTGGGGCGGAGCGGCCGCCGGCGCCAGCCGCTCAGAGACGGCCGCTCGGCCGGCCGCTCTACGCATCAGTTGGGGGATAGGAGTGTCCCGACGGCCGTGTCCGATCAGTTGTAAGCAGAGGAGGCGTTAGAACATGCCGGCGCAGCTGCAGTGACCAATTGGCACCCGCCGCCTCGCACTGGTTTGGACGATACGAATCGCGCACCCCATACCGCTGGCTATCAGGCACTGTATCGTCCATAAAATGGGCTTTAATTTCTGTCATGGCCGAGACTGTCGTCATAAATGGACCGCGTCACTTATTGCGATAGCGTGCACCTGGCACCTCGAGGTCCTTGACATGCGCAATATCGTCTGCGCGAGGGTGTGTTGAGCGGGGTAGCGCCGAGCGACCGTCGTGCCCTCGGGCCTTGCTCTCCGGCGAGCGGCGGCCCCTGTGATGGCGGTGTTCTCAGCACAGCCGCGCCGGGCAGTCAGGCCGGAGCTTGCACAACAGCGCCAGGACCATTGAAGCCTAACCATCCCGCGAGTGCGGGCTGTTTGCGATAATTGCCGTCCGAAGCGGCGGCGGCTGTGTCTGAATCGGCCGGCGCGGCGACAGGTGGGAACAGCACAGCCGCCGCCGTGACGTCCAGACCGCTCGAGGCACCGTTGGCTCATCGGAGCCACAGATGAAACATCTCCGTGCAGTGTCGAAACCACACAGAGTCGCACAATTACCGCCGGAGCTAGCTATTCACGCTTTAAGGCCGCTCCGAGATAATGGACGCTGCTGGTGACTGTCCCTGCAGTTGGCGTGAGGACGTTTGCGTGCGGAACCGCACCGATCCGCACTCCCACCTACCGTGAGAGCAAACCCCTCCCGTGAGTGCACCCGGTGCCGTGCCGTGCCGCGCCATGCCGTGACGTCTCGGAACCCGTGACGTGCGTCACGCGGCCGGAGACGCGCCGGAGACGGGCGCCTGATCTGTGCGCCGCGTCACCCCGGCCGACAGGGGTCAGTGGCCGCCGGACGCCGCCGCGGCCCCGCCCGAATACCAATGCCGCGGCGGCGGCCGAGCGGCGCCGCCGCCGCCGCCGCGCGCCGACCGCCCCCGGCTGGAGCACTCTCCGGACCGCGCGGCGCCCGAGGCGTCGACCGCCGCCGAGCGGCGCCGACAGCTTCACGGCCGGCCGGCTAGAAAGCTGACCCGCCCCGGAAATATTCCGCGCCTCGCCTGGACGCGTTTTGTCGTGAAAGGTACTTGGCGGTCAGCGTGGCCAGCAGTTGCGGAGCTCTAAGTGGGAACGGGAAAGAATGGACGAAGTGCTTCTTTTCGCGGTCGCCGTCGCGGTTACAGACCTTTTAGTGGGGTAGGCAGCAGACGTTATTCTTCAGAGGTGAAAAACAGTTTGTGCGCATCCAGGCATAAGATGTGCATTTGAGTATCGGAGAGCAGAGCTGTAAACTATAACAATTTATTTTTCAATTTTGAAAAATTGAACTCAGCCTAAGCGCAGTCTTAAAATGAAGGCGTTCATGAAACCAACGGTCTGGCCATTCCACAGCCGACACTAACGAGCTTGCCCGAGGTCATCCTTATGCCGTTACCGACACCGCAAATTCATTAGGATGCCTTCCCAGAATCATCTCATTATGGAGAAGATACCTCTGGTCTCCAGCGGACCCCACGCAGCACAAAACAATCTTGCCTCCTCGCCCGCCCACCTCAAGGGCGCCGGCGGCCGGGCCCCATCGTCGCGCGGGGTCGTGACAATTTGAGCGCATCTGCGAGGAGGCTGCGGCCGCCGACAGAGCACGCCGCCCGGTCCCTACCACCCGCCGGTAATTGATTTGTGACGCGCCAGCGGCGACGGCGGCGGCGGCCGATTTGGGTCAGGCGGGCGTGTCTTACCGGAGGGCCGGCGGCAGCCTTTCGGTGAAACCCCGCGTCGCGCGGCCGGGGCTCGGCCGTGTCTGGCGGGGCTGGCGGGGCGCGGCGCGGTGCGCTGATAGCGCAGTGAAACCTCCCGAGCGGACTACCGTGGGAGAGAACGCATTTTGAAGCGATCATGCGCCGGAGGTCACATGAAAGCGCCTCGTTTGTTCACTATAAGAGTACGGAGGAGTTTGGAATAGGAGTAGTCAAGCTGAAGCTGAACGAATCTAGACAGAAAGGGTGAGTGGATCGCGCTTAAGCTCCTTTTTGTACCACCATTGGTCTCAAATTGGTAAACATTTCATAATTCTGTCGTCGCCATAGGCTGACGCCAAACCTTACCAAAAATTCAAACCGCAACCGATTTCCCAGCGGCCGAGCGCCCCTCTGAACCGGTCACGTGTCTCCCGGCGGATGACGTCACATGCTGCGGACCACGGGCAGCCGTCAGCCGGCAGCCGCCGAGCGGGCGGAGCACTCACCGGCACGGACCTGACCCGACTCGGAGGCCGGGCCCCGGTGTAGCACGTCTTTGACGAAGATGCCCTCGCGCATGTTGCCGCAGATGTTGAAGCCAAGGCCGGTGAAGTCGTGACCCCGCAGAGGCACGCTGACGCGCTCCGGCTCCTGCCGAGAGGTGGCAGCACGGGGTCAGTCGCCTGGCCAACCTGTCACCGCAGGGCAGCACGGTCAGTCGCCTGGCCGACCTGTCGCCGCAGAGCAGCACGGGTCAGTCGGCTGACCGACCTGCCGCCACAGGGCTGGGCACATTCGGGGACGCAAAGTGTGTTTGGCTCTGGTCGGTAACGGCGAGGTCGTTCCCCGACCATGTTGGGGCCACGGGCGTCTCGTTTTTAACCATGTATTGGCTGCACTCCATCATAGCTGCTCCGGGCCAGGTGTGTTTTCAGACCTAAGGCAGCCTTAAAGCATCGGCTAAAAGGCATTGCCTGGTCTGGATCATGAGTGACCTGAAACAAATCGTCGAGTAGCAGCAGTTCTAATCGAAAGTTAATGTATGTAACGCATGACCCGAATAGGGAGAAAGACGCGTCTGGGTTGCAGGTGGTCTGGATAAGGTCTGCTATGGACTACGAGTGTAACATCTGGTACGGACGAAGAATGGTCTGGCTCAGCGCTAGCCTGTGCCAACACAACAAACTGGCTCAGTGCTGGTATGGGATCAGCTCGGCTGGCTCTGCCCCGACAGCGACATTAGTCGTCAGCATCCGTGTCAGTGTCAGTGTCAGCGTCAGTGCCAGTGTCAGTGTCAGTGTCGGTGTCAGTCGCCAGTGGCTGCTCCACGTTCAGTCACGCGGCGGAGCACCGCACACCGGCGGGTCCTTTACCAGGCCCCCCTCCGGCTACCTGGGAACGGTGGGGAGGCACGCTCTCCTCCACCGGAGGCGGCGCGCGGCAGCAGCACAAGCGAATCACGCGATGAGGAAGAATTGTACATGTGCGACGGCGAGGTGGTTACAGAAAGGTAAGAAGCACGGGTTGAACGAGAGGGAATCTACTCATGAGCTCGTAAAAATAATTAACATACACACAAGGTACGGTGGACGCAGTCTTCTGCTATTATCACGGGACATTTTTCACTCCCGATGGCTGTTTATTTACCAGCCTTTGGTATGCTACCTTCCTTATGTCGCTGTCGAAAGCACTTGCTAAGGCATTCTTGCGATGCAACTAATGGTGCTATTCATCTCCATAAATCTGCAAACGCTGCGGTGGCTTGATCCTGATCCAGCATATTAATGTCCAATGATAAATCACTTGAGAGCAGAGCATAGCTGGTGCTGGCTAACTCTGTTGAACCTGGTCAACCCAGCCAGCAGTTCCACGAGAAGCGACAAACCGTGGGGGGGGGGGACAGCTGTCATGGGAGACAAACCGTGGGGGGGGGGGACGGCTGTCATGGGAGACAAACCGTGGGAGGGACAGCTGTCACAGGAGTGTAGGGTAATGGACGAAACGCGAGCCTCATAACGCATGAAACGAAAACGAGAATTGAAGAGAGACACAGAGAGCAAGAAACGAGAACAGGTGAGATGAAGAATAAAACAAAGGCCACGCAAGAATATAGCGAGATGAGGTGCCGAGTGTGGGAGACAACATTCTCAGAAAGCACAGCAAATCCGTCGTTGCGTCAACGTCGATGGAATTGTCAACGCTCTGCATATGGGATTCGAAACAAACTCCACGTTTTGACCGACTCCTGCTCCACGGCTTAGGCCAATGGCCACGGTCAACGTCTGGATGCGAGACATGCGAACTTATTGCTCATACGCGCCGCTCGGGTGCAAGGCAGCAGCGCTAATGATCCTCGTCACTCAGAGGCCAGGACAGCCAGCCGAAGCCCGCCCCCAGCAGCCTTGCACTAGCTCAGGCGTCGATACTTTATGATGGCAATTAGCATGCCACCACAATATCCGCCGACCGAGCCTCGAATTAGGCACGGCCGACATTGCGAAACCGAGTCATTTAGCCGTTCCCGGCGCGGTGAGCTGGGCTGAGCGGCGCGCCACATTGCCAGGTGTTGGGGGGAGGGGGGCGGGGGGCGGAGCCGGCTGCAGAAGCCCTCTGAGGTCATCAGCCGGCGACTTCGGTCAGAAGGCTCCCAGCCACAACGCACGTCCACCCCCCATTTAACGGCGGACAACCGCATGTTGTAACGTGTCTGTTTCCCTGGACTGCAGGCGAAGGCACACTTTAGAATGTGGGCCAAAAGGATCCAATGGCACTTTTGAAGTCGATTCTTTCTTTGCATCGCCACGGGACACATACGTAATTTCGCAAAATGAGTTGGGGGAGGTGAGTAGGGACTACACTGTGAAAAATGACGATAGCTTCCCCAAAACACGCCAGCAAGCATATTTTTCCCCACATTTGGCCCATTTTTTCTCCACGCTGGGAAACAGAAGAACTGAATATGAAACTACACCCCAAGGTTAATGACAGCATTCGCGAAAACTGGGAGGCATGGCTCCCTGCCTCCCACCCCCCTTTGGTCTCGCCCCGATGCCCTGAACTGATGCACAGACATGAGGCAAATCATGAGCCCTTCACCCGCTGTCCAGCTGTCACCAAGCTTAACACGTAAAGCCGACTACCTCTACTGGTTTGGAGACGACCATCGTCGGTGGTTCTCGGCTGGACGCGGCGTCCAGCGGGCACGGCTGTCGCCCGCTGACGTGGAACGCGCTGTCACGCATCAGTGCCCCCAGACGGGCTCAGACGACCCGGGCCGACTCCTGCAGAGACGGTGGCTCAGTGCTCCGGGCTGTTCCGGCCAGCGCACCGCCGGACTACCGCCGCATGCTGCCGAACACCACCGCACGTCGCCGGACACCGCCGGACACCGCCGCACGCCGCCGGACACCACCGCACGCCGTCGGACACCGCCTGACGCCGCTAAACGCCGCCGGGCACCGCCGGACACCGCCGCACGCTGCCGGACACCACCGCACGCCGCCGGACACCGCTGACGCCGCCAAACGCCGCCGGGCACCGCCGGACGCCGCCGGACACTGTCGGACGCCGACACAGACCCGGGCTGCTCTGACGTGCGAGACGAGGTCGGACGCGACTAGGGTCAAACGGGCATGTAGCTGGAAGCGAACCAGAGATACAGTTATACAAAAAGCAATACGGACTCCCCCCCCCCCCCCCGGCGCCTTACCAGACGTATTGAGTTTGCCTTAAAATCGGCGCAGGTAGCCCCAGCTGGAAGCAAATTTTAATGTCCTGAGTACTTTGTACAGTAGATGCGGGACAACATTTCCTGATACAGGCTCTGTATCGGTGACGTCAGAACATGCAACTCCCAGCACCGACTGCTGGCGGCGTGGAGCCAGAGCATTGCGCCTCCAGAGGATACGGAGCGGTCAACAGATGGCGGACCTGCGCGGTTCATCCCAAGCTCGCCGGCGCGCCGGTCTGCAGGTGGAGGGACGCCGCCGACCGGACTGAACAATCGCATTGTCTGCACTCGTTGGCCCGTGGTCGATGTGGCGGACGCCGGGGAGGCGCGGCCGGACAGGGCCGACACACGACTTTCCAGCGGCCCGCCGGCCGACGCCGCTGCGCGGCCAGCTGGCCGGAGCTGGGGCCGGATTCAGCGCTGAGCGGTCTGAGCGGGGACGCTGGCGAGAGGCGCTGACGGGCTGGCGAGAGGCGCTGCGAGGCGCTGACGGGCTGGCGAGAAGTAATGCGAGGCGCTGAGTGGCGCTGACGAGAGGCACTGATGGACTGGCGAGAGGCGCTGCACGGAGCGAGATGGGGGAGCCATGCCGCCAGGAGGACTCGGCCGGTGACGGCCGTGTCAGGCATCTGGCCCCTTGTCGGAGGTGAGCCCACGGGAGGGACGTGGGAGACGACATCGGTGGGTCTTGTCTCTTGCAAATACAGCTGAAAAGACACGTTTATGGCTGAGAAACAGAGTTGTGACTGGTGTCGATGTTGACCCGTAATCAATGAAGTCGTTTTGAAAATGCCTACAGGCCATATCAACACTGGCGAAAAAGTCCACCATCTTGAAGGTCCCATACAAATAGGCTTACCAACAGTACATATGCTTTAGTGTGTTCGTGCAAGTGAAATATTTCGGTACGCGGGAGACACGGATGTGATTTTGTGGCACTCACCACGAGCATACGCGCATTCCAAAGCTTACTTTAACTGACCCATCAAGTGTTTGACGGACAATAAAAACATCTGCGCCGTTTTTACGCCGCTCCGCCCCTGGCCGGTTACAGAGGACGAGCTCGTCCGCGATGGATCGCGTGCGCTCGAAGCCGGCCGGGGCGGTTGGCCGCCGCTCCGACCACACTGCGGAACAACGTATTAATTAGCGCGGCTCGCTGGCGTCCAGATACGCAGCCTGCGGACGCCGGCCGACCTCATTCAGACCCAGGCCTAATTATCGCCGGATAATGGCAGTCAGCCGGCGGCGGCGCGGCGGCTCGCTCGATCTCCCTCCAGAGGCGGCGTGCGCTCCGCTGTGATCTCTGTCCGGGGGCGTCAGCTTGCTCGATCTCCGTCCAGGGGCGACGGCTTGCTCGATCACTTTCCAGAGGCGCCTGCTCGCTCGATCTCTGTCCAGAGGCGTCGGCTTGCTCAATCTTTGTCCAGGGGCGTCAGCTCGCACGATCTCTGTCCAGAGGCGTCGACTCGCCCGATCTCCGTCCAGAGGCGTCGACTCGCCCGATCTCCGTCCAGAGGCGACTTCGCCCTCTATCCAGAGGCGATGGCGATTCGCTCCTCCCTGCGCGGCGCGGCGCGAGCAGCGGCCGACGTCCGCCGGCAGCCGCCATCCATCGCCGCGTGCCAACACGACCGCCTGGGGAGCGCCGGTCAGCCGCGAGGTCGGCTGCCCGTCCCGCCCTCTGCGTCCTGCGAGGTGGCCACCCTCCCGCCCTCTCCGTCCTGCGAGGTGGGCACCCTCCCGCACTCTCCGTCCTGCGAGGTGGGCCACCCTCCCGCCCTCTCCGTCCTGCGAGGTGGGCCGCCCGCCCCGCCCTCTCCGTCCTGCGAGGTGGGCCGCCCCCCCGCCCTCTCCGTCCTGCGAGGTGGGCCACCCTCCCGCCCTCTACGTCCTGCGAGGTGAGCCGCCCGCCCCGCCCTCTCCGTCCTGCGAGGTGGGCCGCCCGCCCCGCCCTCTCCGTTCTGCGAGGTGGGCCGCCCGCCCGCCCTGTCCGTCCTCCGCTGGCGGGCAGTCGACCGGCCGCGGCCGGACCATGCGGGGATGGAGCGGGCGCCAGGTGACGTCAGCACCGGCTCGGTCCGACACGGGGAGGCGTCGGCATTGGCCGAGCGGGCACTGATGTCGCAGAGAGGCTGGTGGTAGGCCATCGCTCCCACGCCAGTGAAAGATGAGGGCGTGTGACGACAGAGGCTGGCTCACTGTCCGGCTGCCGTGTCGAAAATGGCACTCATCGACCCATTCAGTGCTCCATATCTCATTATTTGCCTGTGTCATCTCGCCCGAGTGTTTATCGTGAGTACTTCGCATCCTTTAATTTTGCTTTAGCCAGCATGCTTAACTCGTTTGAGGGAATCTAACTGAAATGTTGATTAACCCAGCGTATGGGGTGTGAATATAGTATACCCATCACCATTTATGCGATATGCGCTGTGCGTAGTTGGTAAAGGTACGCGCCGACAACAAACTTGCCTGGTGAACATACGCCACTTCTTAGCAGGCCGCTTGTTTTAGCGATTCTAAATTTCTCCTCAGTACACACGCGTCAGGTGCTTGTCGATGGTTGGTGCCGCCAACATGCACCTTCATATGCGTAGGAACGTTTCAAAAAGTGAGGGGGCCAGGCTCAGAGCGTACCCAAGGGCTTTTTCTGGAAAAAAAGCCCGATGACGGGGGCAGGGGGGCGGGGGGAAAGGGGAGGTAGGGATGGAGGTTATCGCTCTTTATTGTAATGACTGCTATTTTAGATATGCATCAAGAGCTGTTTCTCACTGGTGCACACTCTTGCCTATCCGACTCATTTATGTCATTCGATAAATAAGGCTTTCCAGCTTCCCAAGGTAATTCGTCCATTTCAACGTTGTCTGTCCCGAGGAGCCGAAATTTCACGAGCGGGTAGGCACTTTGGGTCATTGAAGAGGCGTCTGTCTCCACAGGGTAGATGCCAAAATATGGCCGGAACATAGGCTGGTGAGAATTTTGAAAGTGAATTGATAGCTTACAGTACAACAGGCTTGCATGCGCCTTCATTTCACTGGCCGTTTTTCAAGAGATAAGACTTGTCGCGGTATTTTAGGCGGAAACAAATTCGGAAGCTTGAAACTGCCGAGCACCATGTGACAAAAGTCATAGAACTGGAGATTCTTCTTTGAAAACTAAGCCACAGAATATAGACCATTCTGTCATATATTCCTTGTCTGAGTTCTTTCCGTCCGCCGTCGGTGGCCACTGTCCTGGCCCGGCTGTCCCCGAATGACTGACCGCGAACTGATGGCATGGCTGCTTTGTTGCACATTTCTTGTTCAGCATTGCTACTAACTGGGATGTAAAACATGTGTTGGACACCTGCGACAGTACCTTTTTCCGAATTGTCTTCCCTAACACCACACCACCCTAGAAAAATGCCAACGGTAAGCTGCCTACTTTAGGTATGAATTGGCCCAGCGGACATTTAATTGCCCATCATTCAACGTAGATGACGTGATCTGTTGCTGTGTGTAGGCAGGGGGTAGCCAGAGCCTTGCTAAGAGGAACATAGGGTTGACAAAAGCCCCTTTTGTGATGATCCCCCCACAACAAGATATCTCCGGATATAGTTTGCTTGTTTACAAGGGATACGGTTTTCTTCGTTTTATTGTTATTTTTACGTTGTAACCAAAACAGAAACCAGCAGCTACCGTGAAATCAATTTCGTTCACATTTTTAACACGCGCCCGGGTGGCCGGCTAGATGCCTTTCGCTCGTGTGGGGATCAGTTTGACCCCGCTGAGATCTCGGAATCTAAGAGAGCTAGAGACACAAAATGCACAGGGTGTGTTGATCTGTACGCGAACTCACTTAGGTCAAAGTTTGAGGTTCCTAAGTCATGATCTTCGGGTCAAATAAAGTCAAACAAGGTCAAATTCCAGGTTGGTCTCTAAAGTGTACCCAGAACCTAGAAAACTGTTTGCAAGCAAAAGGTCACATGATTATTTAAGGTCAGTGACCTTGTTCGAGCTTTTCAAGGTCATGTTGACCAAAGTCATACAAAACTGCTCTGAGTTTTGTATTTGAATAAGCGACAAAGATTACGCTAGTCAGTATGTTTCCAAAAACAAAATGATGACCTAGGTCATTTTAGGACAATGACCTATTTTGACCTCTAAGAAGTCCATGGAGGATGCATAATGCGGTTTCTGCTATCAATAAATTCGAAATGAGCACCAGAAACTACCTCATACAGTAAGCCCTGGAGTAATAAAAACAGGCTGGTTTTGACCTTGGTATGACCTCTATACCTGACCTTAGGTCAACGTAATTTGCTCATGCAATATTTGTGTTTTCTAAGAAAGCATTTCAGAAATGTATGGCTTCGTCTAACACTCCATTGTTGCATCAGACTGAACGATTCCCTGGAAGTTGACTTCGCTGAAACCATGGCCTGACTTTGACCTGCCATTGGGCAGCGATCTTACAAAGTATATCTAAATTGTGTTATGCTAAACGATTCAATTTTCTACAGCTGTGTAAAACATGGCGCGAATGCGCCGCGCCAGGCGCATTCGCGTTAAACACCAGAAAGCAGGCGTTTAACGACCGCATGGAATAAATCACCAGTGTCCTTAATTTACCATGGCTTAGTGGACTCTTTCTAAACTGACAGAACTAAGAATCTTTTCATAATGTTTTTTCTACGTCCTATAAACATTAAGGACATGGCGAAGGTAGATTGTAGATCGATATGCTTGATCAAAGTTTGAGGGTGAAAATTTTGATTGTAAATCGAGTGGTCAACAATGTATATTAACATCGCCAAGCCATGTTTGTCTGGAAACGTTTAACATTCAGTCCGGATCGATTAGTGATGCAATTTATATAACGTGGTTTTTAACATGCGCGCTCGCAAATCTTAGCAAAAAAACATCGACATTAGACGCTGCAGTCTCCATAGTCCTCGGAGCGCTGGCTTAGTGGTTAACTTTTCGTCATGGGCCACCGGTGGACGAAAATGGCAACGGTTCTGAAATAATTACCCTTAAACACTCGAATCGGTTAGCAATAAAAGTTTTGTGGCATAATTTTGAGCATGTATACTCGCAAATCTTAATTTAAAAACCCGACGCCAGGCGTTGTAATCTCCGTATGCCGCGCAGCGTCGGTTCAACGGCTAACATAGTCGTGGCCAACGGGTGGAAGAAAATGATGACGTTTCTGAAAGAAGTATTTTTGAATGCTTCAGGACATCAAATCTTACATCTACAAGGCAGTCTGGGCGCATATTTTACGCGTACGACTTTTAGACTGATGATAAGAACAGATTTACCCTTAAAGCACCGCGAAGTGGTGCTGGAATCTGGTGCTGGAACTAGAAGATTTACTTGTTTCGTGTTTCTGTAGCTATAAACCCGTACAGAAGACAGATTAACACGGCGCCTGCCGTCTGGTGGCGCTTGCAGTGGCCGACGCCGTTCGGTTTTACGGAATCTGCAACCCAGACCATCTCTGTCCTTGCTCTCGAGGTTGCGGGCGGGCATGTTCAAACCTTTTGACGCACTTTTTACTAATCCATTCCGAAAAATGAACGCTCTCAGGCAAACATGGGATGGCTTTGCTCGTTTTTAAAATTTATTTCGACCTACTCTAATCAGCAATAATGAGACCTCCACTCTACTCAACAACAATGAGGTCCCTTATTTCCTTCCGGGCAAGAGGTCCCTTGAGTAGAATACCGAGGGCACATTACCGGCTCCGGTCAAGAGCTGAAGGGCCACTCTGTCCCATCGCAAGGCGTCTTCTGGCTGTCATTCTGGCGACATGGGGCGGGATCTCCTGGTCGATCCGGAAGCCTTTGGAGGGATATATCATGTCACATCGTTCCCCTCCCTGACACGGGAGGCCTTCTGACCCGCGCAGTTGGCCCCGGATCAGCACAGGAACCCTTATTGACGCAAAAACCTTTATAATATTAAAGTAAGCTTGCAATATGGTTTTGAACATACGCGCTCGCAGATCATAGCAACAACAGCCCGAACACTCGGCGTTGCAGTTTCCATAGGCCACGTGGCGTCGGCCTGCTGTGACACAACGTGATGGCCAAGAAACAAACGAAAACGATGGCTCATCTTGGGGAAGATGGCTGGTGAAGTAGTTAGATCAGCATGTATATTTAAATGTGGTGCAAAAGTAAGCTAAAAACGTTAATCTGAATAGTGGGGGGGGGGGGGCGGTTAACACTGCTACCCCCCCCCCCCCACACACGCACACACCTTGAAAAGTGGGGGCCATGACCCACATGGCCCCCCTATTCCTGCGCCCATGTGCACCTTGAATGCTACTAGGCTCCATTTTTGTTTTGGTGCCATTTGACCTGGTCAAAACACAAAACAGTTTCATCTGCCCGAGCGTAACTGGGATCCGAACCCCACCGGCCCCGGTAGTGGTTACAGACATGACTGCCCAGCCTGACTCACCGCCAGGAAAGAGTCGTCGAAGGCGCGCCGACGCTCTATCTTGGGGTTGGTGGAGAAGACGGCAAACGGCGACCACGGAGTCTTCCTGGCCGCCTTGGAGTCGTTGCTGCGTGCCGTGCTCGTCTACAACAGAGGGGAGGGGGTCATGCACTGAACACTCGCATCACATTGAGCTTGGATCATACGAATACCGACACGAAACATACCGATGTTCTGCTGAGCATCTGACGTCGCTGATGGCTCGGAATGCACAAAGGCACGCAGCTTTCTCAAAAATACCTCAGATAACATCTGGGAATCTGGAGCTGCAAGGAGCGAGTGGAGGAGGGTAAAGCATATCAGCCCGTCTAGCACGTCTACAGCACCCATAATTACAGCAGTCCTGAGCTCCATATAAGACCGAGATTAATACAACACCTCCGGCAGCTATGATCCAATAGCTGCCCTCGCGGCGGCGACACAAGGCGCGTCCGTGCTCGTTAAGCCGCCGATTTACGACTGCGAGCAGTGTCGGCGTGAAGCGGTGTCGGCGTGAAACGGTCTCGGCGTGAATGGGCGCCCGACCATCCCGACAGCGCGCGGCGCGCGGCCGGCGGCGGCGCGCTGTTATTGTGTCCCGGCCGCCGCTGCCACCCGGCGCTGGGTCAAGGCATTACTCAACGCCAGGGCATACCGGTGCCCATAACAGCCAAGGTTAATCTGTAGAGCGGGCCGTTACGCGCCGCGTCATGCGGCCCCCAGCTGCCGACGCGTGAGGCCGGCAGACGGCCGCCGTCTCAGAGGCGTGAGGTCGGCAGACGGCCGCCGTCTCAGAGGCGTGAGGCCGGCAGACGGCCGCCGTCTCAGAGGCGTGAGGCCGGCAGACGGCCGCCGTCTCAGAGGTGTGACAGCTGACTAACGTGTCTGGTGTGACTGACTGACTGACTGACAGTCTGACAGTCTGACTGAATGACAGTCTGGTGTGACAGCTGACTGACGTCAGCTGTCACACTAGACTGTCAGTCAGTCAGACGGCCGCCGTCTCAGACGCATGAGGCAGGATGGAGGGCTTCAGACTTCAGGCTTCGCTACAGGCGTAGGTCCGTCAGACGGACCGCCTTCCCAGACGCGCTGCCCAGACGTGTCAGACGCTGTTGAAGTTTAGGAAGCAGCCTATGCCGACAACCCGCAATCAGCCCGCTGTAGCATGCAGGCTACGCTAGCAGAGAGGCCAGGTAACAGTCGGTCCAGGATGAGCCAGGTGTCATAAAGTGCATTACATCATACTCGGTGTTGGCTGCCGAAGCATGTGAGAGCATATGGAACATCAGGTGCAGGCGTAGTAGACGGAAATGTATCGGTAGTTCCCGATGTAGCCACCTGACAGGGTTGTTCTGTGGGTAGTGGACTAGCTCTCCAGTATCTACGCGCAAATGTTCAGTTGCTTGACATTAAAGCTACGCGAGCAAGGCCACGTTCAACATTTGCTCCCCCCCCCCCCCCCGAAAAGTTAGCCGAACATTGTGTTCAGCATGTAAGTGCTGGTTTGGTTCGGCTATCTGATCATTATGCAGTTGATATGTCTGGTTATTCGCTACCGCTACGGACATATCTTTCTGCTTTCGCTGCAGCCAGAGGTCCAGAATTCATCAGACTCCGACCGATTGGGCGCTAAGTGATACAGTCGTGACCTCCAGCTGAGCTATATGCCACCACTTCAGAGCACGGACTAATCTGGTCTGCAGCGCTTTGTATGACGCGAGCCAGCACGAGAGGCTGCCAGCGGCGCCCACAATTGGAGCAGCTTTACGTTACAGGGAGCGTGCTAACTATGGGTCTGTAAACTAGCGGATTAGTTTACAAGCTCTGAAGAATTGTCCGTTCTGATAGCTCAGTTGGGTAGAACTCCCGCGTGCCCATTCGACCATCCCTCGTGGCGGAGTGGGTTCGAGTCACTCTAGGCGCTCGTGGTATGCTCGTGAATGGGATGGCCTGCGGCCGATGGCAGCGGTCGCGCTAAAGGTCAGGTGACGTCAGGGAGCAGGACAGGCCGTGCCGAGCATTGCGGCACGCCCTAAGCCTTCGCCCTAACCCTGCCGCGATCATGTGGCGGGGTCAGGGTTCATGCAACAAGCCCTGCTTAGCGTGGGCGCTAATCCCAGCAACCCGTCCCATCAAAATGCCTGGATGAAAACATAAAAAAGTTCAAGCTGTTTGAAGCCTAAGAAAAATTTTTGAAATCAAGGCGACACACTCATGTCCAGCCGTTATTGGGACAATGGTGTATCCGAACGCGTGATGTCTCTTTACGGTGTCACTCGCATAATGATGTCAGTGCCATAGGCAAAGATTGCAATGTTACTTCGACATGTCAGGCGTGTGTTGTGTCGTTGTGTCTGTGTTTCCGTATGTTGCACTGCTAGAACTCGGAAAGCGTGCCAGGCAATGAACTGCCACTATATGACGGCCAATGTCGTCCTCAAAGGTTAACCGAAATGTCAAAGCACCTTGCGGTTCTACTCACCAAACTGAGTTGGAAGACACGTGGATGCGTTGTACGCTTCTGCAAATGTTTTGGGACCTCGCCGAAGCTATATCCTTATACTATCTTTTTGTATTTTGTTTTGTCACGAAACGTGATATATGTATATATATATATACATATATATATATATATATATATATATATATATATATATATATATATATATATATATATATATATATATATATATATATATTTATATATATGTATATATATATATATACATATACATATATATATATATATATATATATATACGATCTGAAATATTACAACATTATATTGCAGTTAACCTAATGTACCGCCTCCTACAGCAACAGTTGTTCGAGGCACTGAAGAAAACGTAGGCGAAAGGTGACCAACGAAACCGCGGCGTGCCGGGCGCGGCGAGCGGCACGAACCGCGGAGCTTTGACTCGCTCGGCCTTTGACCCTGGTTGACTCCGAGTCCGGTTTCGCCGGGGACGCTGGCTGATGAATGGCTGTGGGAACTCGCGCAGTCTGGCTGGCGCGACGGGACCCGGTGGCCGCGGAGGGCGGCAAGTCTGGCGGGGTCTTCGATCGCCACCGCGGCGGGTGGACGAGATCCGGCGGGTGGACGGGATCCGGCGGATGGCGACCCCCCCGGGCGCGGACGTCGGAATCTCGGAGGCTTCTTGACATGCCACAAGGAGCGATTCTTGGCCTGGGAGGCTGCGTCTGGTTCTTCACTCAGGAGCTTTCTGGTGAAAGTCAGATGCGACTGGGCGGCTCGTAGATCTACGAGACTGATCAGGCCATGGGGGGCAGAATCCAGGCCAGCCCGGCCGCTGAGTGAGCATCGTTTATATAACATGCACTTTCAGAGGAGCGCCTGGCTCGTGGAAGTAGTTCAGGTTCAAGAGAAAGCACGAGGCGCCGTGCGCTAATGTTCGTTGGTTCCGAGCAACGGGCCACACCATGTCGGCTATAACGGGCTTAACACATAATCCCGGAAGGCTTACTGCCGCGTTAAATCAGACACGGCACGAATACCAGCCACTCGCAGTGTTTGCACGAACACCTCTGTGTTGTCAAAGCACATCTAGGTTCACGATAAGTCACTGAGTTGCAGTGGGCGCCATGCATAGCCCTAAATCCAGATGGCAAGACTATTCGTGGAATCTGTTTCACATTTTTGCCCGCAGAGCAGCCACAATCGTCTCGTAGTCACACGTGTCTGATAGCCTTTGGTGTTTGGGAGGTTTTTGGTTGGTTTGCAGCACCCGTGTTACTGTGTAGCGTACAACTAAACGACGCAAGGTAACTTGCGGGCTGAAAATGACCGCGTTTGAAACAAATCATAGCTGTAGTAGTCAATGTTAGCAGTCGTGGCGCCAGGATGTAAAAGGGCCAGCGACACCAGTTAGGTACCCTAAAATGCACGGTCCTGAAAACAGGCATCATGCTTGACAAGGCTGTGCTGCAATACAATAGCATGATGCAAGACTGTAAATGGAAGTGACGTGAGCTTTCTTGCAGACCGGGCGCAGTGATCAAATGTTGGTCACCAGAATGAAGGAACAACTCAGTGAAAAAGGAACCAAGGCTCCGTATTTGTGTCGCGAGGTTAGCCCTTGCTATATCTTTTTTTAGCTTACCATAAGAATTAAGGAGTGCCGGTAGCACACAAGTGCTTCAAGAGAAGCAGGTGCTGGCAACATGTAAGTTGTTCGTGCATAGCCCTAAGGGCAACATGTATGTTGAAGGTAGTTCTGCACGGACTTGAGATGCCTGCGGCCAGTAATGTTTTGCCCTCGCTATTCATATTGTAAGTGTCGAGTGCATACAAATACTCATTTCTGGAAGCGGCAGACGGAACCAGGAATCCGTCTCGAGCTGCTCACGGTGCTTTTCGGGCAGAGCACTACGAGCAGCGCACTCGCAGCTTGTTTTCTTAACAGACGTTTAGCTTCAGGGAGCGCCGATGTGGACAGGCGAACTTTTCCCGAATCCCAAACCACCTTCAAGCGCCCACAAGCGCAGCTGGATTCTGGCATGATAGACGTCGGACACTGACCTTTTCACTGGCAGCGAGGACATCGGTGGACGGCAGCGTACCTGGAACACAAGGGCATCTATCAGACTTTCGAAAGGAAGACATCCCTAGTACCGCCACATGCGCTGGGGTGGCACCTTCAAAGGAAAAATGGCAACTTAGAAAGAAATTGGCCGCTACCGGAAGAGCTTGCGCATCCATACGCTGCCTTCCGACCATTCGTAAGGCTAAGCCTTAATTAATAAAGCCTTAAGTAACTTTGCCAAAGCCAATGAACGCATTTCTATTCCTGACCTGTCCGTTCGCTGTGTTCCTTATGCTATGCTTGTAACACCTTTTTTGTCTATCCTTGCATCCGACCGTCCTCGAAGTCCATAAAGAATATCCCTAGATCATTTAAGCTCTTATGCGTAAACGTATAATCAAACATAAGCCCTATGAACTGTGTTAACGGTCTACTCATGACCTTGCACTAACCCCGGTAGCAGACCAAGGCCTGGCGCGTTCTTCGCCGCTGATGCAACGCATCCACTCGCCCATCTCGGTCCAACAGCGACATCTCACGGCCTTAGCGGAGACTTCAGTAAATATGGTCCAACACGGCGGTTAAATACAGGCGAGCTCAGACAAATGATTTTGGGGTGATCTCTTTGTGGTCATGGACAAAATACCAACGAATAATTATAGTTTCAGGTCCTATATTATGCAAAGTCTGAGTATGGTTGATAGAAGGAAATATAATGTGTTGATATTCTTTTGATGATTCACAGAACATATTTAATTTGATAAACTCCAATATAGCCTACTGAAACCGCCCATTATCAGCCCAACCATACTATTTTTCAACATTCAAACTTTTAGAGCTGAGATGCCCGTGGGTCCTGTGGCGCAATGGATAACGCGTCTGACTACGGATCAGAAGATTCCAGGTTCGAATCCTGGCAGGATCGAAACTTTTCATTTTTCACTGTTGAATTCAAGCAGAAAGCGGTGACAAGAATGACCATAGAAGGCGGAGCAAATTACAGCTCCGTTGCTCATTAACAGATGCTACGGTGCGCAGTTGTAGGACGGAAAACATACGCCGAAGGCATGCAGTATGAGGGGTTCACCAACTTTCCATTCACCAGTCGCTGGCCATCGCCGCATTTGCGAGTAGCGTACTGCTTTAGCCAAGAGAGATGGCTTCGGGTACAAACAGCATAATGGCGATATGTGACTGCACTGTACAATGCACATCAGTATGCGTGACTGACGAACATATGAGCGCGCACAATTAAGGCATGAGTACGGGCGGCGCGTGAAGGCGTGCGGCCCACGCGCTATACAACAACGGCGGCGGTGGAGCGGCTGGCGGCAGCTCGAAACGGAGGGGTGCGGACTGAAGAGCCCGTGGTGCTGGTGGGGGTGCTGGCTGTCAGCGGGCTGCTCTGCATGAAGGCTAACTGGCGGTGGATATCAGGTATGACAATGACATAAAATGTGAGTTGATACGCCTTGCTCGTGATGTGCTAATATATTACGCAGTTCATGAGATTTATAGGGATATCTCCGCGTTTGGCGTGCATGTACTGGTGTTAAGAAGTCTGAAGGCTTTCAGGGAGCCCAGATAACCAAAAAAGTAAAAAGTGGCGAGACAACATATATAATGGTGCTAGAATTAAATGTCCTTTCATTCCATTTTGTATGACGAAAAAAGCAATGCTCCAGTCTGATAGAGGGCTACCGGATTCCAAACTCCAAACCCGTGCGACCAGGAGCACAAACACGAGCGCGTTTTTATTTGTGTCCGATCTGCTTCGATGACACTGAAAAGGCAAGGTGCAGTCACAGCCATAGCCAAGGGCGGATCCAGGATTTCGTCAAGGGGGGCACAAAACATTGCGGGTCCCCCTCGAGTTGGCCCCCCCTCCAAATAAAAACATTCTTGCATTCCGTCCATTACATTTTAAGACGAATAGTGTACAACAGAGAGAGAGAGAGAGAGAGAGAGAGAGAGAGAGAGAGAGAGAGAGAGAGAGAGAGAGAGAGAGAGAGAGAGAGAGAGAGAGAGAGAGAGAGAGAGAGAGAGAGAGAGAGAGAGATACATATATATATATATATATATATATATATATATATATATATATATATATATATAATACGAGAGCCCATCGGTGCGCAGCCCTATAAAGCTAGTCGTGCTAGGTATGCACATACATGGAGCTCATTCATTTTCCACAGATCGTGTCAAATTCTGTGATTTGAGGTTAATTGCTTCGGGAAAACAGGCAAAGTGACTTCAAGTTGGCTACTAAATGCCATCAAAACCAACCACGGACTTGATTCCTAGTTTATTCACCGCTAGCCGGCTGGGCGACGTTATCAGTCGATGGCTGACGACTAATGCAGCATTTTTCCTTTGATATAAAGGAGTAAAAAATATCCAAAATTTCAAAATATGCTAAGAACGGGATCCACAAGTGTAATAAGTGTCACACAGTCCACAACCAAGAGAAATGACACATACGACGACGGTGGAGCCTGAGCGATCATCAGTGCCACAGGAGGCCAACAAAAAGGCTTTCGTCAAAAAGTACAAAGACCGCAGAGCAAGCGAAAAGAGATTGACATCAACGTGGTGGGTCCCTAAACGATCGATAGTGCCCCGGCAGGCTGACGTGTAAGGCCGTGGCCAGAGCAGAGGAACCTCTGAGCAAGCGGGGGCTACTCAAGACCATGAATTGATACCCCTGTGCGATCAAGAGTGCCCGGGGAGGTTAACAGAAAAAAACCCAATAGGAGTGAAGAGTTTTCTGCAAATGATATAAAAGGAAGAGAGCCCTCGATCAAAGTGGAGGGCTCCTGAGCATCGAGTGTCTCGGTGCCTTACTCTCTACGGGCCCCAGCAGCAGCGCAGGGTCATCCGGGCAAGAAGCAAAACCGAGACTTTTATGAATGGCCCCTGAGCAACTGAGTGTACCCTGGCATATAGAGCCCTGGAAAAAGCGTACAGAACTTTTCGGACGGATGGAAAGAATCTATAGAGGAAAGCCTAATCGATCAAGAGTGCCCGGGCATGAAAGCAGATAGTGTCCCAACAGCAGCGTTGGCCCCTACGAGAAAATACAAAGGGAGCAAGAGCAACGTGGAAAGCTCCTTAGCGATCAGATTGACCCGGCAAATGGACACAAAAGGCCCGGGTGGCAGTGTAATGCCACTATGCACCGTGATGAGCCCCAAAATTCCCCCAAACGACACCTTCTCAATCAGCGAAGAAGCAGCTTTCCCTGCTTATAAGGTTTTTACTTTTGCTAACAACCGTTCCTGGTCGCCTGTCGTTCCAAGGATGTCCAATTTCGTTGTGTTTTTGTTTTGTTAGAAAACTGTGTTCGTTCGGCCGGTTATGGCCTCTTTGAAACCTATAGGTCCCATCGGCATAGTCCATGTGGCAGGGTCCCGTACTTTCCTCCCCCCCCCCCCCGTATCCGTCACCGGCCCGAGCGTCTTTAGAGATTGCCCCGCCAAGAACATAGAGGGACATCCATTCAAATGAGAAGCACCCAAGGCACAGTACGGAGGGCTCCGGAATGATCGAATGTACCCGAACAGTTTAACAGATAGGTACTCTAGGCAAGAGCGCAGGACCCTCCATTCAAATAAATACTCACGAAATACTCACGAAACAGTCTGGGGGGCTCCAAATGATTCAGTGTGCCTGAGCAAGTTAGCATATAGGGCCCCCATCAAGAGCGTGGGCCCTCCATTCAAATGGGAAGCACCCAAGACCCAATGTAGAGGGCCCCGAAAGGTCAAGTGTGCCAGAGCGGGTTAACAGATAGGGCCCCCGACAAGAGGCTAGCCCCCCCCCCCCCATTCAAATAAGAAGTACCCAAGACCCGGTGTGGAGGGCCAGTCTGCACGAGCAGGTTAACAGATGGGGCCCCAGCATGTGCGTAAAGCCTTTCATTCAAATATATGGTGCCCAAGACCCACTTTGAACGGCCTCGATGACCAAGTGCACCCAAGGATGTTAACAGATGAGCCCGCGACAAAAGTATAGAACCCTAAGCAAGTCGCAGATAATTGAAAGCGCCCTCGACCAATGTGGAGGGTGTGTGAGCATATTGCGAGTGTGTCGGTAGGTTAGCCGAGACAAACGTAAAGTTTGTCTCTTTGACAAACGTAAAGGCCCTGAACAGCTCGGAATACCCCGGCAGGTTGACACATGGGGCCCCGGCTATAGCCCTCAGAGCCTCTCTGACGAAGGAGGAGACCCGTGAAAGGTCCCTGATTGACAAGAGCGCTCCGGCACCCAGACGGTCTCGGCGACGACACAGGCGACATTCGCCTCATAAAGGTCACGTTAGAGAAGGCTTGGAGGCGCCAGAGGACCGAGGCGCTGAGATCCCGAACCGAAGCGGCCGGCAGCACGCTGTGTGCCACCCGACACCTGCATCAGTGTGATCTATTCTATTCTGCTTTATTCCGTTTCGATGTGCTCTGTTCACCGCGTGACCACCGTGTGCTGCACTCGTCTCACCACAAGCGGACCACATGTCATGTTACGCTCAGCACGTGCTATCTGTCGCGTCTTCCTCAGCACATGCTGCCTGCCACGCCCTGTCCACTCCACGCCTGCTGCATGCCACGCCCTGTCCACTCCACGCGCTGTCTACCACATCCTGGCCACCCCACGCCTGCTGCTTGCCACGTCCTGCCCATTCCACGTCTGCTGTCTGCTACGTCCTGTTCACTCCACGCCTGCCCCTGTCATGCCTTGCCCCTCATGCCTGGCGAGCGGGTGCGGTAGGCATGTGCTGCCCATCGCATGTGCGCTGCCCGTCGTGTCCTGTTCGCCACACGTCCGCTACCTGACGTACTCGGCGCTGCCGCGTGACGGCGCGCCCGCGGCCCGGACTGGAGCCGCCGCCCGGTCAGACAGGTTCCCGCCGCTCGTTCAGGAATGCCGGCGAGGCGGCCGCCGATGCTGCGCGCCGCGTTCTACGTCCGGGCTCGGGCGCGCCACGAGGACGCGCCACGCGGGCCGGCGCGGCCGCCGCTGCAGCCGGCGCGCTTGCACGACGCAGCTGGCGGCGCGCGCGATCCAGAGGATACGGTGGCGGTGGCACGCGCCGGCTCCCAGCCGTGACAGCGGTGTCAGCCACGAGCCGGCTGATGGCGCTGCAGAGTGCGCACTCGGGGGGGGGGGGGGGGGGAGGGGGGAGGGTAGCCATGCAGAGTAATCTTCGAGGGACCGTGTTGGAGGATTAGCTGGGACCGCCCAAGCAAGCGGTTTCGAAGGCATGTGTATGCATGTTGCACGTAATGGGAAAAGTCACAACCAGGTCGTCCATAAGCTGTCTGGACATTTCTTTGGCATGCTTACTTACGTGACAGTTAATGCAAGGCTGAACAGCTCGGGAACAAAACCTACGTTCTTAATTGTGATGCACGCGATTACAACCGTCCTTAGGCCTGCCATGCAATGTTCTGTGGCGCAATGCTATCCGTGGCCTTACCTTTATCACTTTCACTTCATTACAATCAATCTTGCGTTTACACTATCACTTGCAAAGCGTGCCAAGCGTCGGGCAGCAGCGAATTCCTATCCATCCTGACTTCATTGCCATCGCATATTATGCATATGTCCCACATCAGGTCACTGTTTATTGGAGCCAATCTGCATAAGCCATAAGGTCGAGATCATTTCCTGATTTATGAGAAGCCTTTACGAGACTCTAGAACCCCTGTGGCAAACTGCATTTAGTGATCCTTCGCGACTTGCATATATTTCCTCCGAGTTTCTTTTTCCTTCGCCGATTATTAGAGATTTACTCGAATTCAGATGTTATTCTGAAATGTAGGATATCGTTTTGCTTCTGAAGCGTTCCCTCCTTTGCCGCAAGCAGGTGAGGCTCAGGGGATTTCAAGATTCTGAAGCGTTCCCTCTTTCGCCGCAAGCAGCTGATGCTCAGGGGATTTCAAAACCGTCGAATGGCTATTTGGACCTGTGCCCGCAGTTTTAAACGCAGCTCTGTCGAGTAAACAAGCATACAAGTCATGCAGTTATAGCATGGAGAGCCTTACGGTTTATGTCTAGGCGACCAAATCCCACACAAAAAAACAGATGTTGACACGACTCTGTGATACTACATGACTCGTCCCGACCGGTGGCGGCTCAGATTACCTTCAGCCGCTGGCCTGGCTCAACCTTAGGCTCGAACCTCGGCAACGTCGGCTCGCTGTGCAAGCCTCGAGATTCTAACGACCGCGGGGCGGTAGAAAAAGTCAACAGCCGCCGATCAGTTTTCATAGCAGGGACGTTATCTACCATTGTTGAGCAAGATCCACTGTGAATAGTCGTGTTTCCTCATCATTATACCGGAAGTGCATGTAAGTACTAACAAGTACGAACACCAGACACGTCACATTCCCAACAGCCTCGACTCTCTCGCATAACCCTCGCCAGTACAGCACGTGTCAGCAGAGCTTACTCTTGTTGCCGATGTCGTCGTCGCCCTCGAAGTACGGGTTGTCGAAGGCGAAGCGACTCTCCTCGTGACCGTTTTCGGCCAGCACCACCTTCTCCAGCGCCGAGCCTGAAACACGCACAGTGCGCTGGGTGAGCATCCAAAAATTATATACGGAGCGCAATTAATTACAGGGCCGACGGGCGGCTCGCGGCGGGCGCTGGCGGCCACTGGACGACGCGCCCCGCCCGACTACGGTAAATGTGCCTCTCGTCTCCCGCCCAACTACGGCAAATGTGCGTCTCCACTCGCCAACTGGGCACTTGTCTCGACGTTAACGACAATAGATGGCGCAGCTCGATGCGCCGGAATAAACTCAACGCGCCGTTGCCGGCGTGTGAGCCAGTTTTTGTGGCATGCGCCGGCTGTTTAAGTCAGGTCTTTTGGGCTGCACGCGCAGCGCTCGAAGCGGGTCGCGAATCGGGAGTGGGTTAGCTGTTTCACGTTGTTACAGGCGTTGTTGGGCAGGCTTTAACATGCACGACCGTGACTTAGATGATCATTTTCATCGTGACGAAGACGTCGACCAAGGAAACATGTGAGGAACATACATGCCGTCATCATGATTCCCACGTGTCATCCCACATCGGCATAGCACAACGCGCATGAGATCCATACTGTGCCTGATCCAACTCATGCATTGCTGGGCAGAACTATTCAAGCTGCCCGAGTGGGTTGCACGCCCACGCAGGCACAACCACTAATGCGCTCGTGCAGTACAATCATGCATGTGATAATGCGTTATGCAAACTGGCAAAGGGTGTAAGGGGATGTTGATACAAGCTATCACGTCCCAGATCTATTGAATATGACGTATGTTGGGTTCGAATTGCCGGGTTGCGGAGAACCCGGGACTTCGATGCGCATATTTTCTGCAAAAACTGAACCACTTTTCCAAGGTAATTTTGATGATCTGGTGCTGATGACCTTCCCGGCACATTTTCAACTTTCCGCATAGGATTGACGCATTGGGAGGCGATGCCAGTGGCGATCCAACTGGCGACAACGCGGCCAAACATTTGCTGAGGCATAGAGCTAAACCACTGTGACCCTGGAGCTCTTCATGGCACTGGATTAGAATTCCTTCAGACATAGAGCTAAATCACCGTGACCCTAGATCTCTCCATGACACTGGGTTATAACTCCTTCAGAGTTAAACCACTGCGACCCTAGATCTCTCCGTGACACTGGGTTAAAATTCCTTCAGACATAGAGCTAAACCACCGTGACCCTAGAGCTCTCATTGACAGTGGGTTAAAATTCCTTCAGCAAAAGGCGTCATGAAGACCGAAACGTCGTCACCAAAGCCTTGGGGCAAATCAAAATTAACATTGACAGCCTGTCATGGGCTGCAGCAATCACCACTTTCCACCCAGCGCCCTGAGTTGACGCCAAGTTCCATGGACCGATTTTAAGTTCGGAGTTCAGTCTAACCCGATCCGCCAATGTTGCATCCAACTTAAAAAAAGAGCGAAGGAAGTAAATTGCCTTATCAGTCTGGAATCAACGAATCCGTAACTGTTAGATCCGCTCCGAACCTGCTCCCTGGCTGTTGGACCCACAACACGTTTTACCATTTTCTGATGGGTTAACTTTTAGCTATCCGCAAGAAAATGGGGAAAAACATTGAAATCGGCCAATGTTCAACTGAGATGGTTTCCTCGGTATTAGATGACAACCTGACAGCACCCCGAAATTATACGATAGTGTGCAATTAAACTCAAGCGCTAATTCGCAAAACCTGAGATTTATCAAACAACCGCATGGTGGTCAAGTATCGACTGTTGGACTGTCGCAAACACTTGCGCAGTTTTGTCGTGAGTGCAAAGCCTACTGGCGCCTCTCGCTGTAATTGAAAGCGCAATAGCCGGGTCATGAATGCAGTACATGCACGTGCATGCCTTGTTGCAGTGATGCATGGTGCCCCTCGCATCGCCAGATTTATCGCGTGCAACTGCAAAACAGCTGGGCGTCATACCGTTATCACACAGAAAAACGAACGTGACTTAAAATCAATGCAAAGCATCGCGAAAATGTTAACTCCCAGATGCTTTTCGCTATTTAAACCGTCGCCAGAACATAATTGTAACATTGCAAAGACCAATGTCTGCTTCGTGTACGCCAAACACCTTCGCGTAAGAAATACGAGAAGTTACAAACCAAGCTCTGCCGCCTGCTTGGCAGCGACAGCGGCGCCCCTTGGCAGCCAAAGGGCACAAGAGGCAATTTGTTCAGGTAACAGTGGATGGAGCACGACCACGATTGGTTTGCACTATTGCCGCATGCATGACCACGAGCTCAACTCTTTCCACGTGTGTACCATCGCGCGCCACTAGGTCGCGGAATCGGTGTTGGGCGTTAAGGGAGGAAGTGGCCCGATTTGGAGGCATATTTTGTAACGTTTGCGCTTCGGCCCCCAATTTTCCCAACTTATTTCGCAAAACTACGGCCCTACTAAGTAATGGAAAATGTCTCACTACCGCCGGATAAAACTCATCTTGTGCATGGGATGATGCATATGAATTTGGTAATAATCAATGCGTCAGGCATTTTGGAGTTGCCTTGTCATTTACGTAGCAATATCCTTAAGGCCTACGAACACTGCACTGCTCTATGTGGATATGTTTGGGATACGCACGCATCTCGTAAATATCACTTATTAAGTGTGTCTTGAATACCAAATTCACACAATGCAGCCTCCCTTTCTCCGCCATTGCCGTTTACGAGGGCCACTTAGCTTCGCATCTGCGATAGAAGATAGATTGAGTACCCATGTTTTTTTCCTTGGTATTCCAATGCATGTGATGCGCGTCAGATGAGCTGATGCCTCCAGCTGCGTACACGGTTGTACAGCGCTTCTCCTCAATACTGCGTCAAATGAGCCGATTCCTCTAGCTACGAACACGGCTGTACAGCGCTGCTCCTCGAAACTAGGGATGCTTGAACAACGCCACGTGACACCAACCGTTGATGCATTTTGACGCCGGTTAAAAAGTACCATGAACGACATAAACGAAGCGTGCTACCTTTGCAAACTTATGTCCTTTAAAGGCCATGCTATGATGCTCTCTTGGTGTAGAATATCGAATCTCTAGAATGGAATCTCTGTAGAATTTCGCTTAGCGCTGAGCAACGTGATGGGGGCATCCACCCGGGTTCCATCGATGAGTTTCTAAGGAGCCGGGGAGCCAGAGCACATTAACCACTTTATCGTGCAGGCGATGCATTGCTTCGAGCATAACGAACCATGCGTGACGCACGCAACACTGGCACGCGGGAAAGTAGAAGTGTTGACGGCAAACACCCAGCAGTGTAATCGTTTGGCAGATGTATCCTGCAGGAATCACTGAACTCAATGCAATGATTTTGGCCATTTGTATGGCAGTTGTCTACAACTTAAAGCTTTAGCAACACTTTCAGTCATGAAGCAGTTATTCGTCCACTGACTGGCCATTTAGATGCGACGCACAAACTGTTTTGACCGACAGTGGTCCGCGTTATCGGTGCAATGCGGCACCGCACTGCCTCTTATCACAGACGCACAGGCAGGGACACGCAGAGTCGCAGACCCAAGTTTTGGTATTGACGCGAGATAAAGGCCTCCACATTGAGACGACCGACTGCTCCACATCGGGACGGCCCGGTCGGAGCCAGCACGGCTTCGGCCAGCCGCGGGCGACGGCCCGAGCCGGCCAAGGCGCACTCCCAGCCCCCATTCGCCTGTCAGAGCCGACACGTCTCGTCCGACGACGATGGATTGGCCAGCCTGGGGCGCGCTCGCCACTCTGCCCCCGGGTGGCCGCCACTCTGCGTCGTCAGCGTGCGCCGCCACCGCCGCCGCCGCCGCACCTGTGCCCTCTCTCCGATCGGTGGCGCGCCGCGGCCCATCGGCAGCCGCCACTTAAGATGGCGGCCGAGATAGGCGGTGGTCCGGCGCGGTCCGGCGGTCCGGCGGTCCAGGCCCAGGTCCGGCGGACCGCCGGTGATCGGCGATCGGCGCTCAGGGACGGCCCGCCGCGCACGGCCGGCCGACGGCAGCCGCGCGGCCGGCCGAGCGCGCTCCTGATGGCGGGCGAGCGACCGGCCGCGCCCCGGCCCGCACGCCCAGTGGCGCAGGGTGGCGCCTCTTCTCCTGTCCGGTGGAGTGTCGGGTCCGGTCGTAGCCATTAGGGCACCAACTCAGTGGTCACCGCGGTGTTTTGTGAAGCTACCGTGAAAAGGAAAACAACAGTCGACACTCTCCACTTCTTCACTTCCCTGAAAGTAATCTATCTACGGTATATGTCGAGATTCATCGTGACCCCATCACGAAAGTTGAAAAACCGCTTTGAGAGCGTGTCACCACTCAGCATATCATGTCCGTGCTCGTGTCCGATGTCTTCACAACAGCGTGCGCGACTCCCACGAGCGGCGTTCACACCTGAGCTCCGACAGCCAACTGGTGTGTCACGAGGCGCACGCACGAGCGGTGGACCTCCATCATCCCCAGACACGGCCATTATTGAACGTTAATTTAGAGGCCAGTGAATTCAATGAGCGGCTCGAGCGCGCCACATTGGCCGCGGCCAGGCGACTTCGGCGCCAGCCGGGCCAAAGGAAAGCTAGCAACGCAACCAACAACTGTATTATACGAGTGTGCTGCATTTAAACGCAGGCTTGCAGTTCTCTCTATGTATGCCGCGTGCATGGCATCTCGCTTCACTTTATCGCGTGGTCCATACAGTCACGAGGCGATTGGTAATGTGGATTCTGATGCGAAATGGCCATGCTCTCTCGGAGCGGAGCAATGCGCAGTAAGGCATACATCTTTACATTACACGTTTACGAGTAGTTCAAACGTCACATTGAATGTGTGCTATTTCCTCATAGCTTTACATTTAGTATGACATTCTTCATGGCCCGGAATGTGTGAGTCATCGTTCCTCTCTGGTCAACCCTCACCCGATTTTACTGGTGCTAGCTATAGGTAGGTCACGTAAGGCTCACTGAAGAGGTCGACCCGGGACCTCATTCTTATCCTGTTTCTTGAAAAAACGTATCGAACAAAAATAATTTTCACCGCACATAAT